CTGTTGGCCGGCTTGTATATACCCGCACAATCGCAATGAACAAGCACCTTCCGCACCTGAGGTGGAGTGCGCTTGTCCATTTTATTGTTGTATTTGACGATCGCGTATCCTTCCTTCTTTGCCCAATTGTTGACGGACTTCATGCCCTCATCTACGGATGCATGGCGGCCCCAGGGGGGCGGCCGGAGCGGCATGGCGGTGAGGGTGGTGATGTAGAGGACGTGGTGTTAATGCATTACGAGTGCGCAGTTGATGTAAATTCCTTATTGAGCACAAATAGTGAGTGGATATGATTGGTGGAACAACATTAATACGGGCCGGCGCTAGGCTAGATGTAGGGGGGGTGGCAGGAAGAGAAAAGGGGGGTGATGCGGAGAGAATAGGGGGGTGGTAATTAAGCTCGTCCTACTACTATAGATACTATTATAGGATATAGATCTATTGGCATAAATATTGATTGAATCTTTTCCATTCTGTGCTAGAGCCGCGCGACACTATTATATAATTTGATGGATTCTGCTATGATATCATATAACTAAGCATTGGCGGAGCAACGTTGGCCCGTTCCCATCCCCACCCACGTAAACAACACTACACATCTCGCGACTTCACGATTCTTCCCCTCACCGCACAACTTTACACTCTCCACACGCCATGACAAGTCCCCCAATTGCATCAATTGCCCCCCTAAAGAGACGAAGGATGCGCGCCGACGCGCTTGATCGTCTACAGCATGCTCCCGCCCAGCAGTCACGGTCCGACATCGCCGCCTGGCTGTCGGGGTGCGACTCGACCCCGCCTCCCGATAGTGTATCCCTCGCCCACGACCACCATCCTCATCCTACCGGCCTGCGCAAACGCCGCCGCATTCTGGGTGAAATCCGCCACAATCAGAAAATGGTCGAAGTGGATAGCAGTAACAATCAAGAAAGGGGCGCAAGGGGAAAGGCGGCGCCTAAAGCTCGCGGCATTGAAGGCACCCGTCGCTCCAACCGCCTCGCTGACCTGCCTATGCGCCAAACAACAACACCTGCGAGCTTTGCTAACAAAGACACCTGGCCCAATGAGTCCAACGTTGGTACTGCGATCGTGGAGCCGGCGCAGCCCCAGCGGATTCCCCTGAAACTGCCTGGCCCTGTCCTGTCTGCTTCATCCACCATATCCTCCTCGACCCGGCGTAGCCGCAGCCGTTCGTCGTCGCCATCAAAGCGGGGCCCTATCCTCAAGAGAGAGAATCTCCAACACCTCGACCCGCCTATCAACGTCATCGGTAGCAGGCGGAAGGCGCAGGAGGAGTATGGGGTCGATCTGCCAGCTGCGGTAGCTAAGTTGTGGGAGCAATGTGAGGTATGCCGCTGTATGCTATACGCTTCGCGCCTGTCGCTAACATGCTTCGCAGCAATGTACCATCACCACCCTCCCCCGCAACCCCTTTTTCGCCGCCGCCGACGAACGTAATCAGCAGGCCATCGAGCGCACCCTGGACATGGCACTGGGGCAGGCAGAGGAATGCCGGGAATGCGCAGCGCCAGAATGTCAGTGGATTGCCAAGGTCATCCAGCCGATCCTAAATTCACTTGAGCTGCTGGCATTTGCATCGCGTACCTCGCCCACCGCCAACGATAAAATTGGCGTCTTTGACATGTACGTCTCGTGCCTTTCTTGCGCCTTTACTGTTTTACTAATGTGTGTAGCCGCACAATCGAAATGTCCCCTGAATGCGTGCCCGGGAGCACGCTGCCCACCCGTTTCAAAGATCTTGATAAAAAGATCGACCTCGCCATCGGCCTACAGCTACACCACATGACTAAAGCCGCCCTCTGTACCGCGCAAGCAAAAACTGACGAACCCTCCAAGGCCATTAACCAGGCCTCGACCTTCATCCACCAAAACCCGCTACTCCTCAGCATCGAGGTTAAGCGCACATATGGCGGCACCGATCCGGTGATCCAGTTGGCTGCTTGGGTCGCCGCCGAGTTTATTAAGCGCGAGATCGAAGAAGTAGATATCGGGATGCCGGCGCTAGCCGTGGAGATTGAGGGCGATTACTGGCGGTTGTATGCTGTGGTTGCGACAATAGAAAGAAGGCTAACTGGAAATCAGCTTGTGGAAGCGGATCTGAATGCAAATGACACTGAGGGGACGCTCAGACTTAGCGTTATTGGCCAAGTGACGCTGGGGAGCACGGATACTTGGCTCAGCATGTGTCGTTTATATGCTAATTTGTGTTGCATTGTAGATTGGGGCCGGACCGTGTATCTAGAGTGGTTTGAACGCGAGGTTCTTGGCGTCTATGAGAAGAAGGCCGCGGCGGCTGTTGGGCGAAATTAATAAGTGGAATATAGTACTTTCAACTTTGACCCGTCTGTGAGGAGCAAGCAGCGGAAATACATTCACTGTGCGAAGCTGCCGGATTTCTAGTGCCGAGGCGCGTTAACGTTATTCCGGTCCGGCCTCCTAAGCTTGCAAACGTCGTGCCTCCGTCGTTGCGTTCCCTTCCTTTATTTTTGCTCCTGATATTGCATATTTATTCCCATTCATTTATGTTTCTACATGTCTCTATAAGATATTACGCAACCGCAAATACAACCTAAGAGCGACTACTTACGAGACATAGGGCACCGCTCATGACCACATGTAGCGCAGTTCTCGTTTGTAGAGGCCTCGACCCGACGTTAGCAGGAACGACAGTAGCGATTAGGTCTCATCCTAGGGAGCTTTTTCACCAGCTTCTTCTCTCTAGCTCTTCCAGCTTCCCTCTCGATTTTCAGGCTTGCGAGAAGTGTATGTAGATCTGGACTATCTTTATCTACTATTTCGGTATTTGCTCCGCGTACTATATTAGTATCTACGGTGGTATCTTTAGTAAGTGCGGGGGCATCTTTAGTAGGTGCGGGGCATCTTGTTAGGGGGGGAGGGTAGAATCCGTGTTGCGGCCACGTTTGGGGTAAAGCCCCATTCGCTAGCAACTGTATAGATCAAGACTATCTTAACAGCAAAAGAGTATGTTAGACAAGAACGTGCGACGCTCCAATCCCTATCTAAAGGCCCTTATCTAGATTCGCAGACCCTCCGTCGGTTCCCTTGCTATTCGCGCCCCCCTTCTTCGCCGTATTCCCATCATCACCAATCGCTAATTTCTCCAACACCAACTTCAGGAACCCACCCCAGAAACCGTCCGGCCCCTCGTCAAGGCCATATTCGACGACGTTCCGCCACATCCTTAGCTGTTTGAAAACGCCCGAGACACTACTTGTTGCAGCATTGCCAAACTGCAGGATGCGCACCGCTTCGCCATTCTCAGATTCCAGATATGCGATATAAAAATACAGCTCATGTCCTACAACAGTGAAGCCCGGCTCTACAAGGCAGGTAGTGTCAGGTAGGCCCGCGCGTCGTCCCAGCTTCGCCTTCTTGCGCAGACTCGCCGCCATCCATATGCTAAGCTGGTATTCGGCCTCGAGCTTGACGCCGTTAGAGGGCTTAACCTCAATGCCGGAGAAGACGGCCGTGGTCTCGGTGAAGGCGTCGGTTGTATGGCTAACACACTGATTTCCGTGCTGGAGAAGGCGTGCGTATAGAGATACGAAAGGCGATGCGTCGTGCGAGTAGGAGAGGGTGTAATCGGCCTTTTGGTCAAGGGCGCGCTGCTTGCCGGATGCATCGGCGGCGGCCGCGCGCGAGAGGAACTCGGGTTCGATGTTCTGGGATTGCCTGCCATATCAAACGCGTTAGCTTGCCAGTGTTTTCAAGTAGGTCGGGTGGGGTAAAAGTACACGCTCTGGACACAGAGTTTGCCCTTGGCGTCCAGCCGGATCGCCAGCTTCACCATCGGCCTAACCACGTCGTCGCACCACGCATTCTCGTCGCGGCCCCTCGTCTGGCAATGGAGCGCCTTCCTGAATACCTTCCTCACCTTCTTTAGTGTGTATTCCAACTCGGCACGGACGGCGGGGTCGAGATCGGGGTCAGAGAGGTCGCGCGTGGCAGTCTTGCTGAAGGCGGCAGGCGTAAATCTTTGGAAGCCGATGTCTGTATCAGCTTTAATTGCGTTCTGTGACAGGTTAGCCAGCTTTAGCGGTAGACGACTACACGCTGATACGCACCTCGAGCCATCCGGGTATCCAGCCCTGATCCAGCCCTGATCCAGCCCGTCCTCGAGTCGCGCTACCACGGCCATCACCCGCACAGGAGGTTCCGACTCCACCCCGTTCAGCGGCTCCGTCGTGATCGGAGGCGATGCAACTCTCAGCGCCGCAATTGTCTCGCGCGATGGGCTATTTCTGTGTCGTGGCGTCGAGGCGCCTACGCTACTGCCGGGTGGACTGAAGGTGTTGGAATTGCCCGAGGTGAGCGGGCGGGCATTCGACCCGACGGCCGATGCGCTCTGCCCTGGAAGCAAGTCATCTGTGTTCCGCCGCTGGCGCTTGCTGGGGCTGACATCGCGATCCGCGGACATGGTGGTAAGCTGGTGTACAACTATGGGCTCTGAGCTGGTGCGCTTGCGTTTTAGCCAGTGTTCGTTTGTGGGGGGCATTGGCGGGAGCTGTTCGAGCCAAGAGGAGATTCGCGTAGTCTTTTCGGTGAGGATGGAGGGTGATATGGGCGTCGATGTGGCCATAATAATGGGAGACAGTGTTTTGGTGTTGTAGTTTCACAAATCAAATCCCTCTTAAAGTGGATATCAAGACACAGAACAGAGTCCGCTTGTGCCTGTTTGACGACCATGTTCCCATCTAGAATTCTTTGTTGTGGAGGTGCGAGGTGCGACTAGGTGTGGGGAGGTATGGAGGACAAAGGGGTGGTCGACCTGTACTCTTTTACCTTTGTAGCAACGATGCAGATAAATCCTTGAAAGCAGTAGGAGAAGAAAGGACGCCTTGGCTTTGCATAAGCTTGCAATTCGCACTCAATTGAGGTCGTTGCCTCTTCTGCGAGTTGGTACACCCGTTGTCAGCTCTCAGTCGCGGATGGTCACAGTCTTTCGCGTTCTATCGCACTAACCTCGCCCGCCCACTATCATTTTGAAAATTTGCAACGGCAATACAACCAGAGAGCACGCCTATCAGCCATGGTACCTTTGTACTCTCTTCCGAAGCTCCGAACTTTCACATCGCCAAGCGATCTTTACTAGTTGGCCTGCTCGTAAATTAGGCACCGTGGAGCAGCTGCAAGGAGTCTTAGCTTTCAATGGTTTACTTGATACACGATGGCATGCAAATCCACGAATGCTTTCCATAAGTGGTCTTGATTGTCGAGAGCATGCAGCGACTCAGACTGTGCTGAAAGGATTAGAGTCGCGATTCCCGCCACGAATGGCCATAGCACGGAGCCGTTGGCGAAGGATCGAGATTATCTCCACAGGGTGGACCATATTGCTCCTTGCAGTAAGTCTGATCTCTTATTCATGCCTATGGGGCTGCCACAGTATTTTCAGTCGTTTCTCGGTCACATGACCAAGTTTTGATAGCGGCTCCGGATCTGATTGGCCAAATCTGGTCATGTGACCGAGAAACGACTGAAAATACTGTTGTAATATTCAATCCATCGTGACTCGTTAGGGACCGCCTGGACCCTTGAATCCCTTCACTGTCGACGAAGCGGCACCACATTGACACGACCCAGACTTTAGCGAGTGACAAGAGTGATAAGCCTTCAGTGACAGCTTGGGAACTATGCATAATCGTCTTACCAACTATGGAAGCGACTTGAGGTACCGAGGCCGTGAGACAGATGGCTGAACGCCCCTCAGCCATGTAGACGTTGACTACGGATTGCAGATCGAGACCAAGTGATCACAGCCAGGTTGGATTGCTTCTGGGCCCAATTTTGGCGACAACCAGATCGCCAGCGACCCTCGAGCCTATCGATCTACGCCGTCCAGAACTCGCGGAGCTCCTGGTGCCCATCATGCTCCATGTTGTCGATTTTGCAGGGCGTCTTGACGATCGCAAGGACTGCAGTGGTATCCCTGTGGTTGGTGTTTTCCCCCCCTGGTCGACTACTGCACGGCTCACTGTTTCGGGAGTCGGCTGCTTTTTGCTTTTCCTTGGGCTCGCTTCTGTCTCATTATTTTCAAGAGCCGCGTTTTGCCTGGAATTTGTTCAGCCTCACACGGGCCGGTCCTGTGGCGCTCAGCCCGTGCATCCCGTACAAGCTGCAACCACATCACCGTCAAGGCACCTTCGAAGGCGTTTGTCATCACTATGGGACGTCCCATGCTCACGAGAAGTTCACTATCTGTGTCAGCAGGGGTCCGCATGCTGATTCTGCAACCAGAGGTACTCCACGGGAAGGGTGAGCGAGCGAGCTGCACCTCGTTTCCCAGGACGCCTGCAAATGCATTCTCTCTGGAACGTGCGCGGAAGCTGCACTGCATAACGAGAAACCGCAAATTTCCAGGTCCCGCATCCCCGCACGAAAACCCCGGACCACGTTGCGGTGTCTCCTCAGAAGGGCATGGCGTTGGCAACGGCTGCTATCTTGCGACCTGTGCAGGAGCCATCATGGAATCCTTGGTGATGAGGTAACCTCGGGAGGCCTGGCGATCGTGGAATCGCCGGTATTCAGCGAGACTTGTGGATTGCGAAACCTCAATTGCGACTTCATCGAAGACGTTGAGCACGGCTTCAGTTCTCAGATTTGACACTGATCAGCATGGAGCCTCTCTCACTCATCGGGTCTGGATTCTCAGCCCTGTTACACACGCCGATCTCTGCCTTATGTCTGTATTTCGCGGTGCTGATCGTAGCATATGTTTGTCAAATGAAGCAATTGCCATAAGAACCTACAAATTGACAATGACTTCAGTTCACAATCGTATCGATTTATCGGGTTACGCTCCATCCTCTGGCAAAATACCCCGGACCGCTTTCATACAAACTCTCCAACTGGCCTTTGATTTTCCAATGCATTGGTGGAAATCGCCATATTTATCACTTGCAAGATCACGAGAAATATGGTACGCACCGGTAGTGAACCCCGTTTTGTTCAAAACTAATCTCGTTAGGCTCCGTGGTGCGAATTGGACCCAATATGCTATCTTACAACACTGAGACCGCGCTCAATGTGATCTACGGCGGGCAAAAGACGAACGTGCGCAAATCCGAGTGGTATAGAACCATTGACGCCGGCTCAGGAGCCTTCAGCGCTGCCACCGAGATTGACAAGAAGAAGCACGCTGTGAGAAGGCGGTTCATCTCGCACTCCTTCTCCACAGAAGCACTTCGGAATTCGGAACCCTTCATTCAAGAGAACGTTGCGCGATTCTGTGAGAAACTAGCACCAAACGACGAAAAGAAGTGGAGCGAGAAGAAAGATATGGCTCGGTGGTGCACATGGCTTGGTTTTGACATCATGGGTGATCTAGCATTTGGAAGGCGGTTCAACTGCTTGGATTCGGAAGAGAACAGATACATCCCCACAGCCATCAGTTCTGCTAGCAAGTACATGTACTACGTAAGCCTTCTCTGCTTTGTTCTCGATACCACAGCTTACAGAACGTAGTTCCCATTTCTCCCCGGAGCGTGGCTTCTTGCGCCTATCATGAACAGCAAACTCATGGAATACGTTGGTGGCCAATCAGTGACGGACAACATCCGTCTCGTCAACTACGCTGCCACACAACTCCAGTTCAAAATCGAACAAGAGAGAGCAGATAAGGAGAAGGCAAACGCCCCTCGGAAAGACATGATGCAATACCTGTTAAATGCCGAGGACCCAAAGACAGGACTCAGACCAACCCCAGAAGAACTGCTCGCAGACAGCGTGCTTTACCTCGCAGCTGGCTCCGACACAGTTGCTACTTCGCTTGCCGCATCTTTTTTCTACCTCGTGCACAACCCATTGGCCCTCGCTAAAGCTACCGCCGAAGTCCGCGCAGCCTTCAAATCTGCCGATGAGATCAAAGCCGGCAAAAAACTCGACAGTCTTGCCTATCTTCACGGTGTCATGGACGAAACAATGCGCCGCTGTCCCCCAAAGCCCAGCCACGTGCCCCGCGAAGTCATGCCCGGCGGCATCACGATCGACGGCGAGCAAATCCCTGCTGGCACCGTCGTCGGTGTTCCAGCCTATGCCATCCACCACAACCCAGACTGCTACCCGGACCCGTGGTCGTTCAACCCCGAACGATGGATTGTGAACGAGGCCGCCGGCGTGAGCGCTGAAAGTGTTGCGTTAACGAATCACGCATTCTGCCCTTTTAGTCTTGGAATCAGGGGTTGCATTGGCAAGACGCTGGCATATGTGGAGTACAAGATTACCCTTGCGCACGTGCTGCTGAAGTATGACATTAGGCAGGCAGAGGGCGAAACGGAGGGGGAGGGCAATCCAGATTTGGAGGAGGGCAGGAAGAGGGTGGATGAGTATCAGATTGTTGATGTGATGGGCGTCATACGCAGTGGGCCTATGGTGGAATTCAAGCTTGCGCAACGCTGAAGATGGACAGAGTTGGAGTACGCGCATGCACTCGCAATTCGTACTCATCTCTTACACTGACGACATACGGAGTAATGGCATACCAGCGTGATCCAAGCAACTGGGTAGATTTACTATAGAAGATGAGGGAAGGAGTATCATGCATCGAAACGTCTCGCGTATATACTGCCTACTCTGCAGCGGCTTGCAGGTCACCACCTCTATTCTTCGGGCATCAATGGAAGGATTCGAGCGATCAAACGGTCTCGCCCCGAGCACAGAGTAAAGTTTTCAGGCATCCCACGATCTGCATACAGACTATGCATCCACATCACATCAACACTTTCCCTCGACCCATGATCCCGTCCTGATGCTACATTCCGCGGCTCACTGAATTTATCATCATTCTCCATCACACTCGCGTCACACACACACGGCACGCACGGGCTCAGCGACTTCTGAGCACGGGTCCTCCCGGCACCGTTTGGAAATCTCAAACGAGGACCTGGGTCGGGACTGCCGCCGTCATCACTGGCGCCCGCAACGCCAAGGCTCCGGCACACGCGAAGCGGGGCGAAGCGCGTGGGATGTGGACTCGAGGTTCCGAGGGTCGCTGTGCTGGGAGAGCCAGCTGAGACGAGACCGCCACACACCATGATTCCCAGCACAGTGGTTCGACCGCGATGTGCTTACCGCCCCGCCGTCTGAGTGGCTCGAGGGTCGCGGCTCGGGAAGTCGGGAGGCGCAGGGGGAGCCCTGCGCTGCTTAGCCGTCGCATTGACGAATCGTAGCATTTGCGAATCACGGGCTGGGGCTCTGTGCTCGCTGCACTGACCGTTTCCGGCGTTGCATGGGATTGGGCTGCAGCACTAGGTAGGTGGGAGATGCAGGAGGATGAGTTGAGCTGAGTTCCGGGGAGGTTTGTGTGATTGATTCGGTGGGTGACGAAATCACTTCTTGATTATGTGTTTTTGCTTTTCTATCACTTTGTGCTAATGGACTGAAGATCTACCTTGCGAGACCGGGGACGAAACAGTGAATCTGACGCCCGCCAGCCCCGTCCGCTGACGTTGGGAAAAATGTGCGAATTACAAGAGCTATGTGCGTGCGAGACGAGCGGCCACCCATCTCATAGTGATTTCCCGTGCTCAATCCTGCACCTTATCCGGGTCTGTTGGGATAGTGAACCGCTTGTGGCCGCTAGTGAACCAGTCACACAGTGCAAGGAAGATAACAAACAGCATAATCGGCCCCGCGTAGTTGAAGTTCGCCGCTGTGACGGGGACCACGGATGGGAATGGCAGCCAGACGATGCAGAAGAGACACCATATCACGGCGTAGATATTGATGGCGAGGCCGAACTTCCCGAGGCTGAAGGGCCCGTAGTGCGGGTGCTCGCCTTGGATTTTGCGTAGCAGGAAGAGGAAGATGGGCACAATGTAGGAGATGTAGAGCGCGATGGCGCCCAGGGAGATGACAGCGTAAAAGGCGGACGTGTTGCCGACCGTGATCAAGCCGATCAGTGCGCAGATGGTAGCCACCAGGCCGAGGGCGCGGGTAGGCATGCGGAGGGTTGGGTGGACCTGAGTGTGATGAGATAACCGGCTGCAGGTACGAGACGTGTGTGCGAAGACTTACATAGGCAAAGTAGGAGGAGAAGGGCAGGCCTTTGTCGCGAGCAAAGGCCCATACAAGCCGCGTCACGGAGGCGTACACGCTGAAGTTGCAGATCACTGAGGGGATGATGATGAAGCAGGTCAGCGTGGTTGCGCCAGCCAAGGAGCCCGTGGCGTTTAGGTAGATCTGGATGACGGGGTAGCCCGTTGGAGACAGGAGAGCCTCCATTGGGTCGCCGATGAAGAAGAGGAGGGTCAGGATGAAGCCGAAAGCCAGGATTCCGTTGATGATGACACCGAGGGCCATGCTAGTAGGGACTTTCTTTGGGGCATCCTTCATCTCGTTACTCAAATGCAGCACTCCGTCGAATCCTAGCCAGAGGTCAGTACGAGGGTATCTCTGCAGCTTTGGATACACAAACCGGTAAGAAGGGAGGTACTGGTAAGTAGCCCAATGCACCACTGAACGCCCTGATTCTCCCAGCCACTCAAACCATAGGAAGAGGAGGTAAAGACATACTCTGCGGAGCTGGGCGAGCCCATGACCGCGAGCGTTACGACTGTGGCAATGAAGAAGGCAAAGTGAACGATTCCACCGAACATCTCAATCACGACAAGCACCTTTCGCGCGTAGAGGTTCAGAACGACTGTCACTGAGATGAACGCCCACATGAGCAGTGTGACGTGCCACAGCTTGGGGATGTAGGTTGGGTTGTTCAGCCCTATCAAGCCTTGGGTCATTGACGCATTAACGTAGGAGCCTCCCGCGCACAGAGCGATCCAGGCAAAGGTCTGGAGGATGTCAATACGTGTGGTTTTTCATTTGGACGGGGAAGCTTACGGTCAACCATCCTTGGATCAAACTCCAGAACGCAGGTGTCATGATACCGTGGGGGGCGTATAGACCTGACCATCGATACTGGGCTCCGACCACTGGGGTACTATGGTGGTGTCAGTGAGCTTTTCTGAATTCTGCAGCGGTAACAGCAGCTTCTTACATTGAGGCCATTTCTCCTAGACTGAGAGCAATGCTGAGGGACCCAATTGTGGCCATGACGAGCCCGTAGACCAAGGAGGTAGGCCCGCCATTCAGTAACCCGGCACCGAAGGTGATGCCAATACCTTCCCAAGTAGACAGAACAGTGAGGCCGAAGGCAACGGCAGGCTTCAGAGTAATGTACCTCTAGAGTTCAGTCAGTGATTGATTGCATTGGAGCGGGTGGATCGAAGGATTCAACGGAGTACACACATCAAGCTCACGGTTCTGGCCAACGCTCCCAGAGTTCCCCGTTCCTCTGGGAATCTCATCGGTCATACCACTGGCGCCCTCATGGACGGACAGTTCGATGTTCTTGTCGTCGAGAACCATGATGGAAGCAATACGCTATAAAATGAAGTACTTCGCCAATTGGGTAACGAGCTGCAAGAGAAAGAAGAATGGATGGGCAGAAAGGTCGACGTGAAATGGTCCACAGGTCACACAATTCCCGGTGCAGTGGGCAGTGGTGCACTGGGAATCCGGGAGATATGGGGAAAGAAAAGTAAATAAAGGCGGCCGCACCTATTCTTCCCCAATCTCAGGCGCATGCTGGAACCCATGCCCGTGGTGGCTTATCACACTACACGGAGGCACTGGGCGAAGCCACCAGCTCTGAGCAGTCCTTTTGGCGGAAACGAGAACCCACATGCATGGCAGGTGCTGGACCAGCTCCCGTCCAGGCCCCGACCCGCCAGTGCCCAAACCCCCGGGAGAGGCGATCCTTGCCGTACCGCCCGAACCAATACGAGCTGCAGGTCGACGCGAGATCTGACTCGCGCCAGCATCACTGTGAATGTCCATGCCTGTGCACCGCCGGTGGGATGCAACTGCACATTTGCTTGGCTCTCCCCAACCAGAGAGGCGTCCAGCCGCGTTAAGGAACGAGCAATCCGACCAGGGACAGCCCAGCCAGGAGGGCATTTACATGACGCCTCGTTCTAAGCCCCGACGCAGTTGCAAAACATGAAGGCGCCAGCATCGCAGACAATATATCGTCAGGTAGACCCTTGCTTTAGCTGCACAGTTGACTCTGTTTGAAATCGAGCTTCAGTTGCCTCCTTGCCTGCCTTCTCTGCTGTCTTTTCTGTGTTCTGTTCTGTACGACAATGTCCAACCCTCGTCACAAGCCGGGTGCAGTCGTCGTGGCCGTGTCGTACTCACTGATCATCACCACCCTCGCCTTTGCCATTGCCAGATTCTACACCACGTTCCGGCGGAGACAAGGCTTCAAACTCGGCGACTGGCTCTTTCTGTGTGCAAATGTACGTTATCTTTCCTGTTGAGCACGTCTGCACAGAACAATGAACGATTCGTGCTGATCAGATCGTCGCGACCCACAACAGATCATAGGCCTCGCACAGAGCATCGTTGTCGATCGTGCTGTACAAAAGGGCCTCGGCCATCACATTAACGAGCTGTCAGCGTCGCAAGTCGATGCTTACTTCAAGGTGAGTGGAGAGTCTGCACGGCATCGTGATCCTTCCCGCATCCTGCAATCACTTAACGTTGGTAGTTCCTCTACATATCGCAACTGCTCTCCATTGCTGTTCAAGGGCTCTCGAAAGCCTCAGTTGTTATCTTGATTTCGAAGCTTGACAACAAGAAGACGACGAGGCAGCAATGCTATATCATCCATGGGCTGACTGCGTTCTGGGTTCTGTTCTCTGTCCTCACAGTCGCTTTCCAGTGCGGCTTCCCCAGCCCATGGGTCTTCAGCAAGTCGAAATGCACGGCGGGAGGTAATCTTTACTACGTGGTGATCGTCTTGAACATCATTACGGATGCTATCATCTCGACGTTTTTCCTACCCGTGATATGGAAGCTACAGATGTCGAAACGAGAGCGCACCATCGTCAGCACCATCTTTGCTTCTCGACTGAGGTAAGCCCCCATACCCCCTACTACTACAAAAATGATAGACCCTAACAATCTAGTGTCTGCGCCACCTCAATCGGCGAATGCGTCGTCCTAGGCTCTTATCTGAACTCCACCGACTTCACCTGTAAGCCCCACTACTACCAGTCCCCTTTACACAACACACCAGCTAACAGAACCCCCAAGTCAAGGCCGTCGCGCCCGCCATCCTCGCCGCCGTGACCATGAACCTCTCCATCCTCACCGCCGGCATCCCCAACGTGCACCGCTTTCTCGCGGACCTGCAAACCGGCCAAATGGGCACGCGCCTGACCGAAGACCAGATCGAGTCGTCGGGCGCCGGCTCGCGCCAGCGCTCCTACTTCTCGCGCTCGGGCGGCAAGAACTCAAAGTCCTCCAACAGCGGCCTCTCGCTGAAGCTGACGCCCATCCACCGGGGCGGGGTGACGACGACGTGCACGACGAACGAGGGGGGCGAGGGGCAGGGGAGGGGCCAGCGGGATGAGGTGGATGAGGACGGGAGCACGAGCAGCTTGAAGCGGAATGTGGTCATGCAGACACGGGAAATTTCGGTGGATTATGAGAGTAATCCGGATTATAGGGGTGGGGAGAGTGTCGAGGGAGGGGGAAGGAGGAGGGTGTGATGGGGCTGTGAAGGCCTTTGGTCCGGGGTTATGAGAGGGTGAAAAGGGATTTGAAATGTGTACTTTTGGGAGACTTAGACGGCTTTTATGAGCAATCGAAGAGTGAGGAGAATATGGAATGGCGTTGCTGGCCGTGTCGTTCATATGACTGAGATCAAATAGATGGCTCTCTTTCCAGGCAGCTTTGTAGATAGGTGCTCCTAGGAATGCAAAAGTCTTGCAGCCACAAATATGGCGCAGAGTGGGGAAATGCAGGACTCGGTAGCTCGAGGTATCAGTGTGTACATCTCTTTTGTCGCTGTGACACTGGTGGGGCAATTTGGTCCATTCCCGGAAATATGAACAAGATGAAAAGTACATACGTTCGCCGGGGCGCCTCAAACCGGGTTTGGAGTCTTCCCACCACTGAAATATGAGATTGGCATAAGGATATATCGTGATCATCCAATACAGGAACAATCGTAAAATCAAAACACGTGAAATGATTCCAACCAAAAGCGCCGTGAACAATATTGGGTGCTTTTACCACCAGATCTGACTCCAGATCAGACATACCTTAGTGCAGGATCGATTGTCTCCTGAGGCTCTTTATCCGAAGCGTCATTTGGATTCGTAGGATCCGACCCCGACCCTTGGGCAGAATCGTAGAAGTCGCCCCGGGTGATGGCATATTGATTCGCTGGGTCCACACCCGACCCTGGGAGAACATCGTAGAAACTGTCTCCTTGCGCGGTGACATATTGAGCAAACGTCGTTGGCGGTGGAGCAATTGGTGCCTGGCCATTTGCCTGTTGAACTCGTTGCCAGCGTCGCCCGTAACCACGGACGAACCCATTCAAACGGTCAGTAGTGAAAAACTGTTGCGATGCTAGAAGTCTATTTGCGACTGTCTCGAAATCTCGCGTAAAACTGAAGTCAATACGCTCTCCAGATGAGACAGTACTAGGGTAGGCGTCTTTTGCTATTGCTTCTTGTGACCGGAGAAGGTTGTAGAATTCGTGCCACACATCGTGTGTGAATTCTTCCAGATCCGCTTGTAGAAGAGGTTCCGTAAATTGAAGAAAAGCGTCCTTGAAATGGCGAATAGCAACGAGAGCAGCGTTTGTCAAGGTATCCTGGCTCGGCAACTGTATGGCTTGATTTGAGCCTTCACTCGTTGACATCTTGCTAGTACCTTGAATGGCTGGAGCGCGTGGGCTTTGCTCTTCGATAGCCCATAGCGTGTCGTCATCTAGAGTGTACTCATCATCATGAGGGTCTTGATCGTATCCAAGGGTTGAAAATAGTTGGGATCGTAGACCTGATCTAGGGGCGTAATCGCTACGTTGTGAGACTACCGCTTCGGGCTGTAACTTTTGTTGGAGGAGCGCAGCTTGATCTTGGTCTTCTGTATGGGAGGCAGCTATGGGAGCCATCAGTGGTTGGTCTTGTGGCAAGGCCTGAGGGACATGCGGTTTGACATTCGTAAATCCATTGCCTAGAGCCGATATTAGCATGACAGGCTTCCTAAAATCGCCTTGAGTTGCAGGACTTTCGACTTACGTGGGTCTGGTATTCGGTTCACATGTGGGTAAAGCCTGACGTAAAGGTCCTTCCAATGGACAAGGACTTTTTCACCCTTGGGCTGCGGGCTGCCACGGCATTGGGATCGCTGGTGTGTTTCGTCCCACTCCGTCTGGTGTACTACCAGTGCCTTGCATTGCTTGCAGTACTTAAGGATAAGTCCGAACTTTGCAAGGTAAGTCGTGTGAGACTTAAGATGTCGTCGTAATTCCGACATATTCTTCGCTGTGAACCCACTCATACAATCGCGCTTGTCCTGCTGAACATTTTCCAGCAGTTCGTACTTGTGCACCGGGCAAGCGAGAGTTGGTTTCTCAATATCAACTGTTTTCGACGGGAGACCTTTCAGCTTCTTCGGTGTGCCGTCGTCTTCACCTTCGGAATCTTCACGTTCGATTCTTCGAGGGCGTTTGCCGAAGCTTCCTTGGCTCGAAACCCCGATTCCGGCCTGTCCGGATTTCCCAGACGGTCCAGACTCTGCAGGCTTTGTAGCTATAGGCGGGATGGTTGATGACCCCCCAGGGGCCGCCTGCTTGATATGATCATGAGCCAAATGGGAGCCGAGGCCAGCCAGATCAACATTGTTAAGAGTTTTTGGGAGCTGCTCAGACGAAGATTGACTTTGACAGCCTGCTCGTTGTCTGGCAAAGTCGATATCTGTTTGGACACCTCTTCCACGCGGAAATGCGGCACCTGGACCGGGGCTCCTGTGGAGGGCTAAGCGGAGGAAAGCATTAGGGTCTGAAGCATTCTGAACTCCGACTCTTGGAAGTTCGAAGCTTTGCGGGGGTGCTGATGCATGGGCTGAAGTATCGAAACGATAGGTACGTTGGACCAACGGGCGAGTGACTTGATCCAGGCGATCCAGTGCGTGAGAGAACGCATGGACGGCGACTTTATCTTCACTGTTTACAGGACCAGATTAACGAAGATCAAGATATCGAACATGGTAGCTTACATTTTGAATCGTAGGACTTGAAGAAAGGCATCCCACTGTCGGAAGAACCTGTTGACGAAGGATGGGTCCTGGACGAAATCGAGCTTATCTACAAAATAGTTGAAGCATTCGGTCGCATCGTCCAAGACCCTCTGCCTTGACCTCATTTGTTCCGGAATCTTAAGAGTGCGTTGGGATCGAGGCTTGTCGGAACAGCTGTTCGTACGTAGTTCTTGACTCGTACTGTCAGGCAGCTGTGTCGTTGAAAAGTGACTTCCTGGGTCGATATTGTGTCTAGCCCTGATAGGAAGTCTTAGATGGTATGAAAACACTGGAAGAGGCTCGGATGAGTTCCCCAAATCGGTGTGATGTTCATCCTTATTGTTATCGCCGAAGTAAGGCGTGCGTTCATCAGGAGCTCTCTCCATCCATTGAGACATCGTCAAACCATCTTCAAAATGAGTGGCGATATGCTGAATCCTCTGCGGCCAGGTTTCGAAGGTCGCGCCACAGAAGCCACAGGTTCGGGGGAAAACCGCGGCATAATCAACTTGCGATGCTCTAACAAGCTTTGAACGAGGTTCGCAGTGGCCACGATGACTGTTGTCCATGTGCAAACCGAGTTTATCCTGACGATGAGTGATGAATGCCTCATGAATGGAAGATGGACAAAGAACGCAAATCCAGACTTGTTGCGGGTATCTGATCTCCTCGTGTCGCCTGAAGTCATCTTTGCGTTTTGAGGTGGCTCCGCACCCCGAAGTGCACTGGTATCTCCCCTTGGCCGAGGTGTGATGCTTGGTATCTTTCGGACATTTGTTCAAGGCCTCTGCAGCATAGCACTCTACTCGGTGTAGTCTCTCTTTTTGTGCCCATTGACTGAACCAATCTTGATTCCAATATGGAGATGTAGCTTCTACAGGTTCTAGCGTGTTTGGTGGAGATGAGGTGCGAGTATAACATCCTGTTTCTTCGGTCTGAAGCAAACTACCGTAAGTTGAATCGCGCGACTCGCTTTGGTGGGAGCTCAGTTGAGATAAGTGGATGTTTAGAGGGGGCGATTGGATGATTTCGTGACCAGGAGACCCCGCTCCGAGGTGTTCGGTTCGTGTGTGCCGGTGGTTGGCTTCGTCCAGATTTGCCGTATTCGATGGAAGGGCGTCAGAGGATTTATAACGACGACAGCGCGTTTGGGTATGGGAGCTATCGAAGGACAATGTCAGCAGTGGGAAAGACATAAGCTACAAGACTCCGGGTGGTTTACATAAGAAGAGACCTGCTTGGAAACGTAGCAGAGCACCCCTCGCAAGCATACTGTGCTTTCTCGGGGTGGGCATAGTGTGATTCCACGTTGGGCCGCGCACACTGCTCAACTGCGCTCCTGTAGAACTTAACACGACCCCGAGGCTTGGAACAACAGTTAGCGTTTGGTACCCCTTTGGGAATGGAGTAGACGCTCACCCGGCTGATAGGCACATGGGCGGCCCTTGGTACGTAAGACATGAAGGCAGAGTTGAAGAAGGCAGAATATGCCTTTTGTAGCCTTGGGGCGAGGGAAAAGTATAAGAAGTCGAGCTTGGGGACTCCGTTGGACCCCAAATCTCTCCGGAGGAGCTGTGTTCAGGAGTCTTCGTTCGTTCGAAAAGCGAAAATTTTAACAAGTAGGCGAATCGTACGTCCCCTCGAACAGCAAGGCTGATGCAATATTGAAGGAGTTTATACATGTACTACAAAAGAACAGATATTGGAACGATGAAGAAGAAAAGAAGAAGAGAATGCGGTCTCTAGGAGAAGAGCCCGAAAAAGAGCGAAAACCCCCCGGCCACACGAGAGACCAGGCGGTCACGGGCTGATTTTGAGTTGTTGATATGCTGATATGCGAGATGCTGAAATGCGGAAATACAGAAATGTCCCAGCACAGCCACATAGGTATGCCGATCGCAAGGGATGACGAAGCGCAAGCCACAAGCGGCAGGCTGGGCTCTCCAACAATCATTCTACAGGTCCTCAACAGTTGTTTCCCAGAGTCTTTCTTCAAGAACTTGTTCATCTCATGCCAGAATTAACATGAAACCTACACTGCGTAGGAGCGTGCATTTAGGGCGTTACTTCGACTGCACTGATAGTGCTTCGTACAGTCTGCGAGAAACCTCCCCGGGAGACAGGCACAACGGCCAACAGCGATACAAGCAACTCCGTCATTCCAGCTTCTCTACAGCTGCGCAGCTCCGCTATTAGTTTTTGCTTCAGGAATGCACGCGGCTACATGCGCACTCGCTTACAGGCCTTTCGCCAGTTGAGAACGAGATCGAGCGAGTGAGCCTCACAACGATTCTGTTGCTTGATGCCCCAGACGACATGATCGTGACGGAACGAATACGCGGATGAACAGCACTGTACAGCGCCATGGCGCCAAATCCTCATCTCGAGCGAATATGATAATATAAGGAAAACTCGAACTTGAAGGTATGACAGCTTGAATTCGACCAAAACAAACCTTTGCGAGCACTAGGAAGTACGTATGGTACAATCTATCCAAATAAAAATCCAGGCTATCTCTAGGAGTCAACTTCATATCCCTAAAAATCGCGTGGTTGATAACACTAAGGAGCTCTTAAGCATCATCGAATGCCCGCCCGGAAATAACGACGCAGATATGATGGGAACGATCAGAGCCAACACGCCGAGATTGTGTCGTCTGTGAAGAAAGATGCTTGATCTAGCCGTGCCCTTCAAAAAGCCAGTCTTTCGAATTGCGACGCTGTCTAAGGTACGTTGATCTGTGATCGGACGCAAACAAAACTGACCAGACACAGCCTGTTAATACGGGCTTAGAAGCGGAACCTTCTAAGTGCATCGTTGCAAAAGTGTGGAAACCGACGCAAGCCTTACCGAAGCCTTTCACGATCCACAAACCATTACGAGGTCTCGAGAGTTCCTCTCCCAATATCGCGGGACCGTAGTTGGCACACGGTTGGAGGATACTATTTCGCACTCGAAAGCGTGCTACATCGGATGTGAAGTCAACAATTCGAGCATCGCATACCATACTGTGGGAGTCCTGACTGTCGCTGTTGTCCCATCATGCGGCTATTAGTTCCGCGATCGCTAGTGGTATGGTGGCCCTGGTTGCAGTACTTGAGACGGTGTTATTCTGGATGTTGAAAAAATGATGGCGTTCTGATGGGGAGCGAAGGCGTAGATGGGTGCAGGATGAAAGAAGAGAGTTTGATCAATTTAAATGACGGCCTGACTCGTCACTCCTAGCACGTGGCAGGACATCATGGTGCTCCGTGTTTATAACATGATTCAAAACTTCCATTCCAGGTTGATCCTAAATGCCTGTTCCGTGTTCAAGAACGATTAGCTGGATAAGATCCTTGCTTTATGTAAGGCGGCCGTTTGCATGACTCCACAGGTCCGATTGGCTCTAGTCTCTTTTGTCCCATACAGCCATAGCATTGGAGGACGACCAACGGTGGTAAAAAGGCCCTGAGTCACAGCTTTGACGAGAGCTTGATTCATGACCTGCAAAGCTAAATAGTGTCGAAGGACTTCTACGAGCATCAAAACCGCTGTTTCCGGGCTAGTCTGATTCAGAGCGTGCCAACTTTGACATCGTGGCTGCAATTTTCATGCGGTGTTGAAGGACTTCCAACAGCATCAAGCCGATGTCAACCTCACACCCACGTCTGCATAAATACCACGTTTACGCCTCCCTCTAGATTAACCCACGCTATGCTCGCATGTTTCTCCATGACTAACATACGCTTCCGTCTTAAAATCGAACCACGCTATGCTGGCATGATCTACCATTTTATAAAATACTGTCAACCCGTCGTACTCCACTCCCGCCGCAAGATCTAACCACGTCTTGCCCACATGATCCACCATTACTAACTACAACCTCTGCCAATACGTCCCTCTCTCGTCACAAGATTGAACCACCCTATCCCCACGAGATAACCCATTACCAGCAATACCCTCAACGTAACGTACCCCACTTGCCCCCCCCAAAAACCCCCTTTCCACTCCCCTCTCTCCTCACAAATACTCCCACCCCCTCCTCGCCTCCGCCTCTCTTACTCCCAAAACATCAAAAACCCCCCTCCCCCCCTCCTCTTCCTCCCCTTCTTCTCCCACTTCCTCACCCTCTCCCCACCCCATCTCCTCCCCCAACCCCAACCTCGCCCTCCTCCTCGCCCTCAACGCCCTCGCCTCTTCGGGGCTAACATCCTCCTTCCCACTCCCCTTACTATCCCTCCGTGGCCTCTTCCTATACCGCTCCCGCAGCACACTCGTCAGCTGGTCCACCGGCGCCGTCTCCCGCCACTCGCCCCCTCCGTCCTCACTCAGCACCGACAGCGGGCCCGGATCCTCGGGATGTTGGAGCGAGAGGGGGTCCAGCGAGCCGGCGTCCCGCGGCGGGCGAAGAAGGCGCGGGAGCGGGGGCGCGCGGGGGGTTTCTAGTGCTTCGTGTGACGGACGCGGGGACGACGAGGGGGTGCGTGATGGCGATGATGATGATGATGATGGTGATGATGATGATGATGGTGATGGTGAGGGTGGGGGAGGTCGCGGAGACGGCGAGATGGTGATGGCGCGGCGGATGTAGGTGCGTTGCGTGCGGGTGACAGGCGTTTTGAGGGTGCTTGGGCGCTGAGCGTGGGCTTTTTGCGGAGCTTTGGTGGTTTGGGACGCGCGAGTGGTGGGCTGGGTGCGGGCACGCTGTCCAGCAGCGACGCGGGCGTTTTCTGCGGCTTCGAGGGCGCGGAGGGAGGGCTTGGGGTCTGGTCTTAGGCGCATTTTCGCGTGGATTGGTGGATTTGAGAGATTTGTGGTCGAGATGACGTGGGAGAGAAAGGACAGGTGCTGCTGCTTCTGGTGGTGATGGTGATTGTAGTGGTGATGAGGAGGATGTAGAGGAAATGGTGGTTGAGCGTGAGACGGGGGAAGATATGGATGTAGTCATAATACACTGGACACAATAGGAGGGAACAATAGAGACACAATAGAGACATTCTAACCGTTTATGGGGTTGTTACTGTGAAGAGGTGAATATCAATGGGAGGTGGTCCAAGCGTTGACACGGGGGTCCGTTTGCTGGCTTTTTGTCCCAACTACGTTCAGATGGAAACACCTTTTTTCTTGACATAAGGACGAACTGGTGGCCAGTTGTGTGGGTCTTTTACTTCCATTATGCACAAGCAAACTGTCGTAAGTTCCTTTCGCAGTGTGCACGCAAACCTCTCCCGATGCCCGTAGACACTCGCTCGCCGCCGTTTGAAGCCCGTCAATACCTTCTTGAATATCTCTATAGGATGTAATATCTTCCCACGACAATATTGGAACTGGCGTCTGCATGCTCTGGAGCGATTACTTACTTACTTGAGCGGCTTCGGCGGCGGTATCCGGCAGGCAAGACAGGTGCGATATCGAAGCAAGTTCAGAAAACCTAGGACAGTAACAAGCGAACAACGACAAGTTTGGTCGGCCTTTGGGCAACCTGAAATGGCCTTGAAGCACTTCTGGCAGCACGCAAGTTGACCTGATGAGCACGATGATAGGAATCTGCTTAATGCATTGCTCGGAGAGTCTAATCTCTATCCGGCTTCTGGACTGGTGTGGCACCTGGAGATCATTAGCATCGATGCATTTGACATCGGCACGATAGTCAAGGGATAACTTACCCAAGACCCATCCCAAGCCACTGGCCAAGCCGCCAGTTACAGCATTCGCGACCATATCCCGCTTACGAACTCTCCCACCTTCGTCACTCCCCGCAAAACTCCCAGCTTCACTTCCCAGATCCGACGACATCCGAGCATGTCCGCTGTCGCCGCTACGAACGGCGCCAGTAGCGCTGTCAGTGCTGACACTCGCGCCTCGGAGCGGAAACGCACTCCTTGAAAAAGCTGCCGCAGCACCTCTTGCAACATCAAACAGTCCCATCGGCGCCTCCTCAACAGCACCTCTGCCGACTTCTCGTCGAGGCTGTATGGTAACCGTCTCTGTGAATGCTCCTGGTAGCTTCTGATCGGCTCGATCGTTGAAGCGCTGCTCAGCCTCGTTCTCCTGCGCCAGCAGCGTCGTCATCTCTTCTTCGCATTCTTGCCAAACGCCAAGCACCTCTGGTAGGTTCGCCGGGGGGGCGAGCAGGAGCGCTTGACTGAGCAGCTCCATTCGTTGTTCTAGTCTTCGCAGTATTGGAGGCGCGGTGGATCCGGCGGAGTTGTACGAGCCTGACATCGGTGAAGAGCGATGGCGTCCTGCGAGAAAAGCAGCGCGCCATGACAGATCGTCTTCGTCTTTCTTCTGGCGACCGGACGTCAGGTAGTCGACGGCGATGGAAGGTCTCCTGTCCAAAGAAGATCTCCTACTACTTGTCGGCGTGAGGGGTGACAGAGGCCCTATAGGCGACAGAGGCGACGCAGGCGTTCCAGGTGTTGAAGGCGTTCCAGAATAATTTGGAGGCGATAAACGATTGACAACGTACGAGTACGCAGTTTCAAAGTCGTCTTCTGCAAGGGCGGCCTCGATAGCCATGCCAATGACTCGTCTTTCTGCAGTGTTTTTGCGTCGATTCGATTCGGTGGGGGTAAGATCGATGATAGAGTCAGGAGCGCCTTCGGAAAGCCTAGGGGGTGTTGCAATGACCAAATTTTGGCCGATCGAGATGAAATCGTCAAGATGGGTATAGCTGCGTGGATTCTGGTCCAAGACCTTCTCTAACAGCGAAAGTGGGTCAAGACTAGCTCGGATCATGACGGGTTTGAACGGAACGCCATGCTGCAGAGTCAAGGAGTAGAAAGATAGTGCATGCGTCGCAGAGATGAGGGCCTTGCTTCTTTGGAATGTAAATGAATTTGGAAAATACTTGTCGAAGGTTGAAATGATATCAGCAGCCTTCTTCATGCCCCCTCTAGTTCTATTCCCATTGCTGGCGTTGTCGTAGTGGGCCATGGCCGCTGTGATGATCACAGTTTCGATTTCTTCCAACGAAAGACGATGATAAGGAGTTGCGCTGATGTATATCTTAATGGCGAGTGTGTGGCGACCGGTGTCTAGGAAAGCTCGTAGAATTTCCCTCTCGAAAACTCCTCTTTCTACTTTCCCAAACACTCCTGCTCCAAACAAAGCACCATTCTCATCGACATCGATTCCCCAGTTCCATAGCCATAGTAATCGATCCCTCACAAGTGACCATTGGTCGTCATCCTTTTGCGGGCCGGTGGTCAATCCGTGCAAGATTTTCTGAAGCATGCCAAACTGCTCATCGTCGGTCTTGTGGAAGCGTAATTTTGCGACATTCACTATTGAAATGTTGTAACTCAAACCACCAAAATTGTAAGCCGAGTAAACGAACATCTGGAGAAGGCAAAATGTCTGCACCTCCGGTTTCGTTAGGGGGTTGTCGGCACGAAGGAGCACATCTTGAAAAAGAGTGGCAGATGGTTCTTGTAAAATAGGGGAGGCCGTGTCGATCTTTGGTAGCAACTCAACACTAGTTGCTAGACCTGGAGGCGGCTCGAAGTCCATGAGCGTTGCCAATCGAACTAAGAGCGAGTGTGCTCCTTCGATGGCCTCTGGAGTGTTTGCCTCAACTGCATATGCACTTGCGAGAGCTGACTGCGCATATCGGATCTCGAGTCGCCGCTGCATTTCCTCTTCGAGATACTGGTGCCCCTCGTCATAGCCTCCCAAATCCACGTCACCTGGACCATCCCAGTCTTCTATGGCGCTCGTCACGAGAGGAAAGTCATCGGTAGCCGTATGAACGAACCATGCGAACAAGCATTCCCAGTCTTCGTCAGACTCTGGCACGGCTTCCTCAGGAAACGAGTTGGTGCGTTTAACTGCTGTGTTGGTCTGGCTGTCGGCTGCTAACGGCTCTTGCCGGCCTGTATCCAACTTCCGCCGTTTCCTCTCGTTATGCCCATACATCCACGGGCCCACAAGCCCTCTCAAGTCCCTCCCTATTTGTGGACCTGCTTTCTTATCCGCGGCGGGCTTTCGGGTAGGAGACAGGAACATATCAACGACTTTTGCGCCCTTCATTTGGCCGAATTCTTGCAAGGTAGGAATCGTATTGTGGGGATGGTACTCGTAGCCGTAGCGAAGCAAGGGCAGAATTGAAGATATAAACCAAGTTCTTAGGTATTCTGAGTGTCGAAGAAAAGGTACAATGAGCTGTGGGACGAGTTCTAGTAGACCTGTCTCCGCATCAATGCGATGGACTCGGTGGACGAGGAAGGGCGTGAGTATATCTTCCGACGTGTCGGGCGTGTAGGAGGAATGAGCTATTTGCAGTAGGTGCAGTTTGTGTACCCGTTTCCGTGCTATATTCTCTGATAGGTCCACGACCGGGGAGATGTCGAGAGGGGTAGCATTGTCCTGTCCTTCTGAGTATATTCTTGACGCAGTTTCGTGAACAAAGGTAGTGTATAAGGTAGGCTCCGTGCTCTCGGGAAGGTAACTGAGTATGATCCTAAGTGTGAGTTGAGGATTGAAGGCATCTTTCCGGGATATCGTCAATGTGCGGAGGGCGGTGATGTTGGCTTCGGTGGCATATTGCACCGCAAGGAGGACGCTCTGAGGCACGGATAGTCTCGCAGCTTCAGCCATGGATAACGATGTGAGGCGAGATCACTGGAAAGAGTGGTGGGGCATGTCGTGAGGGCAGATGCCACGCAGGCGGAGAGTGGTGTCAAGAATGAAGCTTTGATGGTTTCTTGGTCGGCGCGTTCCAGGTTCGTGACGAGCGCGTGCGAGTTCACTAGTGTCTGACAGTTTAGCTACGTGGGATAAGCCCTGCTCGTTCCGCTGCAGAGCGCTTAGACGTCACTAAAATACCTCTGCTCCGATCTACCTCATCGATTGTTGATATAATCACTCCAAATTCACCAAGCAAGGGTAGAGTGATATTACTCCGTCGAGTCGTAGAAACGAGTTGGGAAGCTTTACCCAAGAATGTTATAAGACGATTCGACATCACATTCAAATTTCCGTCACAAGCTTAAGCAATTAGATACTCATGGTTATCGCGTCCGAAGGGAATTGAATCCAAACCGGAATTAATTCGCACTTCTGTCTCAGAGTCACATAATTACAAACATGCTATGCTAAATATAGACGCACCTATAACGCCAACGCTAGCGCCGAATGTAATTGAGAGAAAGGAGAAAGGCGAGCGATACCACGCCTTCGTCTGCCAGTAACCGAAATTCATGACCTCATAAAATTAGAAAGAAGTAAGGAATCATAACTCCACAACTCCTCGCCGGCATGGTGGATGAAAGAAACAAGACATGGGGAAGAAAGCCGTTCTTACTCATTAGATTGTACATAAACCCGTTTTATAGGTCGTCCTCGTCGTTCCTCTAGATCCGGTAGCGGTTTTGAACCGCTGCTGCTTATACCATTCCGCTAAGCTCCTTCACCGCAACATCTCATAACTGATCTGGGCTAGTAGTCGTTGGTTCAACCGAGGGGGCGGGCAAACTTGGCTCGGAGGTTTGCCGTTGATTGTCTGTTTGCTGAGGAGTCGCCTCAGAAGGAATAAGCACCAATGGTGTCGTCGTTTGTTCAGAGGTTGTGGGCTGGGCTGGCGTTCCATTTGTCTCAGCCTGTGGGTCTGTGGAGCTGCCCTCTGCGGAGTTCACTGTTGCTGCATTGCTGGCAGCCAGCTCTCGTTCCTTTCGTTCCTTTCGTTCCTCTTCCTCTGCCGCCGCCTCTGCCTCTAGCTTATCCTGCGCCTCCTTCTCAATAGCTTCCTTGCAAGGATTGCATAGTAGGATGCCGCAGTATCCGCACTCGTACGCGAAGCTGAAAGGAGGATACTTGATCTCGGAACGGAACGTGAACTCGGTTGGAAACGCGTTCGTCTTCTGTGGAGCTGATGTCGAGAGCGTCGTCGAAGCAGAGTTCGCAGATACAGGCGGATATAAGCTCGTAGACCCGGAGTCTTCGGCAATAGACATCGACCGTTCTGCTGCATAAGAATCACCGTCAGTCATGATGACATCGCCATACTCATCCACAAAGACTTGCGGAGAAGCAGGAGAGTTACCAGGATCAGAGGCATTCCCAGCCACCAGATCACCCAGAACACGATCGGGATGCCATTGCAGGCCTGAATTGCCGTGTCCTGTTCCCAGCAAGGTGTAGGCTCGACCGAGCGCGCGTTCACGACGCGATCCTCGATCTCTGACCCGAGCCCTAGATTCCTCAGGGCGGCGGTAGCCTCCAACCATGCGTACCTTCCCAGAGTTGCCCATTTTTTTTGGCAGGGTGATTTCGGGGTAGATGTTCGCCCAGCAACGCGAACATTCCATGTTTGAAATTTGATATTCCTCCTTCAGGCGCTGCTCGAAGTCGACCTTCGCAGTCTCGAGACGATGTTCACATTGCCAGGCTCGATCAGGCGGCTCTTCAGCTGGCTCCGATCCAAAGTTTGCGTTTCGCGCATCCCAGTACTCGTTCGAGGCGATATCCAAATTAATAGCCCGTCCATTCACAGTCCCTGCAACAACAAGCGGTACGAGTGGTGTCGCATCCGCACCCTCCAAAGGTGCTTTGGTCGCTCGGTCACGCTCCAGCTCTTCGATTTCGTCGGCGTCGTAGTCATCGTTCTCTTCTTCCTCCGGCTCGAAACAGTTGCCTCCGCACTCATCCATGGGCACTAAACACCACCAGCAGAATTGGGCACCACACAGACATTGCATATGGTTACATCCCATCATGCGCCGGACACCATTTCTGCATTTGGGACATTGTTTGTAGCCCCATCGCTTGAGAGCTGTGGCAGTCTCCTTGTCGACGCCGAAATCGAGTACTTGGCATGGAGCTCCAGGGTGAGCTGGCTGGCGACATTTGGTACAGGCGTCATTGGTACACTTCGGACATGACACGTGTATCTCCTTTGGCGTACCAATAACGGAGTCAACCCGTGCCTTGCCTTTCTTCGTAGTTTCGGGTCGGGCAACAGGCAAGAGTCGGTTCGAAATGAAAGCAGAACACGTCGGGATAGGGCAGTACATAGGGTTTGGCGTGCTCCATTCTTCATACTTCTCCCTGAGGCCCAATGAGTCTGGTTTTTGTAGTAGATATTTAGCTTCAGAAGATCACTTACCTGTACTGTTTGGCTTCATCGGGAGAGAGCATGGGGAGCGCGACGTGGAGCTGGAGAATGATACAGCATTTCGGGGGCATTCTAGTAGTGTCTTTGCATGCTTTAATGAACATGCCTTTCACGCAGCTCTTGCAGTAGTCGCTGTGGCAGAGACGGCATGGGCGAACGGCAGGTCCAGCGGGCTTTTCAACGGCGAGCTCTTCGGTGCAGATTATGCAACGAGGCTCTGGCTTCTTGATTGGAGGCAGGACCATAAGCGGAGTGGGAGCAGGAGGATGGGCAAGCGGTGCTGGCGGGTGAATAGCCCCAGCTGGCAGTGGCGGAGGCGGCGGCGGAAGAGACATATCTGCGGCCGCTTCACGTTCACGGGGGAGATCTTGAAGAAGATGAGTTAGAATTGATAGAGAGCGGCGAAGACGCTGCACACCGTTGAGGTTACTTTCGCCGACGTCTGCATGCGCTCGTAGAAGTGGCGGCACGGGGCGTTCGGTGGGCGGAGCCGTGGATGTGTTGGAGATGTCTACAGGCACAGGTGATTCGGTGGTTGTAGACGGTAGCGACGTGGCGAGGTGGTTAGAGTCTTGGGGGCCAGAGGTCGTCCGGTCTAGGTCAGAGACAGCGCGGGCTTTCCGCCGGTCGAAGGCTTTAGAGAGTCGAGCACCCATAGTTGCGGTTGATAGTGAACGTATGGCGCGGCCAGGCACCACATATAAGGCGTCGACGGGATCGAGAAGAGTCATAACACGATCTTGAGTCAGGCCACATGGCTCAAGAGGGCTGAGATGTGGGGAACGCTTGGATGGCATGAGGCGCTGCGGTGAGCAGGCTGAGACGGTTGCCTGCAGACGTCAATCAATTCACGGCAGGCTGAGGCGGCCGTCCATGGGTCTCTCTGGAATCTGTCCAATCAGGATACGCCGTATTTGTCCACGTCTGAAGAGCTCTACCCGGCAGCGGGCTACATACTGATGGCCAGGACGTCAATACATGGCATCATTGCACTGGCTGCTCACGACAGCTCTCGATGCCATTGGCTAACTCTACCCATCAGGCAGATAACACCACTACCTACCGTCCCGCCTGTCATAGGATTCATGATGGAGCTGTCAACTTCCTCTTCAATGGGCGATGACGGCGGAAGCGTGCAGCTCTGCTAACCAGTCACAACGATGCAGGATGCGGGAAGGGGCATGGCTGTTGACGTTGACACGAAGCCAATCATCTGAGACATTCCCCGCAGCCACGCACAGCCACCGTATAGAATACCTAGCGCCACTGCTACTTTGTAGGGTATCTATTTACCTAGTGCCGCCCTTTATCGTGACTCCTCCTTTTGCCCTTTTGCTTACGGCCTCTCCAGTTTGGAGTATGCTCAACTTCTTATATTTGCACTTCATCAGATTCGGAAAAACCGAGTGCCTCCAACATTTCTGCGTTGAGAAGGCTCGCAGAGTGTACCGGTTCTCCATGTGGTTTAGCATTTTCTGACAGCCGGAGGCCGCAATGCAAAGCCTCAGCCTCCTTCATAACACGATAGCTGATCGTACGCTAAACATTTTCCTCGTTGTTCTTCTTTCAATTGCGAAGTTCCTTCTATCCTTGCTACTCCCCTGGCGGCCAGCCGAAAGCCCACATGATGTGAGAGGTTGCTCAAGAAATGTATGAATAATCGCACTCATTGTCCATCCCCATGGAGCTCGCCTCTCCCGTTGCGGGTGCTGGACGTAAGCACATTAGCTTCAGAGAATGGTACTTCAGCCAACGTTAAAATTTATATTCCAACCGAGCAGCCTATTAGCAACCCTATATCTGCCTCAGCCACTGTTGGGGGGCCGACTCAAAACTATTAGAAACGAGCACATCGAACTACGCTGTTTTTCAAATGAGATAGCCTAGGACTTCCTTCCTCGAACCTTCCAGTATGCTGTTATTGTTGCAAGGAGATTCGAAATACGCTATCATTGGATAGACTCTCTACGCTTGTATTGCGATCGATCCAGCATCGAGAGCCTCAGAAATCTGAGGTCTTTCATCCAGCATCCTAAGGAGCTGAATCGGGATCCTCGGGGCATGGGAATACATAATTAGCCGTAAAAGCGAATGAGAGACGCTACCTTATTCGAGATAGATTACTTAAAGAAAGCGAAGTAAAACTAAAACTTTTTGAGAAGATGAGAAAGAACGTCGTCGTTGTGCCGCACGATGAGGCTGAGATGGCCTTCAGAATCCATGCGCTTGTACTCTGTTGGGTAATAGTTCAACAGCTTTATCGGGCATTCCCACCGGAACATTGACGTCTAGACCTCCGTGCCAAATTGTCAATCGACTTGCATCCAGATTCTCGAACTTAAACCCCCAGTCCGACGCCAACAACCAAAATTCCCATGCTGCACCTTTACTCGAAGTCCTCAACGCCTCTTTCGTCGACCCAATATACGCCCCAGATAGGACATCATCCTCCAAAATCTGCTTCATGCATTCTTTATATACCTTCGGTTGCGGTAGTGCCGCAGCTTGACCCTTAATCTACTTAATCAATATCTACGGATCTGTATTGCGCAGCATTCTGCCCATTGTAAGGTCTATCATCTTCTCGGCTATCCATGTTGCAATGCCAGCAACCCAAAAGAGTGCACGTGTTTGCCACATCATTCTAGTAGTACCGAAAGTGAGTGGATACATCCCTGAGACGACTGTTGCGGCGATGAGACGCTCTCACGGTAGCTCGTGGAAACATGCGAGTATGTAAGGGCCGACGCCTGACAGGCCGAGGACGCCGAACTTGGAGATACCGAGATGATCAGCAAGCTCAAGAATGGCTTGCGGCCATTGGAGCAGAGTGCGATTATCTTGCCAGCTGGAACTACCAAAGCCGGGGCGGTCTGTTGCAATAAGTGGGATTCCGAAATTTAGCACGGGTTTGTTGAGGAGCTGACATTCGAGGTGGGAACCTGGGGTCCCGTTGAAGTAGAATATTAGATATGTTTTTGAATCCATGCTGGCTCCATACCTTGCGTGGGCGAGAGTTCTGCTGTCTTTGAGAGTGAAGGTTTCCACTGGGTCCTTCGCTTGGTTTTGGACAATGGGTGGCTGAGGTGTTTCCACTGGTGTCTCGGATGCCATTGATCGGTGTCAATCTCGACTGGGTAAATTGTACAAATTCAATCAAAGATCACCGGTATTGAGGGGGGTTTTTTTAGATGGAATGAAGTTCGGAGATAAAGAGCGATGAGAAGCAATAGGTAATGAGCAATGATGAGCAATGCCAAGGCCAGGCACTAATTTTCGACCGCTAGGACTATCTAATAGCCTTGTAGTAAATCTGACGTCCTACACCAACCACCGAGAGTTGGTGGAGAAAGTTGGTGGGGCGAGCCGCTCGTCTATAAACGACAGTCTGCCCGACCCCTGCTAGTCCGTGTAGGATGGAGCGGCTGATCCAATAAGAAGCCAAGTCTTAAGAGTTTTCTTGCAGGGGGGGTTCGCGATGTTATTAGTATTCGCAAGCTCATACTAGATAGACAACTTGATGCGCCCTTTCCTGGATCGTTACGTTTTGCATATATCCGTATCGACCCAAAATCAAACACCGCAGAAACTTGAGGTGTTTGATTTCGCACATTTAGCGTGCCGGATCGGGGAATCTCACCCTCCGCGTTTTTAAAGTGGAAATGTATTAATACATCGCTTTCTACCTTCATGCAATAATGCCACCCTTTGCGTTGCCTTGTCCGTTCTTTGCCCTAGCATGATAACCTATCCTTGTTTGAAACTGCGCGAATTTCGCTTTCGCCGGCGTCACCGATTGTAGGCAGTAAAGCATAGAAAAGTAATAATATATACCTAGTGGTTTTGCTTTATTTGCTAGTTTAAGGAGCACTGAGATGAGCAGCGGTGATGGGTGAGGAGTGATGGTAGATAAGAGCGGTGGTGGGTGAGTAATAGGTGAGCGCCGGGTGAGTATGGGATGAGTAAAATCACCCAGATTTTTTTACTTGCGACTGACAATGCCGCCAGTTGATGCCGGGGCTGCTTAAGCGCTCTATTAGGGATTAGGCCGAGGTTTCCCGGCCTCTCAGGCTCCCAAGCGCTTATAGTATAAGTATTTTATAACATTTTAAAAAGTCAAAAAATCTCCCTAGGCAAGATGGCCGAGTGGTAAGTTTCTATCTGAGGCTACCGTGCAGCTATACCTCGAATTAACATCTTCCCAGGTTATGGCGTGTGACTCGTAAGATTGGACTAATCCTATCATTATAAGCTTTGATATTAACTCCTCTCTAGAAGCGCAAGCTTGCCTCAGTAGAGGCTGCATTCTCATGGGCTTTGCCCGCGGGGGTTCGAATCCCCCTCTTGTCAACAAATTTTTTTTTTTTAGCTTGACCTCTGTTGCGATAGGGGTTAGTAAACACACACCCCCTTTTTGGTAAATGCACACCCCTTTTTGGGTAAACCCATACCTCCACTCCCCTGTCGTTTCACCGCCTTCTGATTGGCTCGGAGCAGCCCGGAGCTTCCTCCGGCCATTCACCCTTACGTCTACCTGCACGTGACGCTATACGCGAGGCCGTACGTGAGCTTGTACGTAAGGCTATGCGTAAGGCTATATAAAATAGAGAGGCTGTATAGCTATACACATTTTATATAGCCTCACGCATAAGCTCACGTATAAGCTCACGTACAAGCTCACCTAGTCTAAGCCTAAGTATAAGTATAGAATAGAATTATATTCTAGAAGCGCCTACGTGCCTAATAGCATGCTAAATCCATCAAACCCTCACCTTATTACGGCTCCTTTGCATCGAGCTTAGCCACCTAGCATCGCCGCTTACACCTACTCTTCACCCTGATCAATATACCCCTCAATTTCCTCATCATACGCTGCAAGCTGACGTAGAAGCTCCTCTCGGCTAAGCCTCTGTGCTTGAGGATGAGGCTGAGGCATAGGCTGAGGCGTAGGCTGAGGCGTAGGCTGAGTACTATCTTGCCTCTGAGCTCGTGCCTTTTTCCGTGGTACCTTATCCTTTGCACCAGGCGGCCGGCCGCGCTTCTTAGCTGCAGGTGCTGTCGTAGGTGCTGCCGTAGGCTCAAGAAGGGCCGGATCAATTTAAGAAATATCAATACCAGTCCTAGCAGGTGTAGCTGTCGACTGAGGGGCATTCTGGCCGACAGGCTGTAGACGTGGGACTGCAAGATTTTGCGGCGGAGCTGTCGGCATGCGTCCTGGAGGCATGGTTGGAGGTCCACTCTGTACACTTCTACTTGTAGCTACGGCACCCGTGCCCGTAGCACGCTTAAATCTTGAGGGCTCTCTCTGCGTACTACTGTCCGTATAGTGGCCCCTCTTTGCCTCCTTTAGGCAGCCCTTGCGAACTGTAACAACCTCTAGATCCTGTACATTATAGACGCTTCTTATATCTGTCCGGATCGCCTTGTTTGGGAATGTGGAGAAGGGCAAGTTCCGGAGTACTCAGGTTCTCCTGATGACACGTAGAGAAAACGTACAAAAACTATAACTTCGTGGTCTTCACTCGACAAGTCCCGGAGATGGCATCCGCGTTCCTCTCTAACTGTCCTGACGGACCGTCTACCGCGACTGCAGGATTCGCTCGACAAATGACGCAATGCGGTTTAAGCGACGGGTACGCCGGTATCTAGAAGGGCAATATGATTTTGGAAAGAAGTCCATCACTATATCAGCTAAGTGGTAATCTCTCATAGGACTATCGTGACAACGGATATACGGATGAAAAACCGAAGATATAGTCCGATTCTCTTTGTGAAAGGAGCGCACAGATATCCGGAACGCACACCCGGACTTACCATTGAAGGGAAATTGGTGACGGCGCAGTCCGAGGGGGCCTAACGAAAGATCACGATGTGTAAAAGTAGCACACCTACGCGTTGTCTAGATTCGGAAATCTATCAAAGCGTTTTCAGTAGCAGTACACAAGTATACATATATTGCCAAGGGAAGCATGTTCCTCTGATCTCTGAATTGGGAGCGGGAGGAAAGAACACCAGTGATGTATCACGTGACTGCTGCCCTGACGATCTTACCCACTTCGGTAGCACTAATTTGTATTGTACCTGCCTAGCTGGTATTTTTGTACCTAGATCCCGAGGTCCATTATTGCATCGGAATCTCGACCGCATTTATGCATGCCTGATCTACAATGCCATAGCATGAATGCAATCAACCCATAATCTCACCTCAGCTTCTCCTGCAGTCCTCAGAGTTTTCTTGCCAGCATCCCATGACATCCATCGATACTCCACCTCATGAACTAGGTGCGAGTTATTGAATTTCACGTGTATCGGCCCGCAACATGGCCAAGATGAGCAGATGCACTCGGACGCCACAGGTGGCTTACTGTGATCATGCTCCGAGAGCATCGTCTGAAGACTTCAGACACTCACAATATCAGAGGCGAGGTCCCACTTCAATACATCAGGCCCTTCTCGCCCTTAAATACTCGCGCACCCTAGGCCGCCCAGATGTCAGGGCATCGGCGGTTGTTTCGACAACGTGGAGTTTAAGGAGACCGTGCCGCGGCCTTCTGCCTGTATACGGCAAAGTTCGTGAGCCGGGAGTGCGTGCTGATATTGCCATCACAAGCAAAACAGAACCGCGACAGAAGACATCGACTAGCAGCTCAACACTGTTTCTCCCGTCGTCTCGCCGCCACTTTGGATGGCGTTGATAGGGCTTTTCCGGATTTGTGGCTTTCGACATGTGTACCTTGCGCTTCACGACTCCTGAGATGCGGTTCTCTATCACGTTTCAACCCCATACTCGGCTAGCAGCAGCCCTATGTGGGGGACGCACAGCTAACCGCTCATCGCGGCGCTGATGAACTCCACAGCGGCAGTCCCTCACGGTTTGTACCCCTTGCAGGTGGCCCCATCAGCAGCAACGGAGCTGTCCCGGATAGACAGTGGGCACCCTTCTTTGAAACTGAGAGCACGGAGACCAGAGACGACCTCACACACGCCGTCTCTCTCTATGCTTTTTCTATGGCATACCTTCTACACCTGGACTGGTACCCGCCTGTGCTAAACGTTGTGAACAGCGGCAATTCCAGCCTAGGTAGGTCTCTAGAACGCCTCCGGAGGCGGCCGCCGCCACATCGGATGCAAAGTCATGCACCCTTCGCGCACACGCCCACCTGGCGCCTCGGTGCTTCTTCTAGCCCTACAGCTGATCTTCAACATTTTAAGGACTTTCGGCAGCCATCGACGAGAATGAAGGGGCTATTTCCTGGTCATCGAGTCCTTCGGGCTGTGATGTCTGGAAAAGGATTGACAGCCCTACATTCACATGGCATGCCAGGATCATTGACAGCTCGTCCGACTCATTACTACAACTTTGCTGAGAGTGTTCACACACGCCTCAGGTTTTTCTGATTGGCCCGCTCTTCCCTAAATAGTACGTATCACCGTCATTAGCGGTCCTATTCGGTGCCGCAACACGTACCTGGTTGCCCTGAAGCGTCTTCCATCAACGTGCGTCCGATGCCCCCTTGCCACAGCACGCGAGGGCTCCACATTGCGCAAGACTTTGTCCTAGATAACCTTATGGTCCCTTGCGGTGCCGCTCCCGTTGCGCCTTCTTCCGCTTCCTTCTAGATCCCAAGTCAAAATGATCCCCACTCTCATTTGATTTCATTGGGAACTGGACGGGCATACTCTCATAACGTATTATTCAGTCGAAGCGCTATTCATCAAGTTGGTAGGTTGCGCCATCGGGGCGGGCATAGACGCCTGCTCAGATCGATAGAACCTTTGATCTCCTTGAAGCATGAAATATTTCAAGTCTCTCCTACTTCTCTCTTTGACTATTTCCTTGGTTCGAGCAGACTTTTTGGCTTCCGCAACAAAGACTCTGCCTGAGTGCGCGGTAAATTCTACCTTGTGATCAATTCGTTGATCGCCATACTGATGCAAGTGACAGGTTAAGTGCCTAGTATCTGCAGTATCAGAATCGACATGCTCAGTCACAGATGCAGCGTGCATCGCCCATGATAAAGCGCTGGAGCTAAAAGTTGAAGGGTGCGTAAAAGGAGCATGTACTATCAAAGAAGCTTTAGGTATGTAACCCGTCACTGGCTAGCTCATCAAGAAGCATGACCATGCTAACATGACTACAGTCACTAAAAACTTTACTGTTTCGGCATTGGGATCGCCAATAAGAGATAGAACAAAAGATGTAACCATTACTGGATTAACAGGCGGAGCTCTTGCTTTGTTAGCTGTGGGATTGAGAGTGATTGCCCGATTACCCTGCTTAGGTGGTCAATGGGGAAACGATGATTGGGCGATCCTAGTAGCAATGGTAAGATATCACGTCATAAAAGAGATAGAAGTAGTGCTCACTATCAATCAGTTGCCTGTTATACCTCTCACCTGCCTGTCAGTTGTTCGTGAGTATAGCAGTGTCCTACCTCTATACGTATAGCTAAATAGTACGTAGTCGCAAACGACGGTCTTGGCAAGGATCTATGGGCAGTTCCATTTGAGAAGGTCACCGCGATATTACACGTCAGTCCAGCACCTCAACTAGCATCGATAAGTCTTGTTTGACGTTTACCCCTGCAGGTCTACTACTTCGACGAAATCCTATACCTCATGGCAATCGCCTTGACCAAGATCTCAATCCTCTTCTTCTACCTTCGCATATTCCCAGAAAAGAACTTTCGCAGATGCGTCTACGGCGTCATGGCTTGCTGCGTAATATACATTGTCGGTTTCATTCCTCCGGTCATTGCGCAATGCCAGCCCATCAACTTGGCATGGAAACACTGGGATGGAGAGCACAAAGGGCACTGCATCAACCTCAACGTGGAAGGATGGATCTCGGCGGCTGTAAACATCGTAATCGATGCTATGGTCATCGTGCTCCCATTGCAGCAAATAGCAAAGTTGAAGCTAAGTCGCAGGAAGAAGTACGGTTTGATGCTTATGTTTACGCTGGGACTATTGTAGGCGCCATCATTCCACTCAACTTTGTGCCGGTCAATACTGACTTGTACCTCCCCAGCGTCACCGTCATCAGCATGCTCCGCTTGAAATGGATGATCCAATTCGCCAATACGGACAACGTAACCTGTACGCCCTTCCAACCTCGCTCATCACAACCTTCCACTAACTCTCGCACAGGGGACTACGTCCCAATCGGCTACTGGTCCACAATCGAAGTCCACATCGGCATCATCTGCGCCTGCCTCCCCGCCCTGCGCGCGCTTCAGTTCCGCCTCTTCCCCTCCACCGCCCACGCCTCGCAGTACGTGGACCACTACTATGGCGCCAGCAAGCGCGGCCACTCGGGCTACAACACGCAAGCTAGCAATGCCAGCATAATCCGTTCCACGGCGATGAAGAGCGAGCGCGATAAGGATAGGACGGACGCGCGGGAGTTTGTGCCGCTGGACAATTTGAGCGTTGAGAGCATGAATGTTGTTCTGGCGGGTAAGGAGGATCGGGTGGGTGAGACACGAACGCTGGGCAGAGCGGAGAGCGGTGGGAGGGCTAGGATTGTGGTGAGAAAGGAGTATAGTGTTGCGGTTGAGGATGGGAGGGGAACGTTTCTGCAGGAGTAAAGGGGGTTAGTGATTTCGAGCGGGTTACTTGATGGGGCGTGTTGGTTAGGTCTCGGGGTTACGGATAGGGGTATTTGGCATTGGGAGTTGGCGAGAAAGGAAACTTGAAAAGAAATCGGTAGTTCTATGAGAAATCGGTAGTTCTATGAGAAATGAAGTTCATTCATAGGTCTGTAGGGCCTTCGGCTTTATGGTTTTGATAGCTCATATCAATCGGGATCACCCGCTAGCTATACGAGCCACTACGTAACTTACGTTGTTTCACTATGCTACGGACCATCTGCGCTGTTGAAAATGGGGGAAGTAGAAGTGTGAATGCTGGAGAGTCTTAGACTATTAGTGAACCTCGGCAACGAAGCAACCACGAGACTATTGAATCACTTGGGCAAGAATTATAAATATAGTGTAGGAACCTGTCTACCATACTTGCCGCTTGATATTCGGAAAGAGTGTCGCGGGTCTTGGAAGAATCACGTGCAGCTCGGCTTAGTTGGACATATCTTGGCACTTACAAAAGTGTGGAAGCCACTTAAACCGCCCGTGACAAGCATTTCACAACCCCTCTGGCTTCCACACTTTTGCAGATGACAAGACTCACCAAAACAGATAATCGATCACGTGCCTATCTACCCTGGATTACAACTCCGTTCTCTATTGTTATTGATCTAAACGATAACTTCTAGGAGTGATGCGATTATCCTCCTTTCACACCCACCCTGCTTTCCTAGTTGCGCCCGTCCCCTTATCCTCCTCTGAAAAAACCGGTATGTCGAGAATGACGAAGCGCATAACCAATCTACAGCTCTCATGTGAGAACAACTTCTTGCAGGGTGGTTAGAAAAGTTGGGGGGGAGATTTGTTGTAAGAGAGTCCTACTTCTATCATGGATCCCATCACTAAAGCCTCCAACGAAGTCCCTCATATGTATCCTAGCAGTCACAGATTTGAGGAGACTGCATACGGCCTCTCCAGCTCGGGCTCAAGGACTTTCTTTAGTATCGTGGCCTAAGTGAATCGAACGTCGATCGCACAGCACCGTAAGAGGCTCCACAAAGGTGCGTGATTGTGCCCAGTGAGCTCATAGCTCTTCTGCCCCTTCTGACTCAATGCCTGGATGCTAATCATTGCCAGTATCTCTATCAAACGGTGAGGCGAGCGGTTGAGTCCATGAAGGCGTTAACTTCATGGCGGCAGAGACTCAATGAGGGTTCGGATCCGCTGCAAGAGCTCAGGAACCCTGAAAGGCTTGCTAACCACGTCGTCCATGCCTGCATCTATTGCTTCGGAGATTTGCTGCTGACGGACGTTGGCGGTGCACGCGATGACCGGGACGTGGCCCTTCAGCATGCCTTTTTGTTGGTATTCCCGGATCTTCTTCACGGCCGTGAGGCCGTTCATGACTGGCATTTCCCAGTCCATCAGGACCGCTGACAGCTCTTTTCCATCTTCGACTACAGCCGAGTCGGTCCAGTTCCAGTCTACAGTCTTTCGAAGGAAGTCGAGGGCTTCCGCGCCGTGGTTCGCCACATCAACGATGCAACCTAGGTTCCGAAGTTGCTTGGCTAGGACGCGTTGGTTGACGATGTTGTCTTCAACGACGAGTACGTGGAGAACCTCGGGGGCTTTGCGCACTAAGGCGGTCTGTTGAAGTGGCGGTTGAGATATTCCTTTCGGCTGTTGGATGGGCTCTTCGGAATTGGCGTCAGCATTGTTTGGGAGATCGCTCGCCTGCCTCACGAGGCCAGGCCTGGTGTCATGTCCAGTGATCGTCGTGCTTTGGGAAACTCTCTGGCTGTCCAGGAATGCCATGGAACCGCGCCGCGCCGTTGTAGGTGGCCTGCTACGCCGAGCCTTAACGTAGAAAGAGCTAGGGGGTTGTCAGATCTGAATGATTGATACAATACCTCGTTACAAGTCTGTATGCACTGTCTTGCTGCTGTGAAGGGTCCTCAACGCGCTTTTCAAGTTCCGAATAAGACGGAAACTGATCGGCTTGCATAGCTAGTAAGAGTTTTGGGCAACCTTAGACGACAGCAGAGAAGTGTACACAGACGAGAAGTTAAGCACCGCACTCCAGATCTGGAATCGTGCGCTGAAGCACCACACGCAGTGGTAGAAAAGTGTACACAGGTCTATGACGATGCGCTGTACAAAGTGAGAAGATTAGACTTACAATGTACTGCCTTTCTTCTCCGCAGAGTCGAATCCTATGGCGCCTCCTTGCATTTCTGCAAGTTTTCTGGATATAAAGAGACCAAGACCTGAGCCGCCATAATGGATGTGCGTTTTGGGGCTCGCCTGGCTAAATCTTGCAAAAAGCATGGCCTTCTCGTCTTCGTTAAGCCCGCAGCCAGAGTCCTGTACGGAAAATTGAACGAAGACGTTATTACCTCGCATCCAATCTTCTATCAGTTCGGAGTTTTCGTCCGCGGCCTTGGTTCGAACATATTTGATGCCATCTTGGGAGATTTCTGGTCGCTCCGAGCTCGCCGCTAGTCCAACAGATATCGACCGCCTAGGTTCTAGCCTGGTAAACTTCAATGAATTGGTGATAAGGTTGATGAGAATCTGTAGGAGTCTCGTCGGGTCAAGATTTACCCAGCTGACGGCCAGATCGCGATATGAGTCGTCAATCACGAGGTTCATTTCCACGTCTGCAGCTCTTGCCTCGCTCTCGAACATCTTTACTGCATGTGCGACTACCGTTTCGGGCTGCGCAGGAACTGGAGTGATGACTAGGAGTCCAGCATCGAGTTTTGAGATGGTGAGGATATCATCGACGATTCGTTTCATATGTTGGGCGCACTGCACGATAGTTTGTGCAGCGTCTATTCCAGTGTCGATGAGACGAGTATAAGCGGTTGTAGGGTCGGGGGAGTATGTTTGTTTGATTCCCGAGTAGGAGGTAATGATGCCATCGGCGCATTGCATGACTGCAGACAAGGGATTCCTCATTTCATGAGATGTAGTGTCGATAAAGTTCTCCAATTGCCGCTTGCTTTCTAAAGCGTTCTCGCTGCGGATTTTCTGAATGCGTTCGGCCCATTTTTGTCGACTTACTAGATCATTATTAGTTCGGAGTACCGCGAAGAAAGGAGCATAAAACTCACTATCAGTAACACAGCCCACTATCTCAACAACATCTCCATCGGGTCCAATCTCTGGCCACGCGGAGCACAGAACCCAAACGAAGTGCGTTTGCGTTTGACTTTGGGAAGATAAAACTTTTGGTGGTGTCCAGTGCATCTTCGTCTTTATTTCGAATGTCTACAAAAAGTTAGTGTAAATTTCAATAGAACGTGCTCCATTGTCGAAACTCACTTGAGCCGCTTGTTGTGTTATCAAAGCAGAAAATACCGATTCGCAAAACTTCAAGTCTTCGGGGGTCACTACGGCCGACCAAGCTTGTGTAACATCTTCGTACAGTACCGCAGAGCTGAACATATCAAACCATCTTTGATTGCGATCTAGAGAAGGTTGGTCAGTAGAGATTTGAAGATGTGCTTTGCGCCTAGTACTCACAGGTATACTTTCCCGTCGGGAGACAGATAAAGATGGCCACGTCTGTTCGCTCGGCGAAGCGCTGGAATTTCTGTTCTCGGATCTCAACCTCACGCTGCGATTGAAGTAGCTTGTCAGCTAGGAGATGTTGAATCTTGGTAGTTTCTTCAATCGTGTCCTCTCTTTGACGCATCTCCTCCTCGAATAAAACAACAGATGCCAAAGACGTGGCGAGCAGCCGGCTCATCACCCCGATGAAGTTCTCGTAGTCCTCGTCATAGGGACGCCGGGGATTGAGCCCGAGAATGATGAAACCGAGCACATGTTCGGAATTTCTGGTAGGTAGGATAGGCGTGATGATTAATTCGGAACAGGGATCCCCGTATCCACGCCACGCGATGCCCTCCAGTAATTCAGGATGGTCGACGGAAATGTTCATCAGCATCGTTTTCCTTGACTTAGCCACGCTATGCAGCTGGGAGACAAACAATTGGGACGTGTCAGTCAGATCGATCTCTGACGGCGCCATTGGATGGCCAGTTTCGACGCCTATTGCCCCCTTTAGGAGACAACGCTTGGGAGGTTGCGTGCTCGTCGTGGATACTGACGCAGTATCATTGAACCTGTCGTCCTCTTGGACAGAATATAACAATGCGAAAGGTATGTCCTGAATCCATTAGCTTAACGGCTCTTCAACCTCTGGTAATGGGCCATAAGTTTTGGGGCACGGATATGCCGCTGCACAGGGTCCACTCTTGCTTACTCTACACTACTGTGGGGCGTAGGCTAGCGAGCAGGTATCATTTCAGTCAAAAGGTGACCTTTATTCCACTGCATCGACCTTGACATCGTATTTGAAGCTTGATAACCCGCCAGTGGATGGACCCTAAGCAGTGGCAAGAAAGAGTGTGCAAACTTACGGTCCAAGACCGTAAGCCTCAATACTTGAGGGGCGTCTTCAACGAACCTTGTCGTTAGCCGTTAAGGTTTGCAACACATAGTTCCAGTATGTTTTGATGTCTCGAGCTTTCGCCGTCTGCGCACCAACCTCCATAAGCGAGTTCACCCTTCGCTCAAGGAGCTTGTGTCTGAATTTAAATATGATCAGACGCCGTTTTGGCAAGAACAAGATAGCAGGAGCCATACTTGGTGGTTTCAATGATCGGTTCGTAGAACCCAGCAATACAACCACGCTCATCCATTATCGGCATGAACTAATAATTGTCAGCTATGAAATGTAGGCGGCATCCATGCTTAGACGCCGTATGGATGGCCAGGCTTATCACAGCTTACTTGAAACGAAAAGAAGGTTTCTTCTAGGAATGAATGCCGGTCGAGAAATAGCGGCAAGTCGTGCGTCATCACGGATGCTCCTGTCGATTGAACGTGCTGTATGATCGCTGCGGAATGTTAGAAGAGTGGAGGGGTGTTGGTGTATGTGTAGATACGGGCGACTAGGTGTGGGAAGGAACAGAGGGCTTGGATATATGTTTTGATATAACCGCAAAGATCCGTACTTACGTTCGAAGTGCCCCCAATAATCACCTGCAATACCGTCAGATATGCGTTATACCTACGCTGCCTTGTCATAAACGTGTGTACGCTCTTCTGCCACTGCGTGCGGAGCTTCAAGGCATTTTCCGAAATAAAGAGTTTCTAATTTGTGACACCTCGCAGCCGCTGTCGGAGTCGACCTACCGACTTTACTCGTGGCTCAGAAAGGCAGATTTCCGTTTCGTATAGATACTTGAACATGCCTTAACGCACTACAAACAGTGGCAAAAGAGTGTACGCAAACCTACGACAAAGTGTCTTAATTGAGCACAGAAAGGTAATTACTTACTTACAGCCAGTCTCGCAGATTTTCCCATACACGAAACACCGAGAACTTGGCCGAGGACTTGAATGTAAGCCTCATTGTATATCATGACTACGTCGTTGCCCCAGAAGATCATCGCAGGATTGACGTCTTTCATGACGATGTTTACGATCGTACATAAATGCTGCGGCCATTGGTTCATCGCGCCTAGAGAAGTCTTCGACCAATTGATGGCCCTGAAATAGTCAATATGAGGGCTTGCAGCTTCGAGGCAGCCGTCTCGGGTGCAGTCAAACGGACCCATCCTAGGGGACATTTCCCCGGGGCTGAGTGACTTTTCGTCAAGATTGGGTGCATGTTCCTCGGGATTTGCTTGGGCCAGCCGGTGAATGGTATCAAACGCATGAGAAGGCGCCGGAGGGCTACCTCCAACGCCCTCTAGTTTCTCGTCGCGGATAGATTGATCGAATGAGTTTCGCGCTACTACTCGAGGCTTCGTATAGTCTGCTTTCGCATTACCGTTAGCAGAAATGCCTACAGATCTGCTTGGACTGAGGAAGCTCTGGAGGCCACTGATGATTTTCCATTTGTCGTCGATGTATGTTGCCGACCAGAAAAATCCCTGATCCTATGTCAGATAGGTAACAAGATTCCACACACAATGCCTCGTCATCGATTTGTGTGCACTATTTTGCCGCTGCTCCTGGTGCTAAACTTATCAAGAAACATGTGGGGGGATGGACCACATGCCCGACTGAGTAGTTTCATCATCTACTGCCTAGGCTGGACAGAAAAGTTTACTAATCATTCTAAGTGACGAACTTTAACATCTCGAGTATGCATCCAGAGAGTTCGAGCAGCGGCAGACAAGTATGCATAGATCTTTGACGAGGCACTGTAGCTCGCACTATACCTCGTACATATACGAGTTCCCCCTAGAGGATACGGTAGACTCATGCTTCTTCTTGAGTAGCCATTGTCTGAACCGCGAGTATGGACGTAGAGACACGGGATTCGATGAGCTAACGTGAATGCTCCCAGCTACTAGGCTGAGTAGCTCTCCTGACGCTAGCAACGCTGGGTTGGTATATATTGGCTGGAGCGCTTTCGAGGGGTCGTTTCCGGCAGTCCCGATATCGATTATAAGAGTAGGTCGGTCGTCAAGCTCCAGCACGGGAAGAAGATGCAAGGAGTGCAACGAATCGAGTTCGAGGGCAGGGCTATCATGGCGGTTCTGGGAGGAGAGGTCGAGGGTAGCCAATGGTTGGGGTACTGTTGGTATGCCTGCCTCGTCGTTCATGTCTAAGCCGCGGATCATCAGCATGGAAGCAGGCGGGGCGGGAGGGGTAAGATCGCGTACCTGGTTAGGAACGGGTCACGATCGACCATGCATCGGGAGAAGGCCAAAAAAGAGCAGATGGCTGTGTTGGTAGCTGTGTGTCAGTTGTATGGAGACGAAGATATTCGGAGGAGACAACCAGCGCGGAGCACCAGAATTCATTGGAAGCCCTGGAAGCTTTCCCAGCGCCCAGCGCCACCATCGATCGGGATTCCAGTTCCATAGATGCCGCGTGCATAGGTAGGTCTAGATCCACCTATATTGGCGTCCCCGCTTCTTGGCAGCAGTGAGGAGAACTCTCTCATCCTTCATTCAAGGGTTGACCCATCCTCTTCGATGTCACCTAATTGTGTTGCTAAAATCTCATAAGCTTCGCGGTATTATTGGGAATTTCCCATGTCCTATGACCATGTGGCGATGGGAAACGCGAGGTCCTGTGGAAAGCTTAAGTGATATCGGCCCGTTTAGATTAGTTTAGCAAAGAGGAGAGATGTTCGAGAATGTCGCGCACCTATCAGATTGGTTCCCTTGAGCATCAACAAGCAAAGCTGTCGCTGTGCAACATTCATGTGTGTACCGGAGGACCTTGAGCAGTGCTAAGCATATGTACACAAGCCCAGCGAGAACGTTATTCGTGACTGTGAAGACTGTATGACTAGTCGCCCCAAAGTGATAGATCTTTTGATGTCCCTTTGAGGAATGACCCGATCATAAAGTCTACGAGACTTTTCCCGCTGCATTATGGTATTTTGAAATACCTGAAGAGTGCAAAATTCATGCACAGACCAAACGTGTGGCCCGTCGGTGCGGATTCCTAATAATGCAGTCAAGTACCACAAGCGGTGATACAAGAAAGTCCACCATAACCCACATAACCGCGTTGGGTGGCTTATACGTGCCTGTCATGATAATTGAGACCAAAACACGTCACTTCTTGGGTATTCTGCTATCTCATCGTCGTCAGGTGAAGCCTCGCCGGGCCATAGCCTTGGTATGCAACGCTTTTATGACCGATGAACGCCGCCTGTGAATATCAACTTCCCAGATCAAACAGCCCCAGCTCTTCGACGCTCCAGTATCTCTCTCTTCAGTGCTTCCGCAGCGACTTGCGTCTCCAGAACCCTCCCCACGCCCTTCTTCCACGACTCTTCTAATATGTCTACCTCGCCCTTCACAGCGCCCTGATTCGTCCTCCTCGCTTCCTCAGTGGCCTCGATCTGGGTCTTCGTATCCGCCAGCTCCGCCTCCAGGGCCTTGAGTATATCCTCCAACTGGGCGTTCCCAACCAGCCACATATTCTTGCCGAACTTCTCCAGCAGCCCCAGCTCAGTCAGGCGCGCATTGAGGTACTCCGACGACGCATACGCCTTGCGCAGCGTCTCTGTCCACGCAACCAGCTCCTCGGGCTTCTCATCGTCGGCGTCCGGGGGCTCCTCAAGGCCTTCGTACCGACTTAGATCCACGCCTATGATTTTGGACTTGGGGTCTGCAGCTAGGCGGGCATGCTCCTGCTCGAGTGCGGGCGAGTACGTCGGGACATAGGACGCGGACGGTAGAAGGGCAGGATGGAGGACAGATGCATCGACGCCGGCGGCCTTGATATCGGCATCTATCAGGGCGCGCGCAGAGTCGAGGGCGTGTGTGGAGGGGGCTGCATCGATGTCTGCACTAGGGTTAGAGCTGTCCTTGTGCGCGCAGCTACCGGGAGGCTGGGGGCGGAGCTGGGGAATGTTTGGAGGCTCGCGACATTAAACATACATGGGAGTGAGTCGTACGCCTCGCTGATAAGTGGCATCTTGGACGGGATTGGCAACGATAGCTCGGAGCGGAGATTGAGGTGTGGGTGAGGGTATGTGAGGGGGTGTCGATTTGTGGCAGCTCGAAAGCGCCCAGCGACATGGGATTTATTTTACCCTGCTTTTGGCGTTTCCCAGGGAGCACTAGGATGGGCGGATAGGCAGGATTGGCGTTGAGGGGCCGTTCCGCTAATGTATATGAAATTCACGTCACTGGGCAACCTGGCACTCACGAGGACCACCACCACACCACGCTGCAACTATCCCATCCCTTGTCCATGCAATGCCAGCTACAACCAGATAGCTATCTATCACCTGCCTTCCGACCTGTCCACCACCTCTATATTGCCCGGGTCGTCGCCCTGAGCATGTAACGCGCGTTGCTCCTCTTCCCCGACCTCGAACTCCGCCTACGTAAATGGCACGCTCACACGTCCCAGTCGCCCTCGGCGCTGCTATCTTCGCTTTGTTCATAATATTCCAGCTCTGCAGCAGCTTTGGGGTTCCGCAAATAGACTTCTGGCATTGGAAATTGGAGTCGCATGGACGACATGGTGTTCCTCAGGCCCATATATTCAGTGAGAATGAAGCTACAGTAGCGGCGGAGTCGGGGGAAAGCTCGCAATACCTGCTCGGTGTTGGCAAGGCGGATATCACTGGGTGAGTGGACCTTGAGTGCGGTCTAGCTTGAAGAATAGTGCTAATTACGTTCGTAGGCCCGTCGTTGAGCTCAACATGATGGGCTATGCCAACTCGTCTCAAGTCGGTACCGGCCTCCGCCAACGCATCTATTCGCGCGCGTTCATCGTCGGAGACCCCAAAGACCCCTCCCAGCGCTTCGTGTACATAGTCTTGGACACGCAGTCTGGTGATACAGCTGTGAGATATGGAATACTGGAGGGATTGGCGGATCTGGGATCTGAGTATTCCATGTATAGCCAGAAGAATGTAGCCGTAACAGGCACACACAGCCATTCCGGACCTGGAGCTTGGCTCAATTATCTCCTCCCACAAATCACCAGCTTAGGGTTCAGTAAGCAGAGCTACCAAGCTATCGTGGATGGCGCGATACTGTCCATAAAGAGGGCCCATGAGAGTTTGGAGCTAGGAAGCGTGAGTGCAGGCACCACGACCATCAAAAACGCCAATATCAACCGCAGTCTCTACGCTTATCTCGCAAACCCCGAGTCGGAGCGGGACCGATACACCGACAATGTTGATAAAACCATGACACTTTTGAAATTCACGAGAGCCAGCGATGGCAAAGATATCGGCATTCTGACCTGGTTTGCCGTTCACGGGACATCGTTGCTGGGAAACCAAACGATTATTGCTGCCGACAATAAGGGTGTGGCAGCATATTTGGTCGAACAAGAAATGAAAAGCAATGAGAATGCTGCAGAAGCATTTGTTGCGGGCTTCTCACAAGCCAACGTCGGCGACACGACGCCAAATGTCGAAGGAGCTTGGTGCGAAGATGGCTCGAATACGGAATGCAAACTCGAAGACAGTACGTGCGGTGGTAAGAGTCAAGATTGCCATGGTCGTGGGCCATACTTCGGCCTAAACGACGGAGGGGTCAAGAGCTGCTATGAAATTGGCAAACGGCAGGCGGACGGAGCACTCAGCATCTACAACTCAATGGCTGATGACGGCATTCCAATCTCAGGAAGTGCTGTCCGCTCGTTCCATACCTTTGTCGACTTCTCCGACTTTACCTTCACGCTCCCCAATGGCACCATTGCTTCCACCTGCCCGGCAGCGATGGGTAATTCTTTCGCTGCTGGCACGTCGGACGGCCCAGGAGCATTTGACTTCAAGCAAAACGACTCCGGAGCGCCCGACAATCCATTGTGGAATGCCGTTGGCGGCTTGATTGCCGAGCCAGGTCCCGAGCAAATCAAGTGCCAATACCCCAAACCCATCCTCCTGAACGTGGGAGAAGCCCACACTCCCTACGACTGGACGCCGAACATTGTCGACATCCAAGTCTTACGCGTAGGCCAATTTATCGTGATCGTTTCGCCTGGCGAAGCCACTACAATGTCTGGTCGCCGCTGGCGTGAGGCTGTCTACGACGCGGCCGTTTCGTCATCCCTAGTCTCGTCCTCTTCTACTTCTCCCATCGTCGTACTCGGTGGCCCAGCAAACAGCTACACGCATTACATCGCGACCGAAGAAGAGTACGGAATCCAGCGATACGAAGGCGCTTCCACTCTCTACGGCCCGAACACACTAAACGCCTATATTAACGCTACATTGACCTACCTAACCTACCTCTCGGACTCCTCAACCGGATCGTCACCACTCGGTCCTTTGCCGCCCAACAACGTCAACAAAAGCCTCAGCTTCATCACGGGCGTTGTCTTCGACGGTAAGCCGTTCGGCAAGAGCTTTGGCGAGGTGTTGACAGACGCCTCGTCGAGTTATGCGCTCGGCTCTCTTGTCAAGGTCACGTTTCAAGCCTCCAACCCGCGCAACAACCTCAAGCTCGAGGCAACGTACGCGGCGGTGGAGAGAGAAGGCGACGACGGGAGCTGGACGCAGATTAAGAACGACGAAGACTGGGAGCTGGCGTTTGAGTGGAAGAGGACGAACAGTGTGCTGGGATACAGCGAGGTGACTGTGACTTGGGATACGAGCCTGACGGCGGAGGCTGGGACGTATAGGATTAAGTATTTCGGCGACTCGAAGGCGGCCTTCACGGGGACGATCAGTGAGTTTGAGGGCAGTAGCACCGTGTTCACGCTGGCGTGAGTTGATTGAAGACGATGGAAATCAAGTTCGCGTAGCCTTGGAGTAAGGATTTAGATAATTACGATCATGAAGTTGTATAGGATGAGATTGAATGAACTATGATATCTCGATCTGGAAAGGCATTTGGCTTGGCACGTGACGGTTGAACTCCTAACTAATACCGATGCAATCGCGTGGGGATGGTCGTACCACCGTGATTTCACGGGAGGTTCAGTCACGTGATCATATCTGACCAATCAAAAATGAAGCCGCTATTAAAGTCTGGTCACGTGACTGAATCTCCCGTGAAATCACGGTAGATACCTTTGTACTAATCAAGGTAACCACGTAACTACAAAGTGCCCATTCAGGAGTATTCTTTCGCGAATCTCTCTAAATAGATTAATATTGGATTCTACACAGGAGGTCAAGAAAAGGGGTTGTGGAACTAATGCACCCCTTTCACGAGCGGCACAAGGAAATTAGTGAATGTACGACAATATTGGCCGGCGACCGATGGCGAGGGATGACACGATTGAAGTGGCCACGTCGGCGTTTAACGGCCGAGCACGCGATCGGAGTGCCTCCGACTTTCATCGTACATGAAGACGCGGACGGTCCAGAAAAAGGTTGTGAGGTAGACGCGGGAAGCGGCATCGTGCAGCGCCACACGCAGCAGCTCAGATGCTCGACTCTCCGTCCGATGCCCGTGACAAGTGGGAGCCAGAGATCGAATGAGAAGTGCCTCTGCGCGTAGACAGGCGGCAGGCGGTGTGAATGGAGAGTGCAGGAGGCCGCCGGCGCTACGGAGGAGCTCGCAGAATGGGGCTAGCAGGGGCGGCACGTGAGCGCACCAGCCTAGCTCGGCGCAGGCTGATTTTTAAGCCGTGTGCCGTGGCTGCTGGGTGTATGATGACATCGCCTCGCCCCGACTTTTCCTCTCCCAGGTTCTCCAACGTCATAACACACGCAGCACGAAGCCACCGAGCAGATCGCCTCCCCGCACCGCGCGCCCCCGGCACTCGAAAATACTCGCCCTCGCAGCAGCCTCTCCCACTCGCTGCGCATCGAGCAGACGCCCAGCACCGCGGAACAAAGCGACGTGTTGCAGCAAAGCCTCTGCGGCCGCGTTAAGGGGAACCACGACGTCATCTTGGCCGTGACGACACAGGCAGACCACAACAAGACAGCCCCGGACCGCTGCGAGCGTGCCTGGGTCTGGCGCCGTGTGTTACAAAGGTACTGTTGCAGACAGCTGCAAACGCCCACCGCACCGCAGTGGTCGCTGTGCTGTTGGCACGCTGGTAGGTCCGCCGGTAGGTCCGCCGTTCTCCCTCGTCGCAAGGGCGCCGCCCCCAGAACAGCCCTCGACGCCCGTCCGTGGCTGTCGCAGCGGTGCAGGACGCTGTTGGAGCACTTTGCTAACGTGCATGGGTCTATGTAGAAATAGAGCTCGATTGGCTGCACGAGCGTGCCGGCCCCTTCGCACCGAGTCGTTCGGAGCCCGCTGGTGTTGCTGGCTGCTGGCACGCAGCGCCCACAGCCGAGCGTGCGTCGTTGTTTTAAAGAACGGCGACCTTCCACACTACGTCACCTCGACCAACTCGAGCCATTCATACGATACCCGGGATACCTCCTCTTTCAACATGGCTGTCAAGTCGTCGCCTGAACGGACTGACTCCAAGACTGCGCCTGGTGAGCCCACACTCCTCTGCTTCACTGTTCGACGAGCCAATCGCCGCCTCCCTGACTCTGCGCACTCATCTGCATCCCATTGCTTGTTTTGCCTGCCGCCCAACCGGGGCGTTGCTGCGTGAACTGTGCCCTGAGTGACGACGACGCTGACAATGCCATCTGCAGCAGACGTCGCGAAGATCGAGAAACAGACCACGCCTCCCTCAGGTACGTTGCATTGCGCTTCTTCACCTCTTGCCATGGGCCTCATCAGCTCACGACAACAGACGCCCCTGCCATTGCCTCACAGCCCGACTCGAAGCTTGCTCCACCGACGGCTTCGAATGCGCCGCTTGCGCCTCCACCACGCCCCTCTCAGAACGGCGGCCAGAACGGCGGCCCGTCCGACACGCCCGACTACTTCAATACCGTGCACAACCCGTTCAGTCTCGAGCCGAACGTGTTCGAGCAGTCCTTCGGGAACCCGTCAGCAGAAACACCCGGCGGTCGGCCGATCCTGCCTCCCGTCGCAAATATTACGTCTCCATCGCCTTTGCCAGGCATCACGCCTGGCTGGCAATCGTTACGAGCTGGCCCGCTGAGCCCTGCTATGCTTCAAGGGCCGACAGGCGATAGCGATTACTTCAACCAGAGCTTCAGAGGCTTCCCGACACCCAACGAGTCGTCGCTGCGCACTGGTCTCACGCCCGGAGGAGGTGGTTCTATGTTCCCTGCGCCGAGTCCAAACTCACAAGCCATATTCAATCTACAAAGCGGTGGTGTCACTCCCAGCACTGCTGATTTCCAGCAGTCGGCATTGAGAGCAGCTGCTCAGACCAAGTTTCCCTCTACTAGCAACCCAACCTCGCAGCCGGATCCTGCTCAGCATAGTTATCAACATCCTCAGCACCCACAGCAACAGCGCAGTCAGCAGGACATATTCGGACAGCACGACGTAACTGGCGCCGCTAACGACCTATTATCATTCGCCCAGGCTACGCAGGCTAACCAACCCAACGGCAATCGAACCAACGGACAATTCGCTGTTCCCAACCAGCCAGCTCACATGAATAATAATATGGGCCACATGCCCGTCCAGATGCCACAGGACCAGCAGCAACCCCATCACCATAACCCGAAGGGATCTGTCAACAGCATAACAGGGTCTGCTGACACTGGCGACTACTCCGAGAGCGGTCACAGTGAACAGACGAAGCCGTCAACACGATCGCGACAGAAGAAGGGAGCTAACGCCAAAGCAACAGCGGCTTCCCGAAGAAAGGCCGACGACGGTCCAAAAGGTGGCAACAAAAAGCAGAAGGGTGGCAGCGGCAGTGTTCAGTCTCACACAGCGGACGAAGATTCCGACTTGGACATGGACAACATGAAGGAAGAGCTCAATGAGCATGGCAAAAAGATGACCGACGAGGAAAAGCGAAAGAATTTCTTAGAGAGGAATAGGTATGTTACTTTCCTCCATTCTTCACCAGCTGCCAGTTCAGACCTGTCTAATACTAATGCATCTACAGAGTTGCGGCGCTGAAATGTCGTCAACGCAAAAAGCAATGGCTCGCGAACTTGCAGAATAAGGTCGAAGTCTACGGTACTGAGAATGACGCGCTATCAGCCCAAGTTACTCAGCTCCGTGAAGAGATTGTCAACCTGAAGACACTTCTACTGGCGCACAAAGACTGCTCCGTCGGACAAGCCCAAGGCTTGAATCAAATGCCAATCAGCACTTTCCTGGCAAACGACATGGGCCACCATCAAAACCCGTACGGCATGGCCGGCATGCAACCCAACGGTGTGCCTATGGGTATGGCCTTGCAGCAAGGTCAGATGAACCGGAGGTGAGTGGCGGACTAATCTGAGCAGAGGGATGGCCAGAGGAGGCTCACACCGTCGCAGTTAATCATCCTTATTATCATTTTCCGGTAGCACGTGATATTAACCAGCGTGTGGTTAGTGTTGAGCGGCACGATTCATTACTGGAGCCGCCGATGTACATGCGCCCGCCGTCGCACATCTCATCTCTATCGCCAGATCAAAACGAAAATTCAATCTACAACCAATCGCCTATTCAAATGGTCTTCAGAGGACGTCAGACTGTCGGAGAAGTCCCCTCACCCACATCCTCAAATCTTCATCGGCAGGATACACATCATGATCTCCGACAAGCCATGATGCTACATGAGGCCAACCCACCAATCTCATATCTCCTACCCACGATGCAAAATTCAGAGTTCTAAGTCAGGGCACAACTGGAGTTCCGGAATCAATCGAGGGGCTACCTCGTCAACATGTACAACAACAGACATCAGCTCAGTCTGAATCTTCCCCTTAAATCCGACAGGATCACCATTCCGTTTCCTTACGTAACCTGTTGTAGAACAAATATGAACTCCCTTTTTTGCGTTTTCTGCTTTTTTGGTTTCGGTGGCTTCTTTTATCTGGGACAGTTGGCCCGCTGTCTATATCTTCTCTTTAGGGCGGCGTTCTACTACCTCACGTACACCTGGGTTCTCAGATTTCTTCTTGTTTCCTCGTTTCCCCGGCTCGCAGATTGGTACATCACGCGAGAGGGAACATGGGGGTTGTCAACTAGGTAGGGGCAAACACCCAGGGGAGAAATGGGTCTGGGGCGGCTGGCGTCTGGGATCGTGTCCCCTTTTTTTTCTGCACAACCTTTGTATCGCACACTACTCCTCCTGATTGCTGTACTTCTTCGCTTTCTTTTCGATCTGGCCCCACGGTATACGCTAAGGGTGGGGGTGAAAGTCGTAGACTTGCATCACGAGCGGGCATGGGGAGTTAGTTTGCTTTGTGGGGTGGGGTTGATTAAGAATGATTATGATTTGATTGTGGGTTACGGGATTGGGAGGAGCCGAGTTGTGCGCATAGGCAATGCAATGTGAATTGATTTTATCAAGTTTGAGATTTGCAGTTTGAGTGAATCTCGCCATGGCCTTTTTTCCTTCGGTTACTGAAAAGTTGTTGAAGCACCTCAGACGGCGGCAGACGGGTGTACGCAGACTGTAAACACGCTGAGGTTCTATAAGCGGTGGTGGGAGAGGGTACAGAGCGCAAGTGGGATCTACTGTTCTAAATTTCGAAAACATGTTGAAGCACCACAGACAGTGGCAAGAGAGTTGTACACACATAACAACGTGACGTAGTGTTCCAGATTTCTGAAAAAGCATACTGAGGCACTTCAGACATTCGTAAACGAGTATATACGCGTCGGAAAGCGTAACCTATTGTTTTCAGGTTTCTGAAAACATGTTGAAGCGCTACAGTGAGTTGCCCACCCGCTAATTTCGGATTTCTGATATCACGTTGAAGCAACTGCAGACGGCGGTAGACAGCTGTACAACAGACCTGAAGTGCCACCACCCACCATTTCCGATCCTGGGGGATCTCATTGAAGCGCTCCAGACGGTGGCAAGACACGTCTACACACATCATCCTATATAATCTGAAGCCTCCACATCTCCCCCATCCACATCTCGCGCCTCAAAACCAGCCTCAAAAATCCAACTCACACCTACCTCCACACCTCACAAACCAGCACGTGAACCACAAAGTTTTCGAACCTCATCAGAATCAGTTCTCCTACGAACTTGCCATGACCTCGCCAACCAGGCCAGGGGCGGTACAAAGCCTCCACCAACCCGCCAAACCAACCCCCTCCACCCGCCCCAATCCCCAATCCCCAGCTATCCCAAGCCTCCACAAAACCTAGCCTACGCGTGCTCCTTTTGCCCCTTCAACTCCCCAAAGCCTCCCCGCTAAACCCCGCTCGAACCAACCCTCCCACTCCTCCTCCGCAGCCCCTGCACGTCACTACTACTCGCCTTACTACCCCCCAAAGCCTCCGCAGCCTCCGCAGCCGGCGTGCCCGACAAGCGCCCGCTGCGCCGCGTGGGCTCCCGGCCCTTGTTCTTCTTCTTGTTCTTCTTCTTCTTGGGCGGCGTAGGCGCCTCCACCACCACCACCACCTCCTCCTCCTCCTCCTCCTCCTCCTTTTCCACCCCTTTGGAGCCCGCGGCGGCGCGGTGGGGCCCCGCGCTGAGAACCGGCCCGGCGGCGCTGCGTGCGCCTGTCGCAGCCAGTCGCCCGGTATCGAGAGCCGGCGTCGAGGGGCGTGCGCCGGCGTCGACCAGGTCGAGGGGCTCGTCGGAGTCGGAGGAGGCGGTTGGGGAGGCGGGGTCCGGGGGCGCTTCAGCAGGGGCGGCGGGGGGTGGAGCGCTGCTGCTGCTGCTGCTGCTGGCGCGCGGAGCGGCGGAGTCGGTGCGGTGGAACCAGTCGAAGAGGTGGAGGTTGGGGCCCGGGGTGGTGGCAGCGAGTGCGGCGGAGGGGGCTGGCGTGAAGGAGGGGGTGGGGGATTCCTGCTTGGGCTGGAGAGATCGGGGAGCGGAGGCTGTGGGGGCTTGGTGGATGGGGTTGTGGTCCGTGGGGTTTTCGATGGTGGTGATTGGGAGGTCGGCGTTCGTGGGTGCTTCGTCTAGGGGACTCTCGACGCTGGTCATGGGGACGTCGGAGCCGTGGGCGGGATTGGGACCGGAACCAGAATCAGAATCAGAGTCGTAGTCCTGCTCGCTCTCGACCGTGTCAGGAGTCCCCTGGACGGCTATCACCATTGGCAAAGCCTCAGTCTCTGCAGTCAGGTCTCCAGCGCCGTCGTACTGCGCAATCCCTTCACCCTTCGCAGCCTTCTTCGCACTATTTGACCTAGGCGTGGTCTTCTTCACGCTCCCGGTCTTTCTCTTCTTCTTCTTGGGCTTGCCGTCCGAAGCATCAGACGCCGAGCCTTCCGGGCGGTAATCCCTGTCGTTCTTCTTGTTGCTACTTCGGTTCTTTGGCGTACGCGGCGCGGCCCTCTTGAGCTTACTGGCCGATTTAGGCGTAGAAGGGACAGAAGCGTAACGCGATCCACTCGGGGTGGCAGTCTCTGAGGCCTCGTCGTCCCCCTCAGCGTCCCCTTTGACCAACATATCGATCACAGTCGCCTTGAGCACCCTCGTGGTGGTCACGATACCGCGCTCTTTGGCAACCTTTCTCAGCTCCGCGACGGTCATTTTGTCATACTTTGGGCGCGCGTTTGACGGTAGGGTTGCGGTGCCGGGGTCCTCCACGCCCTTCTCTTCTTGGACGGTTTCGGTCTGCACGATGTCGCTCATGACATCGTCGTCCTGCCGAGTTGGCTCAGCGCTGGGGGGCCTGACAGCGATCACTGGGTGCGCAGCCGTGATGCGCAATGAGGCCAGATCCGGAGGCTCGTCGACGAGCATAGGGGACGCGGCCTCATTCGAAGCGTCCGGTCCTTCAGCCTGTGGAGGGATGCCAGACTGCAGCGTTGCCGTGTCCTCCTTGCGAAGGCCTTCAGTGCCCTTGTCTATCTCCCACTGGATGTTGTCGATCTCGGTGCTCCAGTCGAAGTTCTCGATCTCATCTAGGCCCTCTTCCCACGTCCCCATCTCTTCGGCGTCCCAATCGGGCTTCCACCAGCCAGGCCAGGCCATATCGGGTCTGCGCGCGGGGGTTGCTGCGTGTTTGGTGAAGTGGTTGGGGAACCCTTGGGAGGGCTGTAGTGAGTGTGTTTGTTGGTGGAGGGACTCGCTCGATTGTTGTGAAGTTGAAGGCAGAAGTCTCGCGTGGAGAAAGTCGGCGCGGATTCGTAACCTTAGATGGCGCCGTTAGAAGGCCCTTAGCGAGGTGACGGGCCGTGGAAAACGCTCAGTGCAGGATTTCTGGAGGCGTGTCGAGGTCCTTCAGACGCCGGCAGACGGGTGTACGCCGAACTGTTGACGTAGTCGTCGGCAGTTGGTGGTAGAAGCTTCGCGTCGTGTTGACTGTCGGTGCGGATTCACAACCTTAGATGGCGCCCTGAGGAGGGCCCCAGCGAGGTGACAGGCGGTGGAAAACGCTTCGCGCGGGATTTTTGGAGATGTGTCGAAGGACGTCAGACGCTGGTAGACGAGTGTACGCGGATCTGACGGCGCGTGTTGATGCGGTGCGGTGGACTGGAGCATGTCGAGGAAAAGGTGTAGGTCATCGTGGAAACGACAAGCACTGCCGAAAAAGAGACGGATCAATCTCTGAACTCAGATCAGACGAAAGAGGTGAAGTCACGAGTGGCTCACCCGCCGCTTGCTGTTCGAAGATAAGAAGAGAGGCGGGAGCGGAGGTGACGGAGGTCAGTGGTTCGTCCTGACTGCAAGAAGGTTGGTGGAAAATGAAGCAACCTCACCGCAGTGTTGGCTGATTAGGGCCTTTGTAGTTGTAGAGTCGTAAGACTATGGCTGGCAAGCTTTCATCTCACCTGCTCGACCGATGTAGAGGTGGCCCGATGTACTGTAGTGGCTACCATCACGAACCTGAACTGATGCTCCTTGTGCACCATCACATGTCAAGCTGCAGCTACTGTAATGGAAGGTTTCCTCTGTGCTCGGAGTCTCCTAGTGTTAACCACTTGTCACTATGGGGATTGACACGGAATCAAGAAAAGAGCTCTTCTCCGGCGGCCGACCTCCACATAAATGAAGTAGAAGTGATAGTTCATGAGAGTCTGAATCTTTTACCGTAGGGTAATTACCCAGGGGATATCCTGTTACATGGGTCACAACCCTCCAGTACAGTACTAGGTCGTAATATGAGCACACGGACATCTCACTGCTCGTGCTCCACTCTTGCTCGCTCAACACCACTGTAAGGAGTGCCCTAGCTAGCATGTCTTCGGTCAAGCAAACGGTAGCGCTATCTCCCCTGCGTAGAGTTTCACATCGAATTTCGAATTTCAAACGTCGTTCGGGATACCCCAAGCAAATGCAACGAGTGCCCAAACTAATGTCATAGTACTGTACCCTAACTCACTTACCCGTCCTCAGAATGGGATGTCCTCGTCATCATCTATGTGCCTCTATAAACCTGCCCTTAAGTCATGCATCAAAACGGTATCGCATTGCTGACCGCGTTCCCTGTGTCCGCCGGAGCCGCAAGGACGCTATACATGTGTCAGGAAACTCCGATGCTACGTCACGAGGAGATGAAGAGTGGTCGTACTGTTTTCCAGTTTCGGTTGCGCAACAGCCGCAAAATAGAGAGGCTGGCCAGCAGACAACCTATACGTGTCAGTCAGGTATGATGTACGTTCGTGCAGATCTACGGAAATGAGACTTACCGCCATCACGACTGTCACTGCGAATCCAAGGGTTGGTCCGACGACTTTGCAGTGACACGGGTTTTGGTCACTTCAGTTTCGGTCAGTGATCACGAATCGCGAAGATATGGAGAACTTAGGGAAGCCGTACGTTCCGCACTGGAAGCAAACTATGGGAAGTGGAATGCAGTCCATTTCTCTGATACCGGGTTGACTGAGAAGGTTGAGGGAGATTGTGTTGGGTCAATTGAAGAGGCTACGTATCTGCAGCTACAGAGCAGCTTGATGAAAGACCAATTGAGGTGGAGTTGTTCGATTGTAGAAAATGCAAAAGTTTTGTTGCGAAGGCGTGACGTCGTTCATCGTCGCGCGCCAAAAACGCCGTCTGCAAGGCGCTCGGATATTGCGGATGATCGCCGCGGAGCATTCTGAGACAAGAATAGAACATGAGAGTATACAAACTTCATTGTAGGGTACAAGGAAGAAATGCTACGCTCAGAGTTCTTCATCAATGAGATCTGCTGCTTCAAACATATGTTTGTCCCCTCAATATCATCAGACAGCAATCTCGCCTTGTCAGCGGCCGCTCTAGCATGAGGTCGAACGCCTACGAAGCTTCATCCCCAAATAAACCTCGAAGCTTCTTTCGAAGTCCTGTATTCGGAGAGCGTTTGTTATCCCCTCCATTCAGTGTCTTCTGCGAAGGGCCCATATATCCCGTAGCGACCTCCTCGCCCTTCTGCTCCCTTCTCCTCCTCTCGTTCATCTCAGTATTGCTGACTCTAGGCCACCAGGCAGCGCCATATAGCTGCTTTGCCTCTTCCTCCGTTCTGTATCTTAGGATATCATAGTCGCTCTCCCGTGTCATGGCAGCGTCCCGCTCCCGCGTAGTTATACCCTCTTTCCAGACCTTCACGCCCTTCTCTTCATACTCTTGCCGCCAACTCGTGCGTGCCTGCTCGAACTCAGCCATGAATATCGTGATACGAGAAGGGTGCACATCGTAGAGAGGGTCGAGGAGGAACTGGAGGGCGAGCGTGTCGACGCCGCGAACAGGGCCGATCACGAACGAGTCGCCTGCGGCGGCTGCAGCGAGGATACGTGAGGCATAATGTGCCGCGAAGTACTCGTCGGAGGCATCGAGGGGTCCTGATATGAAAGCAACGCGAGGAGACATAGATGAAGAGTGAATGCAAGAGTGTTGTTTAGTACCCAACGAATGTGTTAGCAGGGGATCGTGTCAGCCTAAATTTATTGCGGATCCCAGTGGCGGCTTGAAAGCATGATGGTATTCATGATCGTGGCTCTGGAAGCAGAGATTCTTGCATAGAGTAGGGACGCATTCAACCCGTGGCTGCAGCTTGAATAGATACTCATTCAGGCAGGTCTTGGTGGAATATGGAAGACGCAGCGAGTTGCGCGGCGCTTGTACTGGGCGGTTTAACCACAGAAGTCCCCCTCGTTAAGCTGCGTAGTGCCCAAAGAGTAGCTGATCACGTGCGGAAGCCAGAGGCAAGCATTATCTAAGGAACCTTAGACGCTCGACAGAGAATTTTGTGGCGGTTGCATAACTTAGCATCTACCACCCCCACCCCCCCTGCGACCCCCAAAATTCCTCTGTAGAGCGTCTGAGGACAAACGGGCGCGTGTTTGGTTGGAGCAGGTCAGAATGGCCATTATTTGGCAGCATCAGTGGACGATACTGGGGCCAATTCAGCAGCTATGGTCTAGGTTGTTGATGCAGTAGAAAGCTAAGGCTTCAAAATATCATGCCTATATAGTCTTAATTTCCTACCTAGTCTATTAGAGGGCGATATACAGCGTGAAGCTGATTTTTGGAGCAGGTCGGACGGCAAATCAGTGCTGCCGGAATGAAGATGCAAAAGGCGCAATTTTCCCTCAGACCCTCGGAGAGGAATCTCCTCGCGCACGTGAGGGGATTTCTCTTCGAGGGTTCTGAGGTTCCTGAGATAAGGCAAGCATACCTTTGATTAGTACCTCCACCTCGAGAAACTCCCACAATCGCGCAGCTTCTACGTGCGTAGCGCTCTATAATCACATAAATAGGTTTTCAAGGCTCGGAGAATGCTCGGCCTCGCCTCGCCTGTTAAGTAATCCCTTTGTCGATGCTCCGGTAGCAGCATATCTTCATCTCACACGAGCAGTCCTCAACCACACTCCACAAGTTTTCTTATGGTCTTAGCCCAGGGAATCATGACAGCAGTGCTTCAACATGCTTATGCAAATCCCCTCTCGGGTCTTTTCTTGGATTCGTTTGCGAAATCCACGGTCGTGTTCCCTAACATTTCTGATTAGTCGCACTCCTAACTAGTCTCCCTGATTACTTTATCGCACAAAAGAGCCGAGGAGCAAGATTCAACCAATCCTGCTCCAGTATATGGCCACTAATGCAAATCTACACGCCCTTCACTCAATGACATGAAACCTCGGGCCTGCGGGGAGCGAGTGCTCGGGACTTTCGAGTAGCTCATGAGTAGATGGCGTTAACTCGCCTGCAGATGCGTCACGGCTCAGCCTGATGGCGAACTGGCTTACAAGATGAACATGCCTCCTCTCCACATATAACTACAACAGTCAACCATTCGGAAAATCATCCATTCATCCATTACTCTCGACTTTCAGCTTCACCCCTCTACGTGCCACCCTACTTCCTTAATTTCTTCCAAATAAATCAGAATCTCTGCTAGGCTTCGAAACTCAACGCTCACCACCAAACTATAATCTCATGGAGGCAAAGGAGATAGAAGAAGGGCGTCACCAATCGGAGTATTCCTCGAAAAGCATGCTCGACCTGGAGAAGGACGACAAAGACCTAGAGGCAGGGACGCATCGGGCATATGAGGAATCGGACATCCAGCCTAGGGATGAAGAGGAAGCCATATCAACTTTCAGGCCAATAACACAGGAGAAACCTCAAAATGAACTCCCACCAGCCACCAAAGTCGTCACCGTCCAAGACTGGGATGGGCCTTCAGATCCTGAGAATCCCCAAAACTGGTCTCTATTGAAGAAGTCCTACCATACGGCAATTCCCGGTCTTTATGGATTCGCAGTGTCAGTATTCATCCGCTCTATCTCAATCCTTCCGACCGCTTGAAACTGTCAGCATCTGCGAAGCTCATTGCTGACTTTCTTTAGCACCATCGGATCCGCCATGTACGCCCCAGCAGTAGGGGAGATTATGGAAAAATTCAACGTTTCTGAAACTGCAGCTTTAGTCGGTCTCTCAGTCTACGTTATTGGCTTGGGGTTTGGTCCGGTATTGGCAGCGCCAGTCAGCGAGAGCCTTGGACGGAGCATCGTCTACAGAACTACCCTCCCGGTTTCCATGCTTTTCACTCTCGGCGCAGGCTTCTCAAACTCGTTTGCTGCGCTGTTGGTGTGCCGGTTCTTCGCAGGATTCTTCGGCAGTCCTGTCCTTGCAGTCGGTGCCGGAACTAATGCTGACATCTGGCCACCACGCCAGAGGGCTATAGCAACTTCGTTCTTCTTGATGGCACCCTTCGCAGGCCCTGCTCTTGGGTACGTACAACTTTGGCGAACTATTCAGCGACATTCTTGAAAGCAAGCTGACCATCTTACACAGTCCGTTTATCGGTGGATTCGCCGCACAATACAAAGGATGGCGCTGGACGCAGTGGTGCATCCTCTTCATCTCCCTCGCAGCATGGATTCCCGGGCTCTTCATGAGTGAAACCTACAAAAAGATTCTTCTCAAACGTCGCGCCGCAAACCGTGGACTCGAGGGGCCGAAAGGACTAACCGGAGTTGCAGCCATCAAGTTTCTCTTTGCAGTTACCCTGATAAGACCAGTCCATATGCTTGTGACCGAGCCAATAGTCCTATTCCTCTCTCTGTATACGGCGTTTGCCTTCTCCGTCCTGTTCGCCTTCTTCGCCGCCTTCCCGGTCGTCTTCGAAGCCCCACCATACAATTTCACAGTGTCTCAAACCGGCCTTACGTTCCTCGGTATTGGGCTTGGAGTTGTCATCAGTAGCTTTTCAGCCGTTGTAGTCGACAGGACGGTATACCAAAAGAAATATAGGCAGGCCATAGCGGAAGGTCGCAAACACGCGGCTCCAGAGCATCGCCTCTACGTTGCCATGATGGGCAGTATCGGTCTTCCAGTTGGACTATTCTGGTTTGCATGGACCGCTGACAACGGAGTACATTGGGCCGTCCCTGTTGTTGGTGCAATTCCATTTGCATGGGGCAATTTAAATCTCTTCGTAAGCACCATGGACCTTCCGTTCGTCTCATTTGGACAAGCTAACCATATAACAGATCGCTACTGCTCTATATTTGATCGATGTGTATGGTCCTTTGAACGGAGCATCGGCACTTGCGGCCAATGGAATCCTTCGATACACCCTCGGCGCCGCCTTCCCGCTGTTCACTGTTCAGAGTAAGTTTTGTATCTTCCACATGACTTTACTCTTGCTAACTAAGATCTCAGTGTACGATAACCTAGGCATTGGATGGGCTACTAGCCTTCTCGGATTCCTCGCCGTGGCCATGCTACCCATCCCATGGGTTCTGTTCAAATGGGGCCCACAAATTAGGGCCCGAAGTCAGTACCCGACAGATATGTGATGGGGTGATGAGTACGATTGGTCCCACTCTCTCTATCAAACATCGTATGACAGAGCGCAGATCAATCGGTGAAATTTCCGTTTCCTCCAATATCTCACGCGAGCGTCTGCATAAAAGCCACGATCATCATTTCTCTTTCAAATTTAATTCATGGCTGTCTCCAATGTATCTACCTGTATATACCATGCATAAACTATAATTACTTCTTCTCCCGGCTTCTTTTCTCTCCGAACACACTCTCAAAAGACCCAGACCACCAGTCAGATTATCATGATTTTCTTCACCTTGCACAAGCGTTGTGGCGTCTCCAAAATATCCGGCTATCAGTGACGTACATATACCCCTCCCCCGCTCTTAAGTCCGGACCGCCGAGGTACCTGAAAACATTTATATACTCGAGCAAGCCAGCTTTTCCCTAGCAGAGAAAACAATTAAACCCTGAGCCGATCAAAAGCCTCAACATGACAATCATCATCCACCACCTCCAGCGCTCCCAATCCGAGCGCATCATCTGGCTCTGCGAAGAACTAGGCATCCCCTACGAACTAAAGCTCTACACCCGCGACAAACACACCCTCCTCGCTCCGCCCGAGTACAAAGCCCTGTACGACCTCTTCTCAACCCCCAAACCCCTCGCCGTTCCCTTCTATGCTCAAAGACTCTAACAAACCCCACCCCACCCCAGCCACCCCTCCGGCACCGCCCCCATAGTCTACGACGGCCCCATCCACCTCGCCGAAACCGACGCCATCACCGACTACCTCCTGGCCAAGTATGCGCCTACCCCCAACGCCCTCGTGCCCGCGCCCACGGCGCCCAACTTCGCCGACTACATCTTCTGGCGGCACTTCGCCAACGGCACGCTGGGGCCGGCGACGGGGCGCGTCATGATGTTCGCGTTTGCGCAGGTCGACGCCGCCAACCCCGTCGGGCTGGGCGTCAAGGCGCGCTTCGAGAACGCGGCGCGCATGGTGGATGACCGGCTAGCCGCGAGCAAGTGGCTTGGCGGGGACGAGTTCTCGCTGGCGGATCTGATGACGGTGTGGCATTTGACAGGGCTGCGGCAGTTTAATCCGTTTGAGCTGACGCCGTGGCCGCATGTGGTCGAGTGGTTAAAGAGGGTCGGGGAGAGGCCGGCGTATAGGCGGGCAATGGAGAAGGGGGATCCTGGGTTTGAGCCGTTGTTGGGGGCGGGGAAGCCGGAGGCGATTAGGAGGGGGTAGGGGGCGGGTAGGAGGGGAGGGTTGGGTATTGAGAAGTGTTTGGGAAGGGTTGGTAGGGGGTGGTGGTTGACGTAAAGGAAAGAGAGCGGTATCAATACCGGGAACTGAAATTTAATGTAACCACTTCTTCAAATACATCTAATATGCTTCTCATGCACAGAATCTACTGGGATAGAGGAGTTGGGAATGGCAGTGTGAGAAGAGCAAGGAAACAGATGAGAAAGCGACTGGAAACGAAAGTCTTATAATTAATAGCTATGAGAACATGGTTTTGGTAGAACTCAGAGAGCCTCCGCATCGTGCACATCAGCACTATTCTCACATATGCGTACGCCCGTGACGCGATCAGATATCGTGACCTCGCTCTTAATATTCATCCTTTCCGTCTTGTCCCCTGCCTACCGATCTAAACGCGGCCCTAAACGCCCAACCCCAATCCACTCATACAGTCCAGTGCCCCTATCAGTACCATCCCCCGCTCAACTCCCCCGATACGTCGTATACCCAAACGGCCCCAAAAGCACAGGCACATGATAATGCTCATCCTTGCTCCGCACCACAAACTTTATCTCCACCTCCGGGAAGAACGCGTCCACCCCCTTTTCCTTGAAGTACTGCAAAGTATCGAACTTCAGTGCCCACGCCTGCTCGGCCGGCTCCCGGAAGAGAGTTGCGAGATCGGGGGTTTGGCTGTCTGATAAGGGTTTCCACGCTGTGACACGCCCGTCGGAGTTCGTGACGGAGGCGAAGGAGGCAATTGCTGCTGCAGGTGGGGATACGAGCGTGAGTGTTACGGGGATGTTGGCGCCGGGGCGGCCGATGGTGGTGTCGAGGACGTGGCAGGTTATGGGGGGGCGAGCGGCGGTGGACATTGTGGGAAGGTTTGAGGTCGCGGAAGCGGGAGACGGCTCGAGATGGGAGGAGAGGGTTGATAGGCGCTGGATTGCTTGCGTAGAGGATGAGGGGGCCGGCATACGGCGAGCAATGGGTGGAGGTTGGATCTTGTCTAGTAGGGTGGTGGGGGAGGTGGGAAAGAAGACTGCTTCTTCTTTTGTTCCAACGAGTTTAGTTTGTCTGAATATCGATCGCTGCACCTTCGATTGAAGTAGCTGAGAGATGAGTCCGTCAGTAGGGGAAGCTGGTTAGCTATCTTGGAGGGGATATTGTTTTTATGTACGATGCGGAGGTCTCGTCGATCTCAGCGTCGGAACGCGCCGAAGGGCGTTTTCTCGCAGATGTCCGTAAACGGGAAAATATCAGCCAAGACTATCCCATTAAAATTGCAAGTTCTGCGGCCTTATCGATGATCTGTTTTGTTCTCTGTATCGAGAAGAAAGATGAGCTAGTTATCAAAGTTGCGTCATCCTCTCTCCTAGGAAGTCACGTGTGTCCCAGTGGACTACCTATTGAGATTATTCATCTTCTGAACCATACGACTCCATAATATGCAAGATACAACTCCATCTTACTATCGAAAATGGAGTAAACTACATGTTCTACCTCCTTCTCAGCTCCCCGCAGATCCTCTCATGAATCCTGTAGTATTTAATCTTCTATGTAGTTTCTCTCAACCGTAAGAGTTTACGCTGTCCTATTGACATCAGTATAAAGCAGTCATGATAGATTGGTTGTATCTCTTCGACATTTCGTACCCCGATAGCTGTAGCGCCCTTGTTTTCTCCTTTCTTACAGCCTTGTTTGGGACTTGATCAGCTCATCACGGGATTTCCTCTTCGTCCTGGTCTGGGATGGCGCCTACAGGCCTTTCCTCCGACGCTTCCAGTGCCCGAGTCAGCATTACTCGAAAACCATCACGCCCATCACCAAGCTCGCTAAATTCGTCACAGAGACTCAGCGGGGTAGACCCATAAAGACTTTCATTCCGCGGATCCGCACCCCACCTAAGCAGCAACTCGACTGCTTTTTCATGCCCATGCTCCACGGCTTCCATCAAGGGCGTCCAATTATCCCAGGTTTTTGCATCTACTTCGCTTCCCAGTCCGTAGAGCCGTTGCAAGATCTCCGTTGAGCCACCACGTGCAGCTCGATAAAAAGGCGTCGTTCCTGATTTCGAGCGCACTTGGATCGATGCTCCTGCGTTTAGAAGCACCTCGACCATACTCTCATTTGCGAGCTCCGCCGCCATATGAAGTGCGGTAAGCCCCCTGGCTTTGGTCGGAAAGTCTACGTCCGCTCCAACTCGCGGATCGATAAGCTTACGAACAAGGCTGATGTGGTTGTAGCGTACAGCGCATACGAGCGGCGTGTATTTATCTGAGAAGTGGCAATTGATGTTCGGAAATTTGGGAAGAAGGACGTCAACGATATCATCTAGGCCGAAGCGAATGGCAAAGTAGAGTGGTGAGGTAGTGCTCTTGTAGTATTTGATCTTGAAGTCATACGCTTTCAGGACGGCTTCCCAAAGCTGATAGATAGAAGCATGCTGGTCAGGGTATAGAAACCACGCTAGTCGGGGTCCGATGCGCTTCATGAAAGACTCGAGATCGTCGATGAGGTTGCTACATTTCCAAAAGTGTCGATGCCAGTAAGCTGCTGCGTATCTCAGAAGAGATGGTGTAAAGGGCTGTGGCGGAGGAAGTCTTGCATCGATGTCTTGCGAAGTTTCGAATATCTGATTGGCAATGTCGGGAACCAAAATGCCCATGTTTTCGAATGAGATATACTGTAGACAAGTCTCCGCAAGCTTTTCCTGGGCTTCGGTCCGGTTGATGTAGAGGTCCTTAGCACGGCCCTGTCGTATTGCTTGGGAGCATAGATATTCTCTTATAGAGAAGTGCAAGAATCTCACTCGAGGCTCTGCATCCCCGTGTAGGTGTTCGATAACCAGCAACTGCCAAATCGGCTCTAGAATGTCATTTGGATCTGTAGGGACAGCATCAACGTCTAGGGACGTATCCCCTGGTCGCACAGCAATGACTTCGGATAGCGAGGATATGGACATAAGCTCTTCGCTTGCGACTAGCCATTGAAGAAGAGTTTTGATGTCTTGTAGACGTCCTGGATACCTATCTATCGACGTCGCTAGTATCTTTTCGTAGGTTGCTTCAAGACCGTCTGGCAGGTTTTGTATAGCGACTTTGATTTCTCTGTCTGTCATCAACGCTGACAAACTATCCAGCTGGAGCCTTGCTTGAAGAAATCTAGTACGATAAGTTCGGTTCATATCGTTGAAGAGGGAAATACTAACGTCCCGGCTCGGCTTAATATCTTTTCCTTTATTTCTTGCCCAAGACTCGTGTTCCGCAGTTTCAGCTTGCGGGAAAGAATTCGCACTTCGATTTCTGCCTCAACAAACTGTTCAATATCCTGGCGACTGCCGACCTCTAGTGTGAGGATGTACGGTCTCAGAGGCCGAAGAATGCGGTCGACAATAGCGTCGGCCCGGCTCGCCACCAACACGTTTACAGCAGGTGTTCTTTCACCTTTCTCCGATGATGAAACTGACATTTCTAAAATATCTTTAAGCATTTTAGATATGGACTCCTTGTCCGACACCTCGTCGAGCGCATCCACGACGATGAAAGTGCGCTCCAAAGACAGGATCCCGGACTTCATCATCGTAAGGCAATCGGCGTTGGTAGGCCCACAGTCAAAGTCCTTGGACTTTTGCTTCTGGATTATGCGAGTCTTCTGCTGGCATTCTGGGGATTGTCTCAAAAGCTGACGTGTAAGACACTGTACGAAACCGGTTGTCGCTGACTTTTTTTCGTCTCGATAATCGCCAAAGAAGAAGAGTACTGCTATCTTGGAACTTTTGGCAGTACCAAGAAGATTCTCAATCACGGTTGAGCTGTGATTTGTTCAGCGAAAATGATAATGAAAGGGGACGAACGGCTGTACGAACTTACCAAAGAACAGTCTTTCCAGATCCAGCTGCAATTGACAGTCAATAACGAGAGCAAGATTCAAGACTTTCGACTTGACATACGCAATCCTTTCACCCATAGCAAGCCTCCCGATGAAATTGTCCACCCCCGGAAGAACTTCGAATTCAACAGCCAGGACCCAGTGCCACGCTGTCGGACTAGAAGCACATTTTCGAGCTTCTTATACGTGTTGGCTGGAAATGACGGACCTAGCCAGACGTCTAGTTTGCGCAGTTCTTCTTGATCTAGGTGACTCGCCACCTGGTTCGACAAATCGTTCACCTGGCTATTTATGGCCTCTTGGATATTTTCAATTCGCCGAAGCGCTTGCCTGGTCAACATTAGTCAACACGCACTTGTTTCACAAACGGGTTGCTCACGCAGAGTTCGCCATCATTGCCGTAGAAAGAAGTCCTCTCAACCGAGCGAAGCGCTGTAGTGCATCTTTGGTTTCCCGCTCCTTGAACGGCCAAAGAAGCCTGCGTCCGACGTTCTTCAAATCTTTCCCGTGGATCTGTTCGCAAGCCTCGAGAGCGCGTTTGACAAGGCTCAGAAGCTCATAACATTCTTTGAACACGCCGACCTTGGATAAAGACTTCAAAGGATCGTCTTGAGCGGAAGAGGACTCCGACAGTTGTTGAAGATGCCCAAGCAAACCGTTTATCGCAGCAGCTTCCGTCAACAGTTCGCTCACTTCGGACGGGGCTCTCGCGACCTTCGCAAGGTAGCCATACCCCCCGGCCAGAATTTGGGCGCTGAGTTGGGTAAGCTGCCCTATCGAGGCGATAGCAGCGACAGCTTCCATACTGCGATTTTAGAGATCAAGCCCAGGGGCTCATGTGGGCAAGGTGCTTTTGAGTTGCTGAGCCAAAGAAAATTCTCGCGGGGTTCACGCTTCATCTGCCAAGAATGGCGGGGGGCTGGTCACCGGTGTTCAACGCAGGCGGCTTTTTGGTATAACAATCATATCCAATAGTGTTCAGCGAGGCTTGTCTAGGTCATCATTGGACCGCAATCTGTTTACATACCCAAACCTACAGATCACAGCTTCTCCTCCACATTCAATAACTATGATGATATGGGTATGACTTGCGTCGGCCAAGATTGAAACTCCTATCCGAGTTCATAAGATCTGGTCGTGAGGAAAGTAGCCACATCCAATGGGTTATGAGTGGTGATCGATCTCGTTGAGATATAGTAATTTTTAAAGGCTTTAAATTGAGTAAGAAGCATGAAACAGAAATTTCGAGTACCTTGCACTTAGAATATGACGTGACATGAAGTGCACGTTAACGGTGTGCATGTCAGGGCACGCTCGGGCTTCGATTGAATTATAAACCGAGAAGAGCGAGTTGCCTGATTCTATGTTAAGGATGAAGGGAGAAACTACGCGCAAGCCGTACCTACGAGCTGGAGCATACCGAAAACAGAATAGGGATGGCTAAAGGGTGATGAGATGATACTTGGCAGTCATACCGAATGCAACATGCAGCCAAAGGACGGCAGCCAAAGGACGACATCCATGATTGCAGCAGCAGCCCACGCGACGAATCGCTATACTCCATTCGTGCTACGAGGCTGTCCTGTCTGGGTGGTATTGGTAATGTCGAGATAAAGCAATGTCAGTGGTCAGGATGGAAATGAGCCTTCTCCACACAGGCCAGCAGGTCGCAGCGTGGTGTTGTAGTCAGCTCGGCGGAAGGCCTTTCAGGGCGCCACGTCCGCTACGACCGTGCAGATGAGATATAATGGAAATGGCTCCATTTCTGAAAAGTGCCCAGTAGCAAGGCTAGAGCGCTGACTTGAAACAAAAGGAATGGAATATTAGCGATGCTAAGGGCAGGCTTGCACCATGCACGCAAACTCAACACCTGCCAAGAAGGGCGGCATCCAACAGACGGCCTTGGCTGCTCCTTCAGCGGCGCAGCAGTCGCAGGACTCGTCGGGCGTCCATCAGCGAAGGACAAGGCATCTCGGCTCGGAGAGAGATAGAACGGGAGATATGCAGATGGAAACGTATTAATGGCAAGGATAAGAGATTTTGACAGGATACGCTCGGCAGCCACACTAAGAGTCGGTCGAAGCGCAGATATCCGTTATATTGGCCCAGGTACAAAGGTAGAGCGCAGCGGAGGATGGGGGTGTGTCTGCCAATAAGGTCTCGCGGCTGAGCACCAGACAGCTGGACAGGGACCAAGGCCCGGCACGCGGGGTCCGTAGATTGCTGGTGCTACACAGCAGGAATGCAATCGCGCACGAGGGGAGCTGGCGATAGGTGTATCTTGCGGTGGATGTGGTGTTGAAGCGCACGATCTGATGGCCGAACTGCCGGCTCCCCGTGTGGTTTCGAGAATACGACGGGCGCTGAGGGCGTTTCCGCCGGCTAGCTGCTTCGAGCAGTGCACGAACGAGTCTGCTCTGGCGCCGATGGGGTGCATGAGGCCGCGCAGCCATCAGCATGGCCCCAGAGTCGCCCTCATCCAGACGCGCGACATTCTGGTCCGCTGCCGCTGTGCTTGTCGCCGTTTACCTACTGCATTGTCTGTCGCTTTGTGCCATCACGGCTTTGCGCACACCCAGGGCCCAGAGTGCTCTTTGTCTCGAAACACTGCGGACCGTGCTGCCCTGACTAGCACAGCGCCATTTCACCGGGGGCCTGCCGTGCAAAGGAGCGCCCAAGAGCCCTTCACCACCACCCAATCTTCAACACCGCCCTCCTCTTCCGCTGTGCAACTGGTCCACCCAGCTTCTCTTGTCGCTCGTTACTTCGCTGCCCTACCTTCTCTTCGCCCGTTGTTACGCGGCACTCTTCCGGCTGCCGCCTTCCATTCGTCTGGCCTCGACCCGCTCAAGCGCCGCCCTCCTTTGTCCCATCACCGTCGTCGCCTGAGTCGCACCGCCGCTCTTGCGCGGTACACGTTCATTTTCTTCTTCACCGTACCGCCTGCTAGTCTGTCGCCGCAGCACCCAGGCTTCTGTCCACCACCTGGACATCCTCCCCTCCTAATACACCACCGTCGATCCTCCCTGCCCGCGACACGCCGCCGCCATGGCGCTCAATCGCGAGAGTCAGTCTGTCCCCGTCCATCGCACCCTCTCGCATGCTGACTTGTTTGTAGACGTCGAGTATACCCTCCGTACCATCTTCCGGCGCTGCGTCCAGTGTCCTACCGACCAGTCGCCCTCATGTCCCGACTGCCCCAGCGGCCAGATATGCGCCCAAACCCCATACAGCTGCGGAGCCTGCGCGTCAACCACCTGCATCCAGCAGACCGTCGATCCTACAAACACCCCTCCCCAGAAGTCGAGCGGCCCGAACGTCGGTGCCATTGCAGGAGGTGTCGTCGGAGGACTCGCATTTCTCGCCATCATTCTCTTTATTGTCTGGAAGTTCTGCCTCAAGGGCCGGCGACAGAAGAACCAGGAAGGGCAGTGGCAGGAGGTTGACGTTCCGGCTGAGAAGAACGACCAGAACGACTTTGCTTCACGACGATCGGCACGGGCATCGACACACACGGTGGCCTCCATGGCCTCTTCCGTCCTCACTCGAGCCTCGAACATCATCCAGATCGCCTACATTCCCGGAGTCACTAATCGCTCAGGCCCCGGATCTCCGGATCTTCTCGTCCCTCCCGTTCCTCCGATCCCTTCCGCCACATCTCCTTCAACCGCTCTCAGCAGTCCGTACTCGATGGAAGACCAGCATTTCTTCCTTCCAGGCGAGCTGCGCGACTCTACGTACTCAGGGTTGACCGATGGACGCAGTAGCTATGCTCGCACGAGCATTACACCCAGTCTCCAGCGCTCCAGTGTTGCTACCACAATCTACCGGAACAATGCCATCGTATCTCCTCTCCCCGCGCAGACCATAGTTCGTGGAAAGGCAGCAGTTGTCAGTGTCAAGTCGAGCGGATCTGGCAGCCCATCGGAAACGCCCGGCTATGAGACTCCTCCAGTGCCCCAAATTGAGCAGAAGCACCTGGCCGCTCCTGTGCGATTTCAGATGCCAGGCATGGGCAGCTCGTCCTCGGTCAGTCCATCAGGCTCCATCCGGAGTATGGGGACGATAGCCAAGCCCACTGCTCTCAACATCACCAGGAAGGCTAAGCCAGCGCTGGTGACCACGCCAAGTTCCTCCTCCACATCTTCGGACTCCCGAAGCGCGACAACAGTGAGACCACCAACCGCTGTATCTGTAGCAGAATCAGAGTCCACCGTTGGCCACTCCCGCGCTCGCCAATCTGGAAGCCTAGACTCCGAAACGGAATCCGACTCTGACGACCACTCACGTGCTCGCCGAAGCCTCCTCCGAGAGGGATCCAACCCGCGCGATTCAGAAATCACCGTGATCCAGGACACACCCGGGATAAATCAAGGTCCCTTTGCCGACTCTGCGAGCCCCGACCCACCTCAGCGACAGTTCTCCCGCTCAAGCATCTTGAGTCCCAGCGGCCTCGAGACTATCACCGAGGACCACTCCTCCAAACGCACAAGCAAGACGTCCCACCGAACCCAGAGCCCATTCTCAGACGACAACGAGATCGGACGATGACCATCTCTTCTTTCCAGCTGAACTACGGAATCGGTTTACAGGGTACAGGCTACGGGCGTTGAACAGGAATTTTTGCGAGCATGAAACTCTACGGAGATGCCGCCACGGGATTTTCCCCCCTTTTTTTGGTGAACATCATTGTCTTTTGTTTTTGGAGACCTTTTTGATAAACTGTGTTTTTACTTCTCTTCTACTACCAAACTTTTTTCCTAAACTTAAGGTTTATTCAGAGCGTGTTGACAGCTCGCGGGGCTTGATGTCGCGCGAGACGGACCTACCCGAGCGAAAGCGATGAGAGGATGAGCGGATGAAGAGCATGGCGGGGGATAGGGGGCTTGATTGTGCAGTGTGTGTTTTCTTTGCGAAAGCTCTACTAGCTGCTGCTGTGTGTGTATCTTGAACGATTAGAATTTATGGATTTGATTGTCAATGAGGGGTTTGAGATTGGTGACATGTGATGTTTGCGAGTGATGGTATGCGGACCGGATGATCAGGAGGAGATGGGGAGATGACGTGCGGATTTCCGGGAGATGGTTGAAACGGGCCCTGGTCGTGCGGGAAGCTGCGTGTTGACGGGGGGAGAGTCAGGTACGTGAGCCACCGAGCAGAGACGCTACGTTCCGACAGACTGCTTGCTTCTATCGTTATAGATATCTGAAGCTTTTGATCATCGAGTACAAGCTGTCTTCATCCTCCACAATTCAAAGAAGCAGCTACGACCTCCTCGCTCTCCAAGACATGCGGTTCTATTTAGCTGGACACTCATCAATACAACCACCACGATCGAGGCGCCCCCTCTCGCTTACCGCTTACCTAACTAGCGCTATCTCACGTGACAACCCGCCCTTTCTCCTTGTATAAAAACGTCCCTCCTGTCCGGCCTTTTGATCGTCAATAGGGATCATGGGGGGAGTCAAATGAGGGGCGGAGGGGGGGTTTCATGCGCTGCAGTTCAACATTGCACTGTCCTGCCGCCCATGGTTGTGCAAAAGCCCCAGGCTTTCTTTTCCATGGGGCTGGTGCTGGGCTTGAGAAAGCCAATGTTCCACGGAGACCATGGGATGGAGAAGTGGGTTGTGCTGTGGGTTGATTGGGGAGGGTTGGTGCTGCTGAGCGCGGTTGAGACTGGGATTGATGGACGGAAGTGGGGGAGTGGGATGATGAGGTGAGTTAATGAACTTCGTTATTCGTTATCAAAGAAAGAGATGGTCCAGAGTAACAGCGAGTTGGCGCTTCTCAGCGTGGTGGAAGAGTACTGGAGTCCATCACCGACCGACCTGCTCAGGGCGACCAAATCCACCACTACATGAGAATGTCGGGTCGGGGGGGGGGGGGGGGGGGGGGGGGGCATATGTGCTGAACTCGACGACACAGCCATGATGACCTACTGCGGATGATTTGATCAACCCCAGAATCTCCTGCCATTCCATAGCGAAAAGAAAGTCCAATCCACACCGACTCCGATGATATAGTTCTGCGAATCCAGCCTCACGTGAGTCATCCGAAAACCCGTGACGATAGCCTTGGCACCCGGCCCGGATCGGATCGACACACTCCCGCCCGGGGTCTCGGCTGCGACTGAAGCATAGAGAGAGAGAGAGAGAGAGAGCAAGGAGAAATCCGAGAAAGCCAAGGAAGTTGTATATACTACCTCTGTACCTATGTATCGTGCCCATGTAGTCTATCATCAACTATTGAAACGCTTCTACAAACCAACCTCCATGCCCCCAAAGCGCCAATGCTTGATCTAAACACTATGCGAAACAACACCGCTGCTTGAAAATGCAGGAAGAAACGAGAAATGAGCAGGAATGAGGGAGCTCATGCTTTTGGAGGTGGCCTAAATGCCGCCCTCACCCATAGTCCTCCTCCACCGATCGCCATATTTCTTCATAGCCCAGATAACCGCGCACCCACTCACCACACTCCAAAGGCCTAGGATCGTGAACAGCCACCCGTTCCCGATGGCGTCGATGATCGGCCCCGCAGCCACAGCAGCAGCACACGAGAAGATGTTGCGGACGAAGTTGTTGATCGCGATGCCCGACGAAGCGCGGCGCGGCATGAACTCAGTCAGCATTGTCGTCGCGAGGCCGAAGATGAGCATGCTGCCAATGCCAAAGAAGAAGTTGGCGAGCATCTGGTTTTGGGGTTAGCGTGGCTGTTCCGAGTAAAGAGGTTGGATTTAGAAGGGGAGGGGAAGGAGTAGACATACCGGAACGAACCAAAAGACCCCCTTCTCCGCCGTCCACCCATACCAGATCAATGCTCCGGGCCACATGACCGCCGCCAGCCAGGCATTCTCGCGCATGCGGTCTTCGGGCCTGAAGGAGAGTTTGCCGTTCTCGTCGTACCGGCCTGCTTTCGTGGCTTCACGGTGCATGATCCGGTCGATCCAGCGGCCGCCAAACATAGATGCGAGGAAGTAGCCGAGCGAGTTGGGGATGTATAGGAGACCAATGATCAGCGTTGAGAAATTGTAGGGTGACCTGGAGAACGTCTGCTGGATGGAGATGTTGAGGCAGTAGAGTGAGCCGAAGCAGATAGAAGCGTAGTAAACGGTGAGTGCGACTGCTGGGTATCTAAGGTAGGCCAGGACGAGTAGAGGGTCGATGAAGATACGTTTAGCGAGGGTTGCGTATTTCCTCGTCTTGATTTGGACCGATTGACGCGTTGACATGCGGGTGAGTGTTTGAGGTTGCTGCTGCGCGAATCCTTTCTTTTCTCCGTCTTCTACCGTGTCTTTGCCTTTGTTCCCTCTTGATGCCATCCGACGTATCACTTCATCTTCTGCTTCTTTCGCAAGATCCCTCCTCTTCGCCAGAGTCTCCGGAAGAAGAAACAGGATACCAAGCACCATGACGGCTCCATACACAACCAGAAACCATTGAGTGCTTCTCCATCCAAGCCCCTGTCCCATAGCACCACCGATAATGGGAGCAAAAAGCGGACCACACAGCGGCCCAAGGTAAAAGAGTCCCATAGCTCTCCCGCGCTCTTTCGGCTCCCAGATATCCGCGATCGTCCCGGCCCCAACTGCCTGTACCGACGCAGCCGCCCCTCCAGAAAGAACCCTCATGACGATCAACATGGCCATGCTCGTAGACACAGCCGCCAAGACCCCGAAGAGCAAGAAGAGCACAAAGGAAACGAGATAAATCGACCGTCGGCCCAACGTTTCGCTAAAGCTTGACCACCACAGAGGGAAAATGGACATAGATAGCATGTATATGGCGACGTTAAGATTGGCAATCGTGGTAGAGGCGTGGAAGCTGTGTGCGATGTCGAGAAGGACGGGCATTACAATCGCGGACCCCAGCGGAGCGGCCATGCCTGCTATCGCAACAAGAACCGTAATCATCCATTTCGTGCGGCGAGGGTAGTGGTACGAGTTGGTGACCTCGGGTATGAGAGCTAGAGCGGCGAAGAGGCCTCGTCGTTGACGCCGATCAACGTGGTGGGCTGTTGAGGCTATCGAAGAGGCTTGAGTCCGAGGCCGGGGCCTCTCTGGGTCGCTGTCTTCGTGCATCGATGGCGGGGAGGTTGAGGAGATTGCTGAGGGTGCAATTGAGTCGGTGTCTTCGTTCTTATCGTTTGACATTCCCATTTCCTTACCCATCTCTTTCCTCGGGCCATCACCTGATAGCGGTTCTGGCGGGCTCGGGGCGCCTCCGTCGCGCATATTCAGATGTTTCTTCTCAGAGTCATCCATTCTCAGCAGAGTCCTGGGTGGTTGTTCAATTTCTCAGAGTGGATGCCGTGGAACTGAGTCAATGCGCATCTATCCGTCTTCACAATGGGTGGAAGCTCCAGCTCACGAGTATCACCAACACGGAACCCGGAATGCAACGCGATCTGGTAAGAGAAAAGGCAATTGAGGAAGAAGAAAGACGGTGAACAGGTCCAACAGCAGGCTCTGCACCCGAACATCAGCGCTGCTGAAGGGTAAACGAGGCATTGCTCGGACAAGTCTTCCTAGCGGAGTCATGTCATCGGCGTATGCCATATTCCCTGCAAGCTACCGTGGCTACTACACCAGCTGCTGAGGTACGGATAGCAAAGACGGCTCTAGCGAGTGGGGAGGACGTTGTATACAGCCAATGAGGCGTGCAGACTGGCCGCGGGAGGGTGCCGTGTGTGCCGAGTTGCGATGAAAGAGTCTCTTGGTGGCACCGAGGGATTTGAGCGACAAGCTTTCGCCGACTCCTTGTCCGATTGCGGGGTGGTGTGCCCCGCCATTTGTACTTCTCTTCGTGCGACATATGAAGCTGCTTATTTGAACAACTAGCATATCAATTGATGTTGCATGACTTTGAGAGAAACACTACCAACGTGTCCAAGATGTCGAAGCAACCGAATCTCGGCACGCTACTCATTCAACCCCGATTCCGGCCATCTTTGTCCAATCCACGGCGACGCCTCCGCGTATAAAGTAATCCAGGCACCGTGGCGTCGTCACACTTCTATCCATAAACCCATTGACCATGCTTCAATTCTCGAACCCATTCTCAACCACCTCTACACTTGTGTAACCTATGATTCAACTACTCTCACACCGACACACTGCCCTCAACATGGCTACACCACCCTCCAACCCCCCCGCCCCCTTCTACACCATCAACGACGTCCGCACCCGCCTCCAATCCCACTTTCTCAACACCGACCCCAGCCTCCACCCTTCGCGCTGGGACGACCTCTGGAAAACCCAGGACTTCCTCCCCTGGGACCGCGGCACCTGGAACCCCGCGCTCGCCGACGTGCTCACCACCCAAACCGCCCTCCTCGGCACCCCGATCACCGTCGACGACACCACAGACGTCAAGCGGCGCAAGCGCGCGCTGGTCCCCGGCTGCGGCAAAGGCTACGACGTGCTGCTGCTGGCGAGCTTCGGGTACGACAGCTACGGCGTCGAGGCGTCTGAGAACGCGGTGCGGGCGTGTGAGAAGTATGCGGTGGACGCGGCGGATGCGTACTCGGCGCGGGATACGGAGGGGGGGAGCGGGAGTGTGAAGTTTCTGTATGGGAATTTCTTTGGGGATGAGTGGGTGGAGGGGGTGGATGGAGGGTTGGGGGATGGGTTTGATATAATCTACGATTACACGGTGAGTTCTGGCACGCCCATTCGAGTTCGCGAAAGGATGGAGCAGTGTGACGGGTGGTTGTGTGCTGACTTGTTGTATTTGTTGTAGTTCCTATGTGCTCTATCGCCCTCCCTTCGGCCGTCCTGGGCAGCAAGAATGTCGCAGCTTCTTGCTCCTACAGCTCGCCTGATTTGCCTCGAGTTTCCGACGCATAAGAGTCCTTCGTCTGGGGGCCCGCCGTGGGCGTTGCCACCGGTGGTGTATGAAGAGATTCTAGCAAGGCCGGGCGAGGAGGTAGCGTATGATGAGGATATGAATGTAGTGGTTCGGAAGCCAGTAAGGGACAACGAGAGAGCGTTGGAGCGGGTAGCGCACTGGCAGCCGGAGAGAACGCACGAAGCTGGGATAGGCACCGATTGGGTTAGCATATGGAAGCATAAGTACTGATGTTGCGGTGACCTGCGAATGCTGGTATAGGGCGGAGATAGCCTGGTATCAAAAGCTTCAGGCCGCTTTCCGCAGCGAGTTATAATGCTCGCCCAATCCAAAATTGTGATGGTAGTACCCTAACCAAATCACTTTCTTGTCGTCGCCTGTAGCAGTACTGTCTTCGGCTGGAGTTATCTCCTCCACGGTTCCGTTCGCCTGGAGCACATTGATTTGAATCCCATACTGTCTCGCTAGAGCAGTGAGCTCTAAATGGCCGCCCCACTCCCCTGTCTCTCGTATTTTACGCAGATACTCCTCAAGAGGCTCTTCCATAAATCCAGCAAACTGGTCCGGATTCTGCTCAATGTAGTCCGCAGCAGCATACCTCACAAGCTTATATGTCGGCAGCTTCTTCTCCGCATCGCTGACCCCATCCAGCTGCTTATCCGCTATCGTAGGTTGTATTCGAGGCTCCAGCCCCAGCCCAGCTTGGTCCATCTGGTCAGCAACAGCTGAGTACAGACAGTGCCCGTCAGCCCGAATCTCCTTTTCCTGCAATTCGTACTTCGAGAAATAGCCTCGCATGTTGATCCGTTCTTGCTCTCGCAAATCCGGCATAGAAGCTGCTTCAGCGGCAGCTTGGGCAGCGAGGGCGTCTTGCTCGGCGGCACGGCGCGCGAGTCTTGCTTTAGCTCGGTTTGGCTTCTTTCGCGGTTCGTTGGAGGCGGGGGAATCTGCGGACTCTAAGGTGGGAGAGGATATGGATGTATTTTGTAGTGATTCCGCTATGCCGTTGGTAGTTGTTTCCGGGTCCTTTTGAGCTTCTTCCTCTGGATCTCCCTCAACGGGAGCCTCGTCTGTGGCTGCAAAGCCATTTTCACTATTCAAAGCTGCTAGTTCTTGAGAGTGACGTTCTTTCAGCTCACTCTCAAGTGTGGCACACTCATCATTTACGCCCTTCCTCGTCTTCTTGCTCGCTGATTTCTTTTTCTGCGTAATGCGGGCCTGGAGGTCGCGTTGTTCTTTGCGGTGGCGTATTTGGAGGGCTTCCAAGGTCTCCGGAGGGTCCATGGCGTGACAACAGCCTGGGATCTACTTGCCAAACAGACAGATCACTCAAGGCTGCAGTTAAGAGCTCGAATGGAGGTGGAGAAGTGAACAGGTGTGGATTTGCGGACTTTGAAAAGAACCGAAGAGCTGCCGGAGGGCACGTGATTTGATCAGAACTATATTCATCACTAGCTTTCAATCTGTATTGATATAAGAGCGCATGTTGATCTTGTACGTAAGAAACTGAGATGCTTCAATGAACCTCTTTAGAAATTAATAATTACAGGACCTTTATATAAACGTCACCCAAATATTATCTCAAAGGCACTAAATCCTCCTAAGTCTATGTCATTAAACATGAATCACCATCTTGGTCACTACCAGACACCCCCCGTCTACACAGCTTGATAGACACTTAGCCTGTCCCCAGCCCCACAGAACTCATCCGAGTTCCCTGGACACAAGAAGCTACAGTCTCCTTCACTGGCAACACTCGTCGGATTCACGAACGAGTCCCCACAATAGCACTCCGTCCCATACTCAGTCCCAAAGTACGTGTAATTCGCGCAGAAAGCCGCACACTTCTCAACCGTCATCGAGTTATCAAAAAGGTACTGAGCATCCAACGCCCTATTACCAACATCGTCGGTATGACACGAAAGGTAGCTGTATCCTGCAATCGAAGGATTAGACGGCCCGGTCTGCACAGTGGTACTCTTGAAAAGGTTCATACGACTGCCTGCACCGCAAGTTTCGGTCGCGTCGCCGGAGCAAGCGAAGTAGCAGTCGGTTTCCGGTGCTGTATCGGTGGGGTTAGTGAAGCTGTCGCCGCAATAGCACTCCGATCCGTATTCGACGCCAAAGAAGTTGTAGCCTGAGCAGAAGGACGCGCAGGAGGCGTATGTCGTGGTGCTGGTGGATTGTGTTTTTGCAGTTAGGACACGGGCGTAGACTAGGTCGGTGTGGCAGCCTTGGTAGTCATATCCGGCGAGGGTCGGGCCCGCGACGGTGGAGGAAGTGGTCGATGAGGAAGATGGTGTGGATGTGGTTGAGGGTGTTGGTGTCGCTGAGGTCGAGCTTGCTGCTGCGTCTGTAGAGGAAAAGGAAGAGACACTACTGGAAGCTGCTGCGCTGCTTGAAGACGAGGAGGAGCTAGAGACGCTACTAGAAACGGCTGAATTCTTGTAGATATTGAGCCGGTTTCCAGCTCCGCAGTACTCCAGACTATTTCCAGCGCAGGTCATCGAACAGTCAGATGCGGATTGATTCGTGCTAGTCGTAGCAAGACTGGCGCCACAGTAGCATTCGCGGCCGTATTCAACACCAAAGTAGGTCGATCCGCCGCAGAATGAAGCACAGCTCTCCACCGTGAGACCATCAGTCGCAGTAGAGGAATCAGCAAGAGCTCGCCCTCCTTGTGCTTCGCTGAAGCAGCCTTGGTAAGTGTAGCCCGCGATAGTTGGGTTTGTGACTGGGGCGTAATTCAGATTCTTGTATGCGCTGATACGGCTGGCCCCACCACAGTACTCATCGGTATTGCCAGAGCAAGCCACGTTGCACTCGGAAATTCCAGCACGGGTGCTTGAAGGGTCTCGAGAGTTGCCGCAATAACACTCGCCCCCAAATTCAACTCCGAAATACTGGAATTTGCTACAATCTAACGCACACTTCTCCACTGTCAAGTTGTTGTCATAAAAGACGGCGGCCGAATACGCCCTTGAAGCAGAAGAGTCCGTGTAGCAGCCTTGGAATGCAAATGCCGATGAAGAAGGTGTTGAAGATGGAGCAGTGGGGCTTAAAGCTGCGCATGTGCTTGGCAGCAGAGTAACGTTCTTGTAGTTATCGGTAGAACTTCCCGCGGACACACCAAAAGAGGTGGTCTGCGTCTGAGAGGGATCTAGCGAATAGGTTGCCGCGTAGAGGTTGTACGAGCCAATCGCAGTCTGCGAAGCCATAGCCGCGGAGACTGTAGACAGAGTAGGAACGATGATTCCATCGGTTCTCGGAATCTTCAATGTGAGTTGGAGTTGTACGGAAAATAACCCGGTATTCCTGACCTAAATTTTCGATTAGCCCTCAATGATATCTAAGAAGGCAAAACAGAACTCACAGCAGCGATGACTGTTAGACTACGCTGCCCATTGGTATCGTTAGTCGAACTCAAACAGCTTTGTGGAGACTGCAACATGATAGTGTCTTGAATGGGAAACCCGGCGCCATTATTGTCATGTAGCTCCGTAGACCCGTCGATGAGGGTCACAAGTACATTGAATGATGAGATTGACGAACTAGCGGCAAGATTGGCGGAGAATCCATAGAACTTCACTTTGGTCAGCATAACTTCCGGATCGTTGCTGTGTCCGCAGGTCGTGGTCTAAAAACTTACAGTAAAGCTATCGTCGAATCCGTTCGCAGTTCCTTTGTAGGTCGTATCGATATTGTCACTCGCAGAATTTCCATCGCGGTCTTTATACACAATCTGAACACTAGCGACCTGACTTGCTGCGCGAATGGTTGTTCGAATTCGGATGTCGCCAGTAAAAGAGATATTCGCTCCCCCTGCAAGTAAGGTCAATTGAAGAGCATATGGTTTGACTTCATATGGTACAATCGGATCAGTGAGAACAGTCCCTTTTGGAACGACTTCAATCATCTTTTGGAGCATGGTCGAGCAGACACTGGTGAAAGTCGCGAGATTCGTCAATGCTTTGATAGTGACATTCCCGTCAGCTGCAAAGACTCTCCCATCGGAGTTTTCCCCTTTGGCAATCGAAGGGCCGACCACAAGAGGGTTCAGAGTGGTTCCAGAGACGTACTCAGTCGCAACCTTGTTGTCGAAGAGTTGTGTAGTGTCGAAGTCTTTGACACCGTTCGAATTTGCAGCAGATGCTACCGGGACAATTTCCGGGAAGTTGCTGGAATGAACTCCCCCCATAGTATGTCCACAAGCAACGACAGCGATCATCTCGGTTGTGTTGAATCCCATCCTGAGGAACTGATTCTGGAATATGGTTATCCCGTTCTGTGGCAGAGGTACCCCGGAATCGCCGCCTTTGGTGGCATCAATTCTCCCAGTCCTGATAGCTACCACAGGTCCACCGCAGGATCGCACGGCGGTGTACATCCCCATGGCGATAATGTCTGACATTGATGATCGGCTTGAAAAGAATGGCGCATATGTTGTAAGTGTCGTATTGAAGGCGGGGCCAATGTTCTCCCCTCCATTGGTCTCAAAAACGAGGGACGCATCAAGGCCTCCGATGCCTTGGACCGCATTTCCGGTCGCCATGTCGTGAAACGCGGTTCGGATCCACTCAGCTGCAGCAACTCGTCCAGCTCCCTGGGCAGAAAAAGAACAAGGGGTAACAGCGGCTGAGAATCCACGAGATCGGTAGCCCGAATTTAGGAGCATGATATCCTCCAACTCGTCAACTGAAGAAGGCCATGTCGGCACTGCGAATACTCCTAATTGCAGAGTCGACATGACCCACGCAACGATCGGCAATGAAAGGGCGATCATGTTTATAGGCTAAATGAACGACACCGTAAAGGATAAACAGCGCAGCGCAGCGAGTGATGGCACTGGCAAAAAAGCAACAGGAGAGAAGGGGAGGAAGAGAGTGAGAAGAGTCAGATTTGTTCTCAAGCGGGCTTTACGGTATATATCATGTCGGCCGAGTCGCTACTTTGCTGCAGGCAGTCTTCAGGTCGTGTTCCAAAGACCGAGTCTCTTGGAGTCGGCGACGGCCTGTGGGACCGCGTTAGACTTTAGGTCGTAAATATGAGCTAGCTATATTTTATGCAAGCGCCACAGGTAACTAGGAATAAAGCAAAAAGAGTAAAGAGACTCTAAACATAGCCAACAGGGCGAGACTTTGACGGCGGGAAGAGACGCTATAGTTCGTGAGCGGCCGTTGACCCCTGAGAACAGGGCTGAGCGGGAGCGGCACATCACCAAACCGGACGCACGCTATCGCAAGATCGAACCTAGCGGCCGACATGCCAATACGTTATGCATGATTGTGCAGGAGAACCGAGTCGGATCCAGGGGCGGTGGCTTCGGGAGCTTGCGTGGCGGTGGAAATTTATATTGCTTGGGCGTCTCAGCTAACGTCTTCGGAGCAAGCTGGGCGACAAGAAGTCTCGAACGCCCGCTTAGGAGACCCGAACAAGGAGCCGCCAACCGAATCCTGATAGCGAGTCAAGAGCAGCTTGAAGAGCATTTTTCTTGAAGAGGCCAATGACTGAGAGCCCATTACAAAACGTTTCTGGAGAATCAAGACATGGTTGTCTGTGAGGTTGAGAAAGCGGAAGGAAGTTCTTGGGATGGAGCTTACACCGGTGCGCGTATATAGAAGTACGCCTCAGGGGCGAGAGGTTGTCCAATGGCTAAGCGATGAGAAGGCGGGCGGCTGGCGCTGTATTTCGACCTCAGCTCATGCCTCATCCACAACAGACCGGAGTCACCGCGAGACACAGTAAGGCAGGGCACAGCAGAAAATGACTCCAACGAGTGGGGGCTCTCAGCCTCGTCGTCTGGGAGAAGTTTCTTCGCATGGTTCCATCGGCGGCGCCAACCTATCCTCAGACGTTCCATCTGTTGAACGGAAAATACGATTGTATTGTCTATAAAGCTCAACCTTCTTACCCTTAGAAGCTCTAGTTTATATCAGCATACCTCCTCTGCATCAGAAATAAGCAGGCCACCTCAGCTATGTATATCCAGACGGTCCGCCTCGAGATACGCGACTTCACGCATGACGACATTCGCTCCTACTACAAGCTTGAATCCATCCTATCTGTCGTCCGCTATTAGTACAATGCCGAGCGCACTATAGAAGAATTAAAGGAGCTTGTCCAAAATAATATTAACGCGCAAATTGTTGTACCGCAGGCACTTTACAAACTCGCTGTTACGCACAAAGAGCGCTTCATTGGGAGGATTGGGCGTTTATAAAGGATGGCCATGCCGACATCTAGTACGCCTTCATGCCCGCCGTGTAAGACAAGGGCTTTGCGATAGAAGCGGTGGAGGCGTTTCTTCCCCAGCTCGGCGATGGCCTGACGCTCGAAATCGAATGCGAGCCGCGGAATGAAACGAGCTGGAAGCTGGGTCTGCGGTTGGGATTTGAGGAGATAGGTACGGTCGAGAAGGCTGAGTTCTCCAAAGGCGAGTGGGTGGACTCGTTGGTGCTGCATAAGGTGATCCCAAAGGCTGTCGCGGAGGAGACAGCCCCTCAAAGCGAGTAGCGGTGCGCACCAACCTATCCTCCGCAAAAGAACCAGTCAAAAAGCTTCAATGTCAGACTCCCCTTATTTCTGTTCAAGCACGCGTCTTGCTCTCGTTCAGCTGTGGTGGTGTTCTTCTTTCTCCCATCCTCGGCGATCGCCAAGAGATATTGCCAAGACTCTTCTCACTCCTTTCGACAATGCCTTCGCACACACGCAATGCGTCACCGGGGCGTGCGAAACTGCGCACTCAGGCTGTGCAGTCGGCATTGCACCCGCTGGTGGGCTTTCACCGAGTGAACTTCACCTTCAAGCACGTGATGGCCGTCCTGGCCGTCCTGGCCTTCCTGGCCGCGCGCCGCACGTCCAGGAGCGGCTGTCGAACCTTCTCGCTGTCCTAGGCAGCCGCCGACCCACACCGGCGCGCGCTCTCATTGGCTAGCGATGACGTAAGTTTTTTCCTTGGCGGCTGCCCGCGAACTACTTAAGCTGGCCTGCCCCCGCTCCCTCTGTCAACCTCGTTGCGCCCCTTCCCTCTCTCCGTCACTTCCCTCCTCCTGCCATCTTCACCCTCTCCAGGTCAACCTTATGTCGCGAGATCTTTAATGTCACAGCCCTCGGGCTTCTGCACATCCTCCTGGTCATCTTCCCTCTTGGTCACTGCCCCCCTCCTGGCCATCCGCAACCACCCGGGTTTGTTTGGCACTGAGCAGCCTTCGTCATCGCCCTGCGGGGGAATAGACGCTGGTATTGGGACAAATGGACTGCGGTCCTGCTGTCTTGGGTGTTCGACATTGTCGGTTACCACTCACTGCCAAGGGAGTTTGAGGAAGACGATCAGCCTGGCCACACGGGGCTCGGGGTACTATGTATTCTCGACCAAGCTACCGGTCCAACGTCAATGCTGGAAGACATAGGGTGATTCCAATCTTCCAGGGCGCTCAAAAGCTGTTTATCTTGCCCAGGTTCAGCTACGGTGCCAATCCGAGGGTTCTGCGAGTCTGGCTGACCGTTTACCATGCTGAGGTCATGCCACACGTTTGAGCAGAGGCGCGGTTTCCTCCTTCAATCGGCCTTGGCTGATGGAGTGAGTTCTTGCACGTAAAAGGCCGTGCAAGGGTATCTGCCACCGTCGCCCGGATCCACAACATGCCCTTCTCCGGCTGGGGGAGACAAGCATGACTGACGGGGTTATCTCTTTTCAAGTTTGTCTCACAAGGCAATCCTCTTACATCTACGTGGTCTCGATCTTTTTGGCAAGCACTCCTTCCCCTCTTCGTTAGGTTTCCCAATAATGAGGTTTTCGGTAACGCCCTGCTAGTCCTTCAAGATCGGACTCAATTTTTGGAACATTTTCGCATCGACCTTGGTCTTTGCTTTCGGGACAAAGTCTTCGGGCTCCTGGGGTCTTTCATTTATGAAGTAACCCACGCCTCTCCTCTTTTATGGAGTTGGCACCTTTTTTTTTCATTGAGCTTCTCATCATGCATGGGGTCTTGAGGAAGAAACTTCGACTTTTCAATTTCCGCCAATCCCTTGCGCCGTTGTCTCGCGTCGCCATCGGATTCTACATTGCGTCGCCCCGATCAATCAACGACAACAACAAGTCAAAGTTGGCAGCCGACGGTGTTGAGCTTCTGAGCCCGCCAGCCATCGTGAGTAAGCTCTCCAACCACAGAAGCGCAGCTGCTGGTATCTCCTCCTCCAGGACCAGCCCACGGCGAGCACACCAGCAGTGCGCCCAAGAGAGAATCGCGACAGTCGCGCCACCACTCCATGACGCTCTCGCAAGCCTTCGTCACGCCCAAGACCGCGCTCTCAAGCTCCTCATCGGCGTCACGGACAGGCGCCCTCTCTACGGCGACATCACAATCGCGCCTGCTCTGGCGTCTCATTGAGCGCTCACATGCCTTCCTCCGCCACGCCCTCTACAGCACATAGCTGGCGCCTCGATCGATCGCGGCCCTCCAGTCCATCGCCCTCTCGCTGTCAACTGGCATCCGGCCTCCCTTTCCCACCATCCATCCGAAACTCCCCCTCCTCCCTCCTCCGCCTCCGATCTGGGCCGGCACCTTCGAACGAGCTCAAATGGAGCGACTACACGCTGCGCAACAGCTAGGACTTCTCCGCCGCGCGCATTCTACCGCTCTTCCTCGCGGACTCCGCCGACGACCTCCGCTCCCACGGCCAAGCAGGCCTTCAGCGGAGCATCAGACAAGAACAATTGGCTATTGAGAGAAGGAAACACAAGAGCGGCCACGTCGGCCACAGTGACAGTGGCGGAATACTGAGAGGGCAACTTATATAGGGTACAGCAGGCACGAGACACAGGCATGGGAAAGACGTGGACTACCGCGTGCCATATCCGTGTACGAATTGCAATTCTGCTGGAGGGTATAAAAGGCCAGCTCGCAGGTTCTGGAAAGGACAGAGGTGGGCTCAGCTGGCAAGGATCAAACCTACAATGTGACACATCATGGTCTGCCGGGCTGGGGTGGAGCAAAAAGGTCCAGGGAGGATATCCATAGAGGGCGGATGTAACCGATGGCTTCCATCGACAGTGGACCTTGCCTGCGTGCCGCTGTTGAGGGACAGCAATGAAGATCATTGTCTCTCACACCTGCTGGAAGCCTGCATGAACCGGATAGGGTAAAGCTCAGGTCTTTTCCTTGATGCCAAAGCGCACTATCGACCGATTCAGATAGAGTCTTGGATAGGGTATTTGAATTGGCTCGTGCACATATACACGTGATATGACGGAGAATGCCGTGTGTATACAAAAATCGCATAGAATCAGCATTATATTACATTCAGTTCATGCGTGAGGCTGTATATCGACAGAGAATGTATATTATCAAGTCCCCCTATAGTGTTGAGGTTCCACAAGTGCATAGAATACAAGAGAATGCCCCCCCACCCCTTTTTTGTATACACACGGCATTCTCCGTCATATCACGTGTATATGTGCACGAGCCAATTCAAATACCCTATCCAATTCAAATACCCTATCCAAGACTCTAAATATCGTACAAAGAAGACGGACCTCATCAAGTTTAATCAATGATGAGCGCCACATCCTCCGCGACACCACCGAGCCTCCACTCCAGACACTCCGATCTCCATCGCCGTATTCATAGTGATAGATTACTCGTGACATCGCAGCCTGTAGAGTTTGACCCCTCCCAGCCAGAACGACAGCATCATTCTGGACTGTCTTTCATTTTGATATCTCCAACCAAACCACACCATCGAACTCGCTGATGCTTTTTGCTGCTCAAGAAGCCCCAACTCCACTCCCGCGCCATTGCTCGCTTTTATTTGTTGTTTCAATCCTCAATCAAGACACCGTAAGGTCGAAGAAACCCCTCCATGAAGAAGCTCTCGAGCTCGCGATAGAGAAGCTTTTATATCCGGACAGAGAGCTCGTGGTCTCAGCTGACCAAGCTTAGATCACGTGCACGTCGTGGATAGATGCAGCGGAGATTGGGAGCGCTGTCGCCAGGCTTCTAAGTCCAGTGACTAGTCAGGTGATGGCAGCTTTGGAGTGGGTATAAAACCTTTCGTCGAGGCGGGAGATTGAAAGCAGGTCTGGCTATGTGTTAGATCTAAGACAATCACCTACAGCAAGCAATCTGGTAGCAAACCTGGGTCGTCTTTGTCCTCTCTGTGTATATAGTTACGCCTTCCGCCATAGTTCAGATGCTACGGCCTGCAATTCAACAGGTAATGAGCCCGGCTTCATTCAACGCTGCGTAGCCTCCGCTTCAGCTTCACTCAACGCTGCCATGCCTCAGGTCGTCCACCCTCCTGCGGGTGTTAACAGTAGATTCGTCCATCATCAAATGCTTTCCTTCGATGCTCTCCTTCGATGCTTTCTTTCAATGCTTTCCATTATTATCGGATGTCAGCCATTATTACAGGATATCAGCTATTACTATAGAAAAGCGCTACTAATCATACACCCCCTAATTCCTAGATGTACACCCCCTTTTCACTACACATACACCCCCTCCCCCCCTTTGTTGCTTCACCGCCTTCTGATTGGCTCGGAGAAGCGCGGAGGAAGCTCCGGGCATTCACCTATACGTCTCTCTACACGTGATGTTATACGCAAGGCCGTACGTGAGGCTATACGAATCGGCATGGCTATATAGCCTCACGTACAAGCTCACTACGGCTGTATATACAGCTGCACGAATCGGAAAGGATGCGCAGTAAAACGGAGAGGCTGTATAGCCATGCCGATTGTATAGCCTCACGTACGAGCTCACATACGGCCTCGCGTATAGCATCACGTGTTCATGGTGAGTGTATTGTAGAGGGAGAGGAAGAGGATGTAATTGATTGTGATCAAGGCCGCATTTGGAGAGAGCATTCGGAATTAGTAAGGAAGTTAAGCGAGCGAATCGGAAGGTTCAGAGGAGCCCTCCAAGCCAATTAGAAGGCGGTGAAGTGCTGCCGGGGGTTGGGGGTGGTACGTCTAGGAATTAGGGGGTGTACGACTAGTAGTGCCCATATTATTATTCTAAATCACGTCTTGAAATATCTTGTGATTGTTGATATTGCTGGGGTTCTAAAAGGTCCAAATCGTACCGATAATGGGGTTGCCAGGATGCTCATAGTGCCAGGATGCTAGTGGACTACGTTAACTAACTATCTGAGCTCGCTGAGGTAAGTTTCCGGGGGGCCTCAAAACCTAGTCCAGGTGCTTTGACCGCGCCAGGACCTCGAATGCTTGGCCCGACGACGGCCATAACCTAGATAGAATCAACACAACTTTTTCACCACTAGCTTGTGGCCGTGTCGTCTACAGGCCTTCCTATAACCAGAAAACTATGGACTGATAGATTTCCTTCCCACTTCACAAACTACAGTCCGCTACATCGCAACGTTCTCGATCTCAGGAGCGCCATATGGTCTCGCCCCCACCCGGCATCTGCGTCCAACCGCACCGAAGCTAGTTCGCCTCTGCACCAAAGACGTATGACAGGTTACTCAGAGGGCCTCGCCTATCCCGAGAACAAACCCAAACTTTGGATCAAGTACGGCTGTTCAGTCATGCCGAACAAGGTGCCGCCCCAGGTCAGGGCATACCACGAGCTCCAACAGCTGCAGTCACCGGCCCGAGCCCCGAGAATTTTCCACGTTTGCCGCATTAAATACATGACCCCCGTCATGGAGTAAATCCGCGGCAAGACAATAGCCCAATCATCAACAGAGGACCTCGCTCGGACGCGGGAGATCTATGACCTAGTTGCCTCTGGTCTCCAGGAACTCCTCCGGATCACCGTGCCTCCGTGTTCTTGTATAGAATTGGGTTCAAGATGCTTTAATAAGGAAGAACCTTCTTTTCCGCCCCCAATTCCTTTCCTTTATTACTCATGGGCGGTGGCGGATGCAAATTGATGACATGTCGGGATTAGCGACGGGCGATACATAGTGGGAGGATATTCTCTTCTTTTCTTTATGGAAACTGAAATGGCGGGATTGTAAGCATCTGGGCACGGTAAGCATTCCTATAGCGACACGTGTCCTGGAATTTGGACCACCGTTGACAAATTTAGCCTAGCAAACACCATTCCAAGCTCCTCTGCCCGAGTATTCCCGAAGCCGCCCAATGCTACCCGCACTTCCTAGACCAGTGCTGAAATTTTTGAGTAGCCGCGGGTACCCTCCTAATTGTTGGGGACTTCGCACGCGCTCGCCGGCGTGGTCGTTGGTGAAAATGACATAGGCGCTTCGCTCGCTGATGTCTAAGATGTGCTCACTCCCAGAAGTAGAGTCTCGTCTTATTCCCAGTGGCTCACCGACTTTAGACTTTCTACTATATTGCGCGGCAGCGCAGCCTCCATCGGCGGACCAGCAATCACCACATCACCCCAGCTACAAAACACGTCGCCAGGAATCTCCTCAGAGCAACGGATTACCATCACATCGCTCTAATAACTGAATACCTGACCAAGAATTGCCTCAAGGCGACAAATAATAATGTGCCTAGCCGCCGGTGGCCACCGGTACCGTTGATATACATTTCTTGACACTAGTAGATTCTTTCAGAGCTGCTAGCTACTCAGAAGTGTCCGCGTCGTCGCCGCCCTGGCCGCAGGCACCAAAGGCTGGGGAAAAAAAAAGGTGCAACACCATTTCCAGCCTATACAGATCCTAGAGGGGACTGTCTAGGGTTCTATAAAATACTGCAGGTTGAAACCCGCGCCAGATACCCATAATCCTGTGAAAAATCGGTCTACCCTGTGGCCTTCCTCTCTAAGGTTGCGTGACATTGTAATCATTCGAGCCCCGCACCAGGCCCGCTATATCTTGGTGGTTCGCGATACCTCTACTCCTGACCAAGAAACTTTGTCCTCAGCCGAGCTCGGGCGCCACTTCAGCCTCTGAACCTCGGATACTAGCCATTTCGATGCAACAGACCACACTTCGGCGTCAGACCACCACTCGTCAGCACAGCAGGTATTCGGCTCCGTAGATATATTCGGCTCCGTAGAAATATTTAGCTCCATAGAAATATTCGCCTCCGCAAGTATAAAAGAATACCAAATCGACGAGAAAACCTCCTCCCGCGCGAGTATCAAACGTCTTACCTCTTTACTTTCACGTGGTGTACACTTGTTTGTGCATCGTCATCAATCCTAACTGCTGGCACCTTCTCCAATTCCCGTGGTCAATATCGCAACAATGGGCATCCTCAACTCCAGCAGATGGTTGGACGAAAAGACGGCCAACATGGCCCGTTCGTCGTGGCTCTCTCCGATTGCTATTCAGTACTATAGCGCCTTCTGCGGCATTATTTGCTCTATCATGTTCATGCTGGCGTTTGTCGCAGCGGACTTCATTTCTCCTATCAAGCCATGGTGGGATGCCGAGCAAACGGCGCATCACTATCAGGCACACACAACCCGAGTGCGTGCCGGTGCTGCGATTCTCGTCGTTTCCGGCATGTTCTACCTGCCCTTCTCAGCCGTCATCTCAAACCAGATGCGCCGCATCCCGAACCTGCACTACATGGTGCATCAGCTGCAACTAGCATCCGCGGCTGCGGGTGTCTGGACCTTCATCTTGCCGGGAATTATTCTGGCCGCGACGTCCTATCGTCCTTACCGCCCTGTCGAGATCACTCAATCGATGAACGACTTTTTCTGGATCTGTGCGTTTATGCCGTGGCCAACCTTCATCGCGCAGAACTTTGCCTTCTCCTATGCCATTATCGTTGACCCGCGCAAGAGGCCTTTATTCCCTAAGGAGCTCGCCATTGTTAATATCGTTGTGCCTATCCTATTTACCCCAGCGATCGGCATCCACTGCACCTACACCGGTTCCGTGGCCTACAATGGCGCCATGACCTTCTGGGTTCCCGGAGTTACCTTTTGTCTGCAGCTCGTCATCGACGCGTGGTACTTGTTTCTGTCAATTCGCGATGAGTCAAGGACCGCCCAGGAGGATGCTGAGTCTCCAGCAAAACTTTCAAAGGACTTGGAAAGTGGTAACTCCAACAACGAGCCGGTGGCTGCCCCTGCCCCTGCCGACACTGCATGAAAGATGACAGAATGAGAGGGAGGATTTCATGGACTGAGATGTGCGATTAGTTAATACGGGGTATCTTCGGGGAAACGGAGGAACTGTCTGATTGAGGGAGCACTGTCTTTATAGTTAATCATGCAGTTAAACACGCGGTTCCTTTCACGGCTATTTCGATCCTCCCTAGAAAGGAGCTTGAGTTTCTGAAACTGTGAAGCTGTATGGGGTCCTATTTTCGTAACCCCAGACTTAAGCCCCTTCGCTAGAAGTCGATAATTTCTGTGAGGTGTGTCTGAGACTGCGCTGCGGCGGGTGAGCAGGGTGAGCAGACCTGGGCAGAAGCTGAGCCAGGCCTGAGCCGATACTAGCCACAGCGTCGCAGGCCAACGTGAGAAGAGAGGCTAGGCAGCGTGCAGATTGGGGTGTGGAAACAAGTAGATAAGGTTTTAAGCTGGTAGGAATTGAGGATCAAGATAAGCTAATAGAGGTTGACAATAATAAGTATGACGCGTGGATGGCGATAAGAGGAAGAGGATGATCCAAATCACGAGCTGTACGAATCAGGGGTGATGGAGAGTGAAGAAAAGTCAACACCATGCATGCGATAGTTGATATCGAGATTCACGAAGATACAGCTTCAAAAAATGCAGATAATGCTTGAAAATGACGTTTCCTGGTGAATATGTATGGTGGCGGTATTCTCCGTGGCTTTTGATGTTCCTCGCACGGGCCCCATTTCAATTGCCCCCCACGCCTCTAGGCCCCTCAAGTACTCACGTGGGGCGGGAAAGAAGTGGCACACCAAAAAAGTCGTTGTTTTCCATAAGTGATTTGACCAACTTCTAAAACTTCTTAATACGAGAAATGCAAAATGACAATTTCGAAGCATTTTGGGATATAACACTATATAGATATAATTTCTAACTAGTCGTGGCTGCTAAGTAAATCGGTGAAGTGGATGCTTCTTTTGGTGATGTGGTGTGCCATTTTTTTCCCGCCCCTACCTTGCCACGTTGCTTCCAGGTGACGGCCCTTGGGCCACAATACGGTCGACATTAGATTAGTCATCAAGAGGTCCGTGCGTGAGAGGAACTTCAACTCCGCACACCAACAATACAAGCCTCCTTATACACCTATTTTGAGCTCTGCCTTGTGCCATGCGAAGGCCCTCACAGGTCAACTTTCGCCAGACCGACCTGCAACCAACTCATTTCACGTGCAAACTCCCAACCTTTTACTGGCCTCCTCTCTGAGCTGCTCTCAGCTGCAGAGGCGCATTGACGTATATGAGTACATGAATACAGAAGATGAAGTCATTTTCTAGATATATCAAGTTGACGTTCGGGAATCGAGCGGCGCGATCTTGACACTTGCGGGGAATAGCGGGGGTTTCTCAGAGTAGGTAACCAGTCATTTTATTCGCTAAGCCTCGAGCCTGATCCTTATTATAGGTATGCGGAGTGACAAAAGGAAATATCTTTTGGAGTATCGAGGTTTCTCTGTTATGCTGAGGTTCAGCCTTGTACCTATTTGCCATTATTCTATCCAAATTTCCATAGAACGAACCCTAGCAGCTAAGCGCTAAGAGAAGGCTAGGATGCCACCAGGAGAGAAGCAACCAAGTAGCCCTTATGGGCGATATATACAGCAAGGCACAGTGCGTGTTGATCTGATTGGGTGAAGCTGCTAGATTTCCGGTCCTTCCTCCCCTTTTTCAATGGTTTTCGTACGTCGACGAGGCTGCTCAATGTGTCGATGGGGGCGAACGAACCGAAAGAGTGACGCAACTCGCGCACAGGATCTATCTATCAAGTAATCGTTGTTGCTCTTCATCCGCGTAGCACCGCATCCATGCACTTGCACCATCTGAGACGCTGTTCCTAGAAAATTTCGAAGCTTTCGCAGATATCCCTTGGTTCAAACGGTTGTGGGTTATACAGGAGATTGCCTTGGCTAGAGAGAGAATCATGTTTTGTGGTGATCATGCGCTCGATGTCGAAACAGTCCATACGGCCCTCCGCGTGCTGTTGTCCATGGAGAATGGCTCCGGTCCTTCTACCGTGATTCTCTAGGAGCTACTACACCAGTTCGGTACATATTTATTCGCAGCAGGGACTAGCGGGCTTCCTTGGTCAAAATAAGCCACACTCTTCATGGATCGGGCGCGTCGACTCCTAGCTTTTGACCCCAGGGATAAAGTCTTCGCGATACTCACTCTGCTAAAATACATGGATATCAGCTTGCCACCACCGGATTACTCGAAGTCCGTGTCAGACATATACATCGAGACCGCGGTGGCATTCCTAGGATGCAACGGGAACATGGAAATAGGCAATATGACAGGTTTGCCCTCCTGGGTCCCGGATCTCTCAGCACGCGAACACCCTAAGCTGCCTTGGTTCGGGGAGGGCTCATCGGTCTCGGTACCAGCCTTCCAGTTTCTAAATCATAATCGCGTATTACAATTGAAAGGAGTTGCGGTTGGTACAGTAGCGTCAGTATCAGGCCCCAGCATTTTGTTTGAACCCCAGGATCTCTGCCACCCACAAGAGCATACCGAATGGATGCAAAAGGAGGGCAGCTCGACGATGGTGTTTCAAGACCTGCTCAAAGCTAGTCCAGCGCACGCACAACTCATATATGACGTCCGTCACTGCGGCGTCTTGCGAAACCTCGTGGCCTTTGCTACAACGTACGCAACAAGCCGAGAGACTGCGCGACCTACATGCTTGCCTCCGCAGCAACCTCGACACAAGACTAGACTACTTGCGGATTCGCTTTGGCATAAGTGGCTCCTAATCATTACCTCTAATTCGCAACCTCCTAAAGTCGTCGGAGAGGAAACCAAACTAAGCGGCCGTTGGTCCATCACGACAATACAAGATACTCCGTCAATGCTACCACTCGTGGACATGCCCGAGCTTATGGCTCTGTGGATGGCTACCCAAGACGCAGATATCTTAGAGTACCACGAGAACATCCGGAAGATACGCATGTTCAAGACGCTCTTCAGAACTGCTGCAGGTCGACTGGGCATTGCACCACGCTCAGTTCGGACCGGAGATATGATCGTGTCAATTGCGGGCTCGACACTGCCAATGCTTCTTCGAAGCGATGGGGAAAACTGTCGTCTGATTTGTCCCGCATTCGTGAATGGCATGGAGGGAGAGAAATGGCCAGCGGATGCTGATGCACAGCTTCAATGGTTCATGCTTGTATAACAAGAATTGCGACGCTCGAACGAGACCCTGCACATACAAATCTTGATGAAACACACCCAGAAAGAAGTCTAGTTTGTTTCAATGATCACAGAGGTTTCTTTTAATCTGATGTTTACAGCACAGAGTCCTCCTAAAGATCCCAAAAAGGTGAGCCAGCCCGCTCTACCTGCAGGATATCGCAAACCAGTAGCTCCATATGCTTCAGTGAGGCCACAAGAAATAGCCAGACCGTCTATGCAGTCCGACTTACTTACCATCCGAGAACGCCATATTTAGGTATTGGTACACCTCCCAATCGCCTGAAGCATCTTCAATGCAAGCTTGCAAACTCATGTTCACCATCCGCCCGGTGATGCTCGGCCCCTTCCCCTGCCACGTCCGAATCCACCACGAAGCGGGGTGCCGTCCGAAGATGAGTTTCCTTGATCGCTTCCGCTAGGGAGGGGGGACCGTCTGCCGCGGCCAAATCCGCCACGAAAATCAGGCTTCATGCCTTCGTCCTGGAGGGAGTTGTTGCCGCCGCGACCACGGCCGTATCGACCACGCGACTGCTCGCCATTCCCACGACCACGACCACGACCATATCCATTGCCATACTCGCCGCGGCCGCGATCGCTCCAGCCACCTCTTCCGCTATTGCCGTGTCCTGCAATGCCGCCGCGATTGCTAGAGAGGTTGGACACAGTTTTCTGTACGCTATCGGGCCTTGTTCCATGATCAACGGACACAGGCTCACCGCCATCATCGCCCTCTTCCGCCGAGCTCCAGCCTTCTTGATCTTCCTGAGCTTTTTCCACCGCTGCTATCTGCGCATCGACAACACGCTGCACCTTGTCCTGATCGCGCTGTTCTGCAATAGCCTTTCCCCTCAGGCTCGCCTCTTTGACTGCGATGGCGATCATGCATTGCAGCGTATAGCGAGCGTCGTTGCCTGCGTTGTGCAGGTTCCAGCCGGCGATGTCGAATTCATACAGAATCGTACCAAGGGAGCGTGCGTTGATCTCGCGCTTCCACGCACGATACATATCGGCGGTGTCGAGAATTTCAAGCATATTCGGAAGACTGAGCGGGTTGAAGCCTAGCTTTTGCAAGTATCTGACATCGTTGCCAGCGTCGTGGCCGAGAAAGACGATGTTGCGCTTGTGTGCTGCTTCATCCATGGAGGAAGCAGCTGGGTGGTCGCTTGGGGCCGAGTATGGCGGTCGGAAGCACGACTCAATGATTTGATGTGCGTTAAATAGGCTGATGTGCTCAGAGTCGCCGAACTCGAAGGCGTTGGAGCAGCCAGTGACGAACTCGGTATTGTGGAGGTGGCTGTACTCGCGGATGATGAAATGGCGATTGCGCATCTTAGATAGCCAGTTCTCGCCGTTGATGCCTGGAGCGATTCCCTCAAGGTCTAGGGTATCTAGAGTTGATATACCAACTTCGGTGATCTTACTGTTGTCTCGCTCCCAGGCTTCGACATCCACGCAGATGAAGATTACTGATGCATCGCGAGGCCAAGGACACAGCAGCTCTAGGTCGTGAGCAGGAACGGCCAATGCCGCTTGACGAGCAGCCTGTGCTTTTTGAAGCTCTTCCCAAGAAAGACTTGAGTCTTTCAATGGATCTTGCACTATTTTATATTTAGCTCATACTGTTGGTACCACTTTGGGGACCTAACGTACTATCCGGACGCTTTGGGCGGAGGCCTAGATACCGCTGGGCTCTCTTGAGCTGCTTGGCCATGTTCTGCTGTGACATTTGCCTCGTCTTCTTCTGCTTTTCCCTCTTGGCCTTGTTCTTTCCCCTGGACAGCTCGACCATTTCTTCAATCATCTCTTTGAACGCTTCCAAGGTGCGTTCGTCTGGAGGAGGCGCATGGCCTTCTCCCGGAGCCCGGTGCTTATGGCCAGGTGGAGCAGCTGCCATCTTATCAAACTCCGCTTTGGAGCTTATACGGCCAAGGTAGCGGGGAGTGAGTCGTGGGTGATCAGGGAATCTAGCAGCTAGGCCTTGCTCACGATCGGAGTCGGTAATTTTGGCGCCGATACGTGGGAATAGACGGTTTATATGGTTGAGGAGGGCTTGAACCTGGTCTTCTGTGACGAGTACGAGAGGCTTAGAACCGTCGACTGGCCAGACGTAGTATCTGTGAAATAAGCGGTCAGTATTTGCTAGTGCATGCTAGAAGCTAAGCAATGAATGGTGGATGAGGGACGTAGTTGGATGATTCTAGAAGACAATGAAGCTTGGGAGATAGATAGTGGCATGCAGAGCAGATTGTTGCGCGGCACAACAGCTTTGATGTTTTTTAAGACCGCAGAGGGACCAGAGCGGTGATAGCAAAGGGCAAGTAACTTACAGGTCCCATCCACGTTCCCAGAACTTGCCCTCGTCAAAGATCGCAGAAGCAACTCTCTGAGTTTCCCGCTTCTCCACAAAGAGGTAAGGGTACTTGCTGACAGCAAGAATCGGGCTATAGGCCTGACTTGGAGACGCGAGGGCGCCGCTGTCGAGGGTGCAACGCGGCAAGCTGGTTCTTGGCTCTTTGGGGGTGCCTTCTGTCTTTGTATTGTCCTTGGCTACGAGGGTGCCAGCCGGATTGGGCTGGTCGGTGTCGGGGAGTGCTTGTGCGGGCTCAGGCTCGTTTTCGAGATGCTGAGGTGGACGGGCGCGCTCTCGAGGAGACGCAATCCTCGTGGCTGCGACCGCGTGACTGGCGTCGCCGGTGATGCTGGGCACCTCCAGGTCACTCGGAGGTTCCGCTGCTTGCTCAGCGGTCAATTGCACACCGCCATCTGAGTCGTCGTCGCTCAGGCTTGCTGCGGGCAAGTCGGGGAGGGCTTCCATGTGTACGTCCATCAGCTTCAGCCGGTCCATTCGAGATGGGAGAGTCATGGTGGAGGGTAGTGGAGTAAGTCTAGTAGAAGCCAAGCGTGTGGCTCGGCTGAGGTTGTTTGCTCGCGAAGAGCACGTGAGTTGTTTCGGAAGCAGCGCCGCGTCCGGGAAGACGCATGGAAGAGTGCTTGAAGAGGTGAAGGACTTGAAACGAGGCTGTCGAGAAACAGGTGGGCGGCTGAGACAGCTGCAGAGCGGGCAGGAACGTCTCTCACGCCTGCTGCCTCTGGCAACACCTTGGGGTAAAGCGGAGTGAATAGAATATCTTGACGACCCTTCACCAACGGAAAACGAGTGCACACCCGCTGAAGCCACAACACTCAGGCTCTCAATTCTCTACTGACGTGCTGCAGGGCCTAGACGCGTAACATGTTACCAACTAAGAGGACCTAAACGGATTCAGAGGAGCAGTGCCTGAAGCACTCCCGACTCTTCACTCACTGCTCTACCTCGCTCTCGCTCACATGACATCGTGTACAAGTGCGTCTAGCCAGCCCCGTGGTGTTGCTGCTCACGCTCAAGCGCCTGTGGTGACGTGACGGTCAACAACACACTCAGTGAATGCTCCAGATGCTCCAGCGCCAAGCCCCCCGCGCCGAAGAACAGCCGCCAGGCCGTGTAAATCGCGGAACCACGACCGTCGCTCCCTTGCTGCACCGTACCAGCAAACGCCCGCGCGCCCTCTACTCCGCCTCCACCACCCTCATCTCTCCCATCGCCGCCCCCATTCTTCTCCCATCCAACGTCGACGCGTGGCTGGCTTGTCTGACGCGCCCGTCCGGCAACGCTGCTCCACGCCGCAGAACAGCATGCCCGATGGCTGAAGCGCCCATGGCGACCGCCCTCTCCGACATGACGCCCCAGCCGCCCTCGAATCCGGACGCGCACACCACCGTGAACGACTTCCTCGACTACACCGAGTTCTTCCCCTCGGACCTGTATCGCTCCATGATCCTGATCAAGGACCTCGACGTGAAGTACAAACAGGCCGCCCAGCACGTCCACGAGCTGACCAAGAGCTACGCCAACCTGCCCAAGGCCCCCGAGAACGAGCGCGCTGATCCGCAGGAGCTGCGCCGGGAGATATCAGTCGCCCTCGAGAATGCCATATTCTTCAGGGAATCATCTCACGCCGAGGCCGTGCGCATCTGCGAAGTGGCAGAGCGCCACGCGCATCGGATCGCCATCATCAAGCGCAAGCTCCAGGCACTGCCGCAGCCACCTTCGCGAGACCCTACTCCTGCGCCCGTGTCCCCGCAAGCAACGCGCTCCGCAAACAAGTACAATACCACACCGCGCCTGCATTTGAACTTCGATCCTGTCCGACAACCCCAGACAACCATTCCGAGACCTCGCGACCGGAGTAGGAAGAACACAATAACACTGGGTCCTTTGGACTCGCCTACACCTAGTGACGTCTCGGAATGGGGCAGTTCTCGACCTGGCTCCTCTTCTGGGTCCGCTATCGAGGTAACAAACCAGAAAGGCATCAAGGTCCCCAAAAAGGGCAGCAGCAAAGTGCCCAAGCCGCCCCGTGTGCGCCCTCCTGGCGCTATGGGTACGAATGTGCACAGCCAACTTGCGGGCATCTCGACAAGCAATGCGCTCGCGAGGCTATCTCCTCCTCCAGAGGATGCTAAACCTGGCAGCCGTTATCGACCCTGGTTTAAGCTCACCGAATACGAAATGGCATTACTGAGGAAACAAATGAAGAAGAATGCTATTTGGAGCCCTAGCGATACGATGATCCGCCGCGAGTTGCAGAAGAAAGACCGAGGTCTCGAAGCCTACGAGGCCGCGAAGAAAGAGGCCGAGGAAACGGGAGTGCCCCTACTTGACGAAGAAAGTGCTGATCGGTCAAGCAACCAAGGAGGGCCTCTGGCACCCGGCGAAATATCACATGATACATGGGGTGCACAGGACTCGCAGCTTGTAAACCGTGGAATGAAGCTGAACGAGGCCAAGAGACTCAAGAGAGAGAGCCTCTTGCGCGAGCAGGCCCTCAGAGACGCCATGGAGATCGAAGATGCGAGTCGTCAAATCATGGTCGCTGGGACTAGGATGAAGAATCTATTCCCTGGACAAGGTGAAAACGTTACTGTTACTCCGTTGACAGAGAAGAAAAAGGAACCAGCGAGGTCGGCAAGAAAGCGCAAAAGGGACTCGACACCACCAGTTTCGCCCGTGATTCGCCCTCGTGAAGAGTCAATGGCATCACAGGATAGCGCTCCCGTGACTACCGGGCCTAAGCGCCTTCGAATTGCGCCGCCAGTGCCTCCCGTACTTGCCCCTGCTCCCAAAACTCCTCAAACCCCTGTAGCAGTACCTTCACCTACTATTACAACAACCACTGTCCAGGTCCCATTGGCGCCCGCGGGTCCACCAGCGCCCTCCGTCGGTTCCAAGGCTACCTCAAAACCCCCAAGCCGGAAGCCGACCCCCGCTCTTCCGTCGCCGACGGAGAGCAAGAAACCGGCTACCGCGCCTGCGCCTGCGCCTGCGCCTCCGCCTCCGCCTCCACCTCCACCTCAACCACAGCCAACAGCAGCAGCATCTCGACCTCGCCGCGCTTCTGTTGCACCAAAACAAGCGAGCTCGCCTGCACCAGAGCCAGCTGCTAGTAGTGCGATTGCACATCGTCCTCGCTCCTCTCGTGGCGTCATCACGCCGAAGGCTGCGAGTGCGGAACCGCCAGCTGCTTCGACAAGCAAAACCCGCGACCTGCGGCGAGCAAGCAATGTCAGCCTTCCCGCTGCGCCTCAGGTTGCGAACGTCCTCGCTACAAGGACCAGTAATCGCCGAAGGCGGCTTCCCCCGCTTGGCGCTGTTACAGCAGGCGAGGACGGGCAGGCCGGGGTTCAGATCAGCGTTCTGGAGCGACAGACAGGGTCCAAGAACAAGAAGAGATCTACGGCTGGAAACGTAGCAGATGAACCAGATCAGCCGATTCGTCCAGGAGAGCCGACTTACTGCATATGCAGAGATGTTAGCTATGGGACAATGGTAGCATGCGAAAATGATAATGTAAGTGCTGCTAGAAATCTCATCCGTGTTGTTGTGATAAGCTGCTAATATTTGCGTCAGTGCCGAACCGAGTGGTTTCACATTGAATGTATGGGCATGAAAAGGGCACCTGCTCAGTCGGCTATATGGTATTGTCCAGATTGCCGCGTGCTGCTAAATAAGGAAGAATTTGGCAAGCCAATTTCTGCGCCTGCTGCAAGTGTGAAGCGCAGCGGCAGGTAGGTGTTCGTTTCATCCCGTATTGGGAGACTGCTGAGTGTAACAATATGGGAAGGGGCCGGAGTTATTGAATTTTGATCGATCGGGTCGATCACGATGTCCAGGACGACTGTGCGGCACCTGGGATGGAGCACGGGGACTTGACATATGATTGAACATGCTTATTCGGCGTTTTGGCCTTTCCTGGGTTCTGGAAGATGTTGTCGTCTCGATTTGCGGACTCTGGAGAGCGAGGCTCCGTATGATGTAGCGCTGTAGCACCAGCAGAATGAAGTCTTCCAACAAAGTATCGTCGCTCGCTAGTAATCGTCGTCGCTTCTGCTGTTTTGAAACGATGAGTACACCCTCACCGGCCATCATCAATATGGAAGCGCCCAGCCCAATTCATCCGTATTCAGACAGAACTGCTTGGATGTCTCAGCCCTTGTTAAAACAAGCTTTCCTTCGTTACAGCCAACCCAAAGGGACTAGCAGCGGCCAGGTTCAGTCTCTCCCGCTTCAGGAGAAAGTAGGCGAACTCGAGCCGCCAGACCCCAGTTCAGCGGGGCTGTGTCCAGAGAACTCCCGTCGACACCTCCGCAACGCACTTTTCTGTCGCAAACCTCCCCTCCCCTCTAACATGTCCTGAGTGCTCTTCTTCTATATCTGTGTCTGTGGTTTTGAACACTCCTCTTTCCCTGCCCCTAACCCCCTTCGTCTGATCATCTGTCGCTTCGCTCAGCCTCGTCGCAATATGGCCATTGTTATTTTTGCTATGGGCTCGAAGGACGCCTATTTCTTCAATGCTCCTACACATTGGGCGCGGTAGGCTATCTTTGTCTCCTTTTCGATACCATAGGGAGCATGAAAGACGTTGAACGTTGCTTATTAAAGCGATACAGGAAGAATCTACCTCCAGACGTTGAGTCTCTTTTTACGAAGCAGCCGGAGATTAAGGAGGTCTTCGAGCTGGCCTTGGGCGAGAACGGCGCATACTTTGTCTCATTTCGCGATGCCGATGGACTGATATATTGCCGTAAGAGCTCTTACGTTCATTCTTTCCTGTAGTCTTGGCACTCAGTGGTTCCCGAGGTTGACCTTTCAAACTTCACCTTTCACTTCTTCGAACTCCACTCGATATTGAGCACATATCTAATATCTGTTCTGCAAGGCCACTTCAATCTCCCAGATCCACTCACATCTTGGCTTTATAACTCCCAGCCACAAATCGTTCGCGATCTTACCAAATTGTACATCACTCTCGGACAATATGGGTCCTACTACGCAGCAGATCATTCCAGCTCCTCGTGGGCAAACCTTCCACCTACCCTGGAGAAAGCGCTCGAGAAACGGCGGACGGAACATAGCCCCTGGAAGCCCGGCGAGGAGCCTACCTTTGTGAGCCTGGGGGCCGAAGAGAGGTACTTTATGCGCACTGCTAACGGGGGCGGCGGGTGGGAATTGAAAGGCAAAGCCGAAGGGATCAACAAGTACCTGATGGATGCTCCGAATTTCTCGGATATTGCGGTAAGAAGCACTCGTTACTACACTTTGCAAGCCCGGGTTCTATCCTTTGTACTCAGATACTAATACTATCCAGGGTCTATGGCTTTTCCCATCCCATCCGGACTGCTACATCATGACAACCATGGAAGGAAAGGCTTTCTCAAATCTGCCTGAGCATACCTGGCAAGACTATACTAAGATGGCCCATTCTATCCCGAACTTACGTCCAAAACCGCAAATGCAGCCAATACCTATGGCGGTACCGCAGCAAATGTCTCCGCAACCCGTCCTCTACGCCCAGCCTCAGCAATTTTCACCCCAGCCGATGTCACCGCCTCCAGGCTACGCGCACCCGTTTCAACCTCAACCTCAAGCAGGAATCCCGCAAACCATGATGCCACAAGCCACTGGTGTTGTCTACGCTCAGCAGCCACCGCAATCTCAACCCCTAATGCCGCAACCCACAGGCGTCGTATACGGCCAACCTCACCAGCGTGCGGTATCGACCCCCCAAACACCCCTAACTCCGCTCACGCCCATGACGCCACCTCCTCAATATCCAGCCACTCCCGTCCAGCAACAGGGGCAGTTCTTCCCACCTCAACAACAGCAATTCGTCCAACCACAGCAGCAGTTCGCCCAGCCACAGCAGCCTCATCAAGCCTTCGCCCAACCACTTCAGCAACAGCTACAGCAACAGCAACAACCTCAACAACCGTTCGTCCAGCCCCATTTCCAGTCCCAAGCTCCTGTCCAAGCCCCTGTCCAAGCCCCCGTCCAAGCCCCCGTCCAAGCCCAACCCGCATCCAACTCACGAGTCCCACAGGCTCTACTGGGCGCCGCAGCCGTCACCGCGGTAGGCGGTGTCGTGCTGGGAAAGTTTCTCGGCAAAGGCGGAAAAGGCCATGGTGGTGGGCATGGTGGAGGTCACGGCGGTGGACATGGCGGAGGCCACCACGGCGGTGGAGAGGAGCAGTACGCGGGTGACCCAAGCCAGCAAGGGGGTGATCCGTCGCAGTATCTTGATCCGTCGCAGTATCTTGATCCGTCGCAGTATGGCGATCCGTCACAGTATGTCGACCCGTCACAGTATAGCAACCTGGGGTTTGTGGATCCATCACAGTATGTGGATCTGGGACAGCAGAATGCGGGTGTTTTTGACCAGCCCGTGGTGGTGGACGATTCGGGGTTTGGTTTTGATTGTCAGGACTCGGGTTTGTTCTAGGGGGGGTGCGATGTTCACGAAGTGCGGCTGGGAGGTGGATTAGGGATTCGGGATGGTGCTGGGTTGGATTTGGGCATTGTGTGGAGTGGGTTTGGGGTAGTGATAGTCGTTGGGGACGGTTAGGGGGATGGGAAGATAAGGTGGTTCATGAATAGGAGGCGGCTATGTGAAGGAGCTCTTGATGCATCACGATACCATTTCATATTGGTCATACTGGCATTTTCTGCGTCTAGCATCATATCTCTCCGAGCTTTCGGTAGCTTTAATAGCGGATTGAGTAATCTCATAGAACTCGTATGAGCACGAGGAATTAAACAAAAGTATGTTGATATGCGTGAGCTGTACGGGCGACATGATGGAGCTATTATAGAAACCCCAGTGATGTAGGCCTCCTCCAATTGGCTCATCCCATCATGCGCCTCAGCCCTTCCCAGCCTTGCACCTCCATCATCCTACTTCTTCCACCTCTCTTCATCATGCATCATCTCTAGTTCCGCAAAACTTGAATTTAGTGGTTTCCAATCGCTAATATGCTGCTCTGGATCATTACGCCTATGCCATGGAAATCGCCGGTCTCGCTCTCGGCGTCGCTAGCCTTGCAGGCCTCTTCTCCGCCTGCACGAACGGCTTCGCGCTCATCCGCCGTGGACAGGCGCTGGGCAAGGACTTCCGCATTCTAGAAACCAAGTTCAGTAACCAGAAATTAAGATTAAGAGCTTGGGGACGGGCGTGTGGGTTTGCTGATGACGAGGCTGAGAAGGGCGAAGGAGACAGTGTTGAGGCGGAGAAGACGTACGATGAACGTCTTAACGCCCCCGAGCTGAAAGCGAATCTCGAAGAGACGCTGGAGTGTATCACGATGCTGTTGTGCGATGGGGTTGAGTTGAGAGAGCGGTATGGGCTGACGCCTTGCTCCGTCGATGGGGCCTCGCCAGCCTCTAGTCGATCGGACGTGGTGGAGAAACGGAGGAGCTTTAACAGGTTGGGTTTTTGACGCGGTCCGAAGGCCGAGAAAGAGAAGGGCAATTCGCTGCGTGATTCAGCGACGTGGGCGATCGGGGATAGGTCTAAGTTTGCCGAAATGGTGTCGCATCTCAAAGACTTTATCGATGATCTGGAGAATTTGACGAAATATACGGACGTCCCAAAACGTCAGATGGACTTCATAGGGTATGAGGTTGAGTGTATAACGGATATGGAGACTTTAGAAGAGGTGGACATGGCAAGAGAAGGGGAAGAGGATGCAGTGTCTGATGCCGCGAGCGCAAGGCTTGACGTCCTTTCACAAGCGGCATCTAGTGTGCGTGCATCGTTCGAGACGAGAAGTTTGAGGACCGTTGATATGAGAATCTTGACATCCTTTGAAACGAGAAGTCTGAGGTCCTTTGGAATGAGAAGCCTGAGGTCAATCATCACGCTAGAGTCGTATGTAACGGCGCGAAGTCGATTCTCTATTAATAGCGCTATGGCTGCGAGGGAAGACGTCGGGTTTAGTCATACCACAGTCCGATCAGCGTTGGAGACTGCCACAAAGACCGAAGTGACAGCAGGCACTGGTAATTTCAAACCTTGGCTTCAGATTCCAGAGACATCCGAAGAGTCAATGCCACTGTTCAAGTATGTGGCCCAGAGAATTCATTCCAGAATGCTTGATATTTACTAACTTGCTCAGGCTGGTAGTCACAGGACCTCCAGGACCCATTGCCTCACGGAAAACCGACCTGTTGACAACATTCATGGAGGGCTCTCTTCCCAAAGTTCATGTACTGACAGTCTTTGAGAACCATGTAATGGGATGCCGATAAGTCTATGATTTTAGCCCACGGTGTGTCCAAGCTGTGTTGGTTTAGCGGTAATGAAGACGAAAACTGATATTGGCGGAACGTAGGATTGATGGCCATGAGATGTTAATGTTGCTTATGGACACGGCAGGACAGGAAGACTACGACACTCTTCTTCCGATGTTCTACTCAGGTGCCGATATCGTCATAATTTGCTATCCCTACAACTCCACAGCCGGAAGGGAAGAGGTCTATAGTAGATGGGTGCCTGAGGCCAAAAAAAAGGGGATACCATTCATGCTTGTGGGAATAGAAAACAATGGAGACCGTGGTGAGGGATATGATGCAATGAAGCTCCGCATTTCATTCAGCGCGTTGGGGTCGACCCTCGCTAAAAGAGTCGGCGCGCAATCCTACGTCCAATGTGACCTGCAGCAAATAAAGGAGGTCAACAAGCTCTTTGAGAATGTGATTATGCTACAAACTACACACCCAGCAGGGTCTTTGCTAATTAGTTTCCTTGAGGTAGACATGCAGATACATGTTAGATTCGCATGTAAACCGTACGAGAGATAGGACTTTAGGATTTCCGTGGCGACGGAAGCTTGCCCCCATTGAGCAACTTAAGACTTCGAATTAAACATGGTGACAGTTAATTGATCCCGTTGAGGAAGTCAAGACTTCGGAAACTCAGGTTGTGTGAATCTGGACAAAAAGATATCCCCATCCGAGAATCCCAGAAAAAATATAAAAGGAATGCCCATTCCGCGATTCGATCCCAGGAGCAAAAACACCACCCTCCCGAGGGAGAGTGTAGCCACCATATTGTGGTTTTCTTGGGATAAACCAACTGAACCATCAGCGAACTGACGATGGTATTGCTGCAATAGCAAAGTCCGATTCAGAATTTGACTGGTTTATTGAAATGTGCCAAGGAATAAGAGGTATTTATACTTGGGTTGGGGATTGGGACGTTGCATAAATTATGCCAGGGATATTTTTGCTGAGTGCGAGCGACAGAGCCATCTCCATCTCCTCACGACTTCACACTATTATGAAATTGAGTCAGGCTGTCGAGCTCTCCTCGTCGGAGGCATCTGGAGATGGAACGTCAAAGCTCGACCTATACCGTTTGTCTCAAAAAAATCTATTATTCTAGGTGGACAGTACCTCCAATCAGCTACCAGACCTAATTTTCACACTAACCATGCTACGGCTTAGTATGAGCTGCCTTCCTCTCAAAGGAGATGCACGATAATCGCCATAGCGCTTTGGTTAAGCTAGCACTCCCAAGCTCACCGAAAGAAGATGCAGTACTAGAAACTCTAGACACGACGGCCCTCAAGTCCATCCTCGACTACTTCCGATGTCGCTAACTCACTAGTCTTCTCCTTTGGTCAGCTAAGATCAATGAAAGCCGTCATGCGGACATCGAGCTTTTGTTCGGTCTTTAGTGCTTCTGGGCCAGCTCAGCGTCCTTCCACTCACGGAGGCGCACTCGGATCTCTGTGCCCTTCAAGATCAAAGTCGACTTGGTGATGAAGGTTTTTGGCCTCATCTGCCAAGAGCGGGATCCAATAGGTAGATGTTCTACCTCCTCCATCTCTAGCTCGACCAAATGGGGCAAAGCCAAAATCTTCTTCGCCAACAAAAGAATATCTCCGTCTATGAAGCAGCAGTCGTGGATCCGGAGATGGGCTAAGGTTTCCTGATGCGATTGTAGGAACTGAATCATCTCGACCATCAAGAACGACACTCCTCCTCCTCCCAAGGCAAAGTTCTTCAGGGAGCTGAACGTTCCAGCAGGAAGGTGCACAGAGTCACCAAACAGCGTGGAAGGACCCCATTCAAGTGCCAGTTTCTCGCAGGCTGCCCTCAGCGGATCGAACGAATTCGTCGCGGATCGCAGATCGACATAATTTCCGAGCTTATAGTGTACACGGCTGAGTTGTCGTGGATGCGGTCCAGCTAGCGCAGAGTCGCTGGATCTGAATTGGATATCCCTCGCTTTAATCTCGCCTCTGACAATATTGCTTCCTCCAAAGGCATGGGCAAAGTCCTCCATACCACCGAACCCAACGCTGACGCCCTTGAAGTCCATTTTGGAGATGGCATCGCAGAGCCGATTGAATATGTAGGCTTGACGTTGCACTCTAACAGCTACAGGACCTGCATGGCCGAGGTCTACTGCATACTGGTCGGAATACTTGCACCCTGTAAGCTCATAGAGCCGCTTGATCCCGCAGCCATTTGGCGTCGGCATACCCCACAAGCCGCCGTGTTTGCGAAGGATGGGACATGGGTCTTCCTCCAGATCCAATAACTTCAGATTAGGGAAGCGAGTGAGGTAGTTCGTTAGCAAAGGGATGCCGAAGTCTTGCTTCATAATTTCGAGCTGTTGGTCCCTCAATTTGAGATGGTTCTTCATCATCAGGGGGGTTCGCCGCCAAAGAAGGTCGGTTGTACCACCGGGATGCTCTAAGGGAATCGTCGCGGCGAGTTCAGATCCGATAATGACGCGCTCGACAATTTTGGCGTACTGAGGATGCGTGGAGATCTCGTTCATCATGACCAAACTCAAGGGATGTAGGGTGAATTTGATCGTGCGAAACTAGTTGCGACCAAAGGAGTGTTGGGCCTTGTCGCGCATCTCCTTGTTGACGAGGCGCAATGAAGAGATGTCGCGTACATCAGTGATGCGATCGCAGATGATGCTGAAGACTTCGTTTGGTAGATCGGAGAAGGTGGTGCCCGTTGGCTTTTTAGATGTGCCCAACTCCGCGCACTTCTTCTTCATAGGCTCAGTGTGTCGTCATCATCGTTTTTACGCTTGCGCTTTCTTGTTTGGTGATCAGCGATCAATTATACTCAGTCATGAATGAACTGGGAACTTACAGGCATGGTGCTTGCGTATTACTCCTAGAACGGCCGTGTGCGAGTTGATGGAGTGCAATGCCCATGGACACCATAGCTTGGGATAAGAGTAGAAACAGGGCTGGAGAGGGCTTTGGTGTTTGCAGATGGCAAGTGTGTTCTGGGTTTCGAGACGCGGTGAGTGGTTGTGATGGTGGGAATGTAACGTTGCAGAGTGGGGGTTGGGAGAAGCTTTTTGAAATGTGTGGGAAGTTTTGCAAATATTTTTGAAAGAAGCTGTGCGGCGTGAAAGTCGAATCGGCATTAAATGGTCTGTCGAGGTGAAATGCGACAATGCGGCTGAGATGACTCGAAAGCGCGAAGCAATATTCACCACAATCAGGGCGCCTCCTGGTAACGAAATTCAATATCTTGACCCTATTCTACTCACCCCACTATTCTTTTTATTTGGATAAGTTCACTCTAGAGAGAAGTCTTCCCTCCTGCCCGTGAAAATGAAAACGGAATGAGGCATCCACAGAAACGACATGACTATCGCGCTTCGATCGCAGAGAAAGTGGCGTGAAGCATAGCCCAACAGAATCAATGCCGCGCAACGTGTCCTATGGTATGATATCGAGGAAGCTACTAGGACGGCACTATTCGGGATCGATCGCAACATGTAACATACCGGCCTACTGCAAAGGCCTGAACTCCTCAAAAAGAGCAATACGCGTCTCTTCGAATCCGTCACTAGTAGGCAAGCAGCTGTTGAGCGGCAGCCACAAGAATCAAGAAAAGATGTGGGGCCCAAAACTGTATTGACGAGGGTGAGAAAGCTAGCTGTTGATCGGCAGAAGGAAAGATATACACAAGGTGCCAAATAAGCCTGCTAGATAGGAAGAGGCCAGCAGCGTCAAGAGCATAGGGAAAGGAAAAACGATACTTGGATGTGAGAGACGTCACGTGCTTGATCGAATCCCTCAAAGATTTTACGTTCTTGGGTCACCCTGAGCATGATTACATGAAGCTGACTTCAAAGATTCCCCGGAATGTACGGATTGCTACCTTCAAATTGCCATCTACCCCTTTAGTTGAAGTTGAAAATCCAAAAACAGATCCCGCATGGGCCGGTGTGGGGAGAGAGCTAATGAAGGAGATACCGACACATTAGATCCAGTTTACTAAACGCGAATGATGAGACTGAGCGGATTTTGCTCTTTTTAGCAGGTAAATCAGACCTGCGAATGCATGACAGCAAAGACAATCTGAGCGCGAATCGATGGACAGGTGTGAATGAACACCGGGAAAGCGGAGCCCCATCAGGATCGTGGAGTCGTGTGACACTCAGATAAATAATGAGCGTAGAGCCATACATAGATATGGGCAGTACGAGATGGCTGTTAGGGAGGCAAGAGATGAAGCTGAGATGAGGTTGGAACCGTCACGTGATGCATACTTCCCGCCGGTATTCGTCCGCGGAGTTTCTAATCAGACCTCACCTCACAGCCAGTTCTAAACATCACTGATACTCCGCTCTCCTTGAGACGGCAGGCTTGAGTATTCCTATGTTCGTTCCCGAGATGGAAGAAACGCTAATCGATGTCAACCTGACCAAAGTCGATGCGGATGATTGGCATAGCGTCACGGATGCTAAGAAAAGGAAGCAAATCCAAGACAGACTAGCCCAACGGGAAAGGCGTAAGTAGTCACCCTCATCTTCATATGTCACGAGAATAATATGCGTTTTGTTTCTTTCTTACCATGGTCTCGGGCCAGAACTCTCTCTTTCTGCTTGTTTGTCCCTGTCCTAGTGCATCATGGTTATATTCATTGTTAAGACCTTTGATGCTCAGATAGCGCCTGAAAAGTATCATGTAGGATTAGGAAAATGATGGTGCTGATCGGCTCTGCTTTTTATAGGCAAACGACTACGAGAAGCAAGAAAGAGTGCGGAGCAGATGCCTCCGCTCCCTCAAATACAGACAAGCAATAGCACGCAAGCTGACGGAATCTCCCATTCTTCATCGGAATCTGCCTTTCATCCTTTTACTCTTGACGCTTTCGAGCACGCGCCTTGTTTTAAGACGGTTGCGGAGCCGCTGCCGTCATTGGACTCGTCGCAAATTTCGTTATTGTACTCCCATTCCATCCAGCAGACCCCAAACCTGAGCTATGAGCTCCCTTATTCGCTCAATGTGTTCAGTGCGTTATTTATCAACGGCCAAATTCTTGGTCTACGATGTGGTACAATTGTTCCGTCTAAATCTCCACCTGCTTCGCCGGAAACACCTTTTCCCTTGCGCCCCACAGCAACCCAACTGTCCACTGTACATTTCAGTGGGATCGATCGATTCCCATTCGTCAAGATGCGAGACAACTTCATCCACATGAGCGGTTTTATCGACGAAGAGGAGCTAGCCGGCGATGTGTGTCTTATGCCCAGCTTTACTCTCGCACCAGGTGGAGTGTCCTGGGATCCTACAGCTTGGAGAATCGAGAAACCCTTCGCAGACAAATGGGGCTTCCTATTTGATTGATGTTCTCTCTTTAGAAGAGAATCAACTGTTGATGCTCTCTGGCACGGGCTAATAATTGGAGTATGGGGGACACACTAAGGGCGCACGTTTGAGATTTTCACCACTCCGAGATTACACAGCGACTTCTGAGGACATGGGAGTAATGGAGGAATGTTCAAGAATAGAGAGAATGTGACCTACCATACTCAGTAAGAAACTCAATCAGGAAGAAAGATTATTCAAAGGTCTAGCCCTTGTCAATTGTCATTGGCATTAGCTTACAAAGGATAGCTCCACCCATGGATCAACATTTCCCTATTTTCTAATTTCTGGTCGCATTTCGACCCCCTGTAAAAACATGTGCTCGTCTACAGTCTTTATTTTGTCACACGCTATTGAGAAAATGCAGGAATTCCCAGGGAAAAGCGTTGGGTTTAGCATTTCATCGTCGTGGACCGTTGTCTGGACCATCTACTCAAGCTATCTGACAGTCTTAGTGCTTTCCCGCCACATCCAATATCCAGTTAACCACTTCTTGCGGCTTACTAACTATTGGAACATGTCCAGCCTTCAAATATGTAACATCTACGTTCTTGCCGCTTTCCTTCTCAATCAACTCTATTTCCGCTTTTTGGGTCTGTGCTGGAATGCACAGATCCTCTTCACAAAGCAGATATGACACCGGGATGGTCTTGTATCCGGCATGTGTCAACTTGTTGGTAAAACTCACAGATGAGTGTGGAGGGAACTTCCTGATCCACATCTCGCCTTCCTCCTTGGGAATATCCTGAAAGCAGATGGCTGCAGCTTTCGAGACGTCGTTATGGTGCATCCAGCCCTGTTCCTGTATGATGTTAACGGCATGAATGAGCTGAGAGAGAGGGAACCTACGTCTATTCTGAAGTCCATCTTCTGATCCTGCGGTGCGTCCCCTAGTACACTCATCGCGGCAATTCCTACTGCCGGCACCAACGACGTCATATACGCAAGCCTAACAATTCCTCCGCTCTTGCCTTGTTCACGCCTCTCTTCTTTGCTAAGCCCCTTCGTGCTCTCGGTAGTCGGGACACCTCCGTATGAATGTGCGATGAGTATCACATCTTTTCCCTCATCTGCGAGTTTTTCGACCTCTTTTGCAATGAGGGCAGCATCGTCGTACATGGATGGTGGTACTCCTTCCCTAGCAATACCAGCCTTGAGGCCAACGCTGCGCATATGCAGACCGCGTATTGTATAACCTTTAGCTGTCACTGGATCCATTACCGAGTCATAGAACTCCGGAAGCCCAGACGCGCCGGGAATGAGTAGAATCGAGGGCTTGGCCATGTTGGCGAGTTGGAATAGTAGTTGGAAAGAAAACGCGTCTAAAGACAGGAAGAAAAGCTTGCTCAAATGTGGTGCCGGTTTGGCTAATGGGTTTTTGAATGAAAGGCCAAGGCGGAGCGATGAATATGGAACTACGCTCTGGAGGTGCGGCTTTCCATCTACTTATATATTTATTAGATCTTTCCTCGGCGGATGCATTGCCGTATGCCTGGGATCCCGAACATTTTCTGACCTTTCTGACGCTTGGGATAGGTTCCTGACAGTCAGAAAAGCGGGGACGCGATATGAGTCGGGATAGTATGGTGATGAATGCATTTACTCGAGTCAGTAGTCAGTCCTCTAAATGCAAAGATCGAGGAGCTAGCGAATTCTACTAAGGAGGAACTGGAGCGCCCAGAAAATCGGCTTGCTGGCCCGCTCTTTGTCCGAGCAAGAATGCCAACTAGTGGTGTCTCTATGATCGCATAGCCTCTTTGCCTAAGGAGGTGTTGCGGGCAGATATAGCCGCATTAGGAGCCTCTGCTATGAGACTTGATCTACATATTGTTTGCGATCACTAGAATTGCTTATTTAATGAAAGATTTTACGATCCAGCATTCCCTGTATTCCTTTTCAGTCTTACTTTTGTCTGATGCCCAGGAACATGTTCGCGTTCTATAAGGTTGCGCGCAAGCCTGCTGAATTCTCTCTTAAGTAGTAGAGCAAGGTAGGTGACTAAGTAATTCATTGAGAGCAAATCTGTCGCTTTTTCGACTTATGATCAACTTTTATATCCTCCAAGTTACTTCGTGCTAAATGTGATATGGTTCTACGGATTTACCATGCAAAGTATTATCATCGTTGCCGCCCGGCCTGCTGGGTGCTATTTTTGTCTCGAGCACGGCCACCAACAACTTCCCTTGCAACTCCACGAATCTCTCCTCTCTCCACCACCACCCATCCTCACTGACACGCAACCATCGGAAACGACGTAGTTCTTGAGCTATGGACTACGATGAAAATCTTTCAATGTTTTGCAAAGCTTGCCCGATATCTGTTACCTCGAAGAATGTCTGCATAATCATTATACCCTGTGCTATTCATCTCCGATAAAAGTTATCTAATTGCCCACCTCCGGGGCCCAGAACATTACCAGAAATATCACACTCGATTCTGCGCGATCTCTCTCTATTCTAGTTGTCAATGTTGAGGCTGGTATAGCTGATCAATGGTAAAGTGATAGGCAGCTGGGGAAATTCCAGACCGCACCATGTCTGCGATGGCGCGTGGAAGCCGGAAAATCTGTCGGAGAGCGATTTCATTGGTAGGAATGTCTCAAAAATGGACACCCCTCGAAATCTCACCTCAGCCACGTTACCTTCACATGTTTCAAACAGTTGGAACATTGAGTTGCGTCAACGCTAAATGGAGGCTCCAGGATCACTGCATACATTCATTTATGGACAGACCTATCATCATCGTCTGTTTATACCGACAGCCTGGTTTGCTCCACATGCCCTGGCCTGCATGTCTGCCTTATGCACTTGAGCTCCGCCACAGCATTTCCCGGCGATGAGGTATATGAGCTTTGTGGTCGTCTTAAAATTTATCTCTAGATCGAGAATTTCGCTAACCCCAATTTTGCTCCTCAGACTGTTTATTGCTTTACCCGATGAATGCTCAATAATGGATTACTCTCTATTTCTTAATAGTCTATTTCTGCTCTCCCTGTTCTCGACTGCTACATGTTTTTATGTTCCTAAGTTTCGTAAGAGTTGACCATGAGCTCCATTTCTGATTTTCAGCTAACCGCTCAAGCTATTTTCAACTATACCACCGCAGCATTCGGCACGGGGAGTGGGTCGGCGGCCACGCCAACGAATGCACCTGGCTGCGGCTATATTCTTCAGACCACTCAACTATTCTGGTTCGAAGCCCAGACCGCCGCAACGACATCGACGGTCGTTGCAGCAACACATGTAATAATCTTCGATCCCAAGACGAATAAGACCCGAACTTCAGTCAAGCAAAACGATCTTGTATTTCCTCCAACTTCAGTCGCCTCTCCAACATCTGCAGCGGAGACAAACGATGCAGGAACTCGAATCACATCTTTGACATTCTCAGATCCAGTAGCTCGAACTAATTACACAACGGTCATGTAAGATTATTGTTCTGCCGTGGATGATGCCTCGCTTATCATGTTTTTAGCGCTTTTCCTACCGTATATGTCGAGTACAGCAACTCATACTTCCTAGATGCAAATCTCACCGTTCGGAATCATGATGCCACTTCAATAATTCCAGGCAATATCGAGTATCCATTCCCAAGTCATCCTGTGTATCCGCCACCGCCACAGGCATCCCTCATATTCGGAACAGCCACCGCTGATCCCTTTGCGCGCGGCCTGCAATATGAACCTCAGCTCATCGCTCATCAGGAGTCTGACCCAGATTTCTATCAACACGCATTTTCTGATGTGCCCGCTCTTCAGGACTGTGTCTGTGGCGGAGGCAGGCCAGCTTTCGGCGGGAATACTCGACCGCCCGTCTTCGTGAACCCCGCACCCTTCGTGTCCATATTTACCACCACGGCCACGTTCTATGCTACTCTTACAACGGATTCTGCTTCAGTTGGCCAGAGCACTTTAATGGCTTTGGTTCCTCCGGATTCTCCTGCCGCTGCCGGGCCTTCTTCGACAAGTCGCGATGCAGACTCTTCGATAGCGCATATCGAGAGCTTCGCATTGGTTCCGTCTACCTCTACTCCCTCGAGCACACAGGTCCCAGCAAACATCGGTTCAATCGCTGATTCAGCTATCAGTGGCAATGGGCCACATCATGACTCTAGTACCACTGAAGTCGAAGTTATTCGCAGTGTGTCTCATATTCAACCAACAATGTCATCGGTAGATGTAATTGGCAATCTGTTAAGCTCATTGGCTATACCAAATTTTCCTAGGCCAACATCGACAGAGATAGAGGGGGCCCCGGACAGTCCGACAGCAGACACCTCAATGCCTTCAAGTGCTGCAGCGCCACAAGTCTCTCGCGCGCCTGTAAAACCGCCTCCCCAGATCACCGTCGGTACCTACGTCCTATCTCTAGCTCCGAACGCACCACCTATGACAATTTCGGAGCCATTGAGCAACGCAAACCCAACCATTGAATCCTCCTCCGCCGGTAACGCCATTCCCCTCCTAGGGACTGACGCAATCACAGTACCAAATCCTACGACTCCTCTTGGGCCACTGGCTTCGCCCCAGCCAATCATCGTTGATGGACAGACGATTCTCCCCACCACTGCGCCCGAGTTTCTCGTTGGCACAGAAACTCTGGCACCCGGAGGCCCGCGTCTCACAATTGGAAAGACAGTCATCAGTCTCGCAACGAACGGCTTCGGAAAGCCTATAGTAGTGATCGATGGGTCTACCTCGACTGTACAAGCTCCTACAGCTCCTCCGCCCGCGATCACAATTGCTGGCGCAACGGCTACACCACTATCTCAACAGCCCGGCTTGCTTATCTATTCAAAGTCTCTGCTGCCCGGAGGTCCTCCAATTACCTTGGGAACAGGGCCTAGCGCCACGACTGTTAGTCTGGCTACTAATAGCGTGGGTGAAACACTCGTTATTATAGGGACATCTACGTCGACTATAACGCCCTCCCCTTCCACCGCCGCTGGTCTCGTGATTGGAAACATCCATGCTTCTCTTGTCTCCAACAGCATTGTTTATGTTGTAGGTTCGCAGACACTTGCGCTAGGACACCCGATCACGCTGGATAGCACTGCAATTTCTCTCGCAACGAACGCCGCTGGATCAACAGTGCTGTTTGTCGGAACATCGGCTACGACTTTACTTCCGCCCCCAACACCAACTCCATTAGCCGTTCAAACCGCCGTAATGACAACGGCGTCGACTCCGTTGACCGAATATATCGTTGGCTCGCAAACTCTCTTTCCCGGACATCCTATCACGCTGGGAAATGGCAACAGCTCTACCGTGATTGCTCTCACGACCAATAGCGAGGGGAACACAGTACTAGTAGTTAATGGAAGGAGCACTACTCTGGAAGGAGACACTTTGACCAGCACCATCAGCACCACCAGCAGCATCTTGGCAACACCGACAATCACTCTGAGGCCTGTCCCCACCGCGACGGCGATAAAGACAAAGATCATCGCCACCGGATCGGAAGTGCCGGCTACGACTACTTCGCGTAGTCGTGCGCAAGCGTCTTTCCGCAAGTCGGGCATCTTTAATTGGGTATTTGGTATACTTCTTTGGCTGGTCGCAATTTAGGCTTGTGCCACATAATCACATGTGGGTTGGAAACTCTGATAGTTTTCCTTTATGATATCACATGGAAAGCTGTTTTAAAATGAAAGCGCATATCGGGCTATGAATGTAAGGGAGAAGTAGTGAGCGATAAATACGGCAGGCACGTGTCTCCTCGAATACCGCCTCAGTCTTTCTTGGCTCTTTTCTCTCCCTCGTGTAATCATCTTCCTCACGAGTATCAGCTTTCCCACCGCCTTTCATTCAGCATACGTGACATCGAACATTATCCACTTCAATTCGTTACCATCCAATACCACTACTTATTATCATTCACCCGAAACAGCACCGTCCATTAGCTCAGGGTGGAGGAAGCCTAAGGATTTTGCGGTTACTCTCGTGAGTAATGGTTTTCCTCTGACACTTCCGCCTCACTGGCGTGACTGCTTTTGCGTTTCCTGTCTAAGTAAGACTAATTTCGACTAGTGAGATCACACATCCATGTTGATGCTGCCGCAAGCACATACGCACTGAGAAAATCACCTGCTTTAAGCCTTTGTATACTTCACAGAGGAGCAAGGCTCACCGAGGCCTCAGCATCGAATACCTTCACCTACCCACCCTCCTAACATATAGACATGGCCAACAAGAAGAAGGGAAGCCGAGGGAAGGCGATAAAGAGACAACGGAGGTCCAGGAGCGAGCGACTGAAGGAGAGAGAGCTACAGAAGGCGAAAGAGCAAGAGAAGGAGGAGAGAAATCGAAAGAAGGAGAGCGATTACGATGAAGAGCTTGAGGTCGTTGAAGAGAAGCCAACGAAGGAGAAAACCGCCACCAAGGAAAATTCTGCCAGTAGAGAGGACAAGAAAGTGAAAGAGAAGGAAAAAGATAAGCCCATTTCTGAAATCCCCGCAAAGCCTGCCATTACTCCAGACATTGCCTCCGATGTCGAGGGGGACAGTTTCCCTACGCGTGAACACGTACAGGAAGCATTTGAGCATGACAGCTTCACCGAAGGTAAGACGAGCGAGTCTATCCTACGCGCCCTCCTGAACTGTTCTTGACCAGATCCAGCCGCCATCCAGAACCAACTTCTCTCAGAGGAGACAACGAGCAGAGATGCGGGAACGAGGACTCCCGAGAAAAGCGCGCCAACGGGTGACTACACACGTCAATAAGACTCTATTTGCCAGATAGCAGATCCGAGGCCCTCTCAGCGACACAGGATTCTGAGGCTATCATTGAAAAGTACGAAAAGACCCTGCCATCCAAAGACGCCGAAATTCAGCGGCTGGAGGGCCGGAACAAGGCTTTGGAGGTTGCTGTTGCGGAGACATTCGCGGTTCTCAAAGGATCAGAGGCATTGAAGGAAAAGTGCATTCAGAATCTGAAGAAGCAAGTCGAAACACTCGAGCAGTGTATTCTTGATATGATGGAGGAAGCGGCGTGTAGTGGAGTGGTGTTTGGCCCAGGCGGTTCCGATAGTTGTTCAAGGTAATCAAAACTGAATTCCGCACTATCATATTTTCAGCATCATGCTAGCTGCATTAGATGTTGCAATAGGCACCAGAGTGGCATTTCACTGAAGAGAAATCATTCAGGGAGGTTCTTGACGTTATGTTCATATTTTTGATCGCCTATCCGAGGGACCTATGCAGGGTCGAATACCTGCTCAAAACAAGAGAAAGGAAAAGTCATTATCCGCCCATTAAGAAACAGTCATCGAAGTTGCCCGGCAATACAACACTAGGCACCCTCGAATCCTCGGTCTCCGCCAATCACCCCGGTATCCCCCATTAGGTGACCCCAAAGACTCCTTCCGTGCCGAGTGGCACGGTCAACACGGCTATCTGCGTAGCAAATCCAAGTCCATATAGGGCGTAAGCACCGCCGAAGCGACCCCTCGCGTGCGGTTCAAGGCAGCTCGCTGACCTACAATGTCTTCCGCGTCACTTTGCTCGAAAGGGTTGGTCTTTGAAGTCGAAATTGAGGGAACAGGGGCGACCGTCGGAGACTGGAAGGTTAAGGGATACCACAAAACAAGCCGGGACTTACAACTTCTTCATAGCCTTCACCCGTTCCGCCTCCGCCTCCGCCTCAGCCTCAACCTTCTCCGCCAACGCTACTGCGTCCGGGGTGCAGTCGTTCATGACTGCAGCACGCCTCGCCTCCTTCTCCTTGAAATCCTTCTTCTTGCCGCGAATCTTGGCCTGCGCTGCCCTCATCTTGGCCCAGTTCTCGCCGGCCTCTTTGCTCTTCTCCGCTACTTGCTTGGTCAAGTCAATGTTCTTGACCTCCAGCGCTTTCACTTCCTTCCGCAGCGCCTTCAGCTCGTCCTGGTACACCTTGGACTGGCCGTCCTGAACCTTTGATGCCAACTCCATCTCAGAGATCTGTCTCCCTTGGTCCTTGATCATCAGCTTGTCAGCCTCGGTCTGTGACTCGAACTTGGAGACCTTGTCCTCAAGAGCCACAATGAGCGCTCGGTCCGAGATGGCTTGCGAGTCCATCTTCTTAATCTTCGCTTCTTGGACTCCGATCAGCTTCTCCTGGGCCCAGGACTTGGAATCCATTCCGAAATCTTCGCAGTCTGAGACTCAATCGTGCGTTGTTTGGTTTTGGACTGCGTTTCTAGTTGGGTGATTTTTTTCACGTGGGATTGGATGAGCTTCTGCTGGGTAGCGTGCATGACAGACGAAGTTAGGGTACGGCCAAACGATATTTGGTTGAGGGGGGATGATGTCAGGAAGGAGAATAAGACTCGAAGAGGTCGGGGTCGGATGATGTTGTGGTCGAAATCGAGCTAAGGTTTCGGCGAGGCTTGGCGGTGAAAGACACGATTTCGACTCCCAAGGCCACCTGATGCGGAGGAGAAAATACTCCAAGGAGACAATCGCAACCTGTGGAGAGGATGAGAAAGTAAAGTCAAGGTTCCTGTGAGGACGACTTCTTATAGGCAAAAGAAGTTGGCGCACGGACGCAGTGCACGGTGATGTACCGCAGATTGTTACATCATTTACCGTCTTCTATTACAGATTATCCCATCGGACAGGTGAAACTGTTCTCAAAAAATAGGCTGTTGTTATAGTTGGGACGTTGAATTTGAAGGATAGCCGTATACGTAGCTCACGTGCGCGAGACTCACGTGAGCATCATCCACAGTCAGCTCGTCCTTGTGATGGAGCCGACTTCCACTTTAATTCAAGAATTCTAACCTCCTCTCTCACGGAAAGCTCGTCTACGATCTCGCCAGCTTCACAAATTAGGAACACCCGATCCTCAGACTTCCAATACTCCTGGGCTATCACCACTTCGAGGATCCCGCGCTCCGGAAGCATCAACAGCTTCTTCAGCTTCATCGCCGGCTTCCGAAAACCCCTTCCAGAGGTCCGCAACGTCATCGACGCTGACTCAAGCCCGCGAAGACTTACCGAAGGAGCACATGGTTCTGTCAACAACCCTCTACATTACCTCGACGTCAACGATTTGTGCGAACCCTGTGACACGGAAGTAGCTCGCTCAGAGAACAGAATCCACGCCGCCGCGCGGAAGCCGCTCACCGCTTGAGGAAGCCTCGCTATCAATAAATACCATTTACGTCCCTTCCTTATCCGAATCTACTTTCCCTTGATGTCCTTCATCTTCGACGCTTACATCAAACCCACGGCTACATCCAGCCCCTCGATGCCAGCGTCAGCCTGAGCAAGTTACGTTTCAAGCCATCCCCCTCTTTGCAAGCTATCATCGTCTTGAGAGCTGCCATCGCTTTGCAGAACTCCCTCCTTCTAGGGTCTTTGGAGGCCTGCGGACGGTTACATTGAACGGCCTACCTGCGCGTGCGGGCCACATTGGTATGGGCACGCATGGTTTTAACCGCGCGAACATTAAATTTAAGTCCCAATGCTCGTGTATAGAGGAAAATTCCGTCCACAACATCCGAAACACGCTCTCTTACCACCAACGACTTCGCTCTCTTCATCGACGATCTGCAGAGGTTCTCGATCACACATCCATCCGAAGACAACTCCACCTCCTTTCCATCTCTTGCTTCATTCTATCAATCAGGGCATCTTCAAAAGCTGCTACTGGCCGGGCCGCTGGCAGACAAATTTGCGGGTGGCCTACCTGAACTGCTGGAGTTTTCCATGGCGCGACTTTGGATCAAGAGGCATTTTGGACAATCCGGCCCACATCCGCATGCGAAGACTCAGGTTGAAAATTGATGTGAACTCTGTCTTATTTCGGGGGCCCGAAGGCCAAACTATATACTACGTAGGAAGTGACTGTATGCATAGGCAGAAGCACTAATTGGAGGCAGCAGTAGGCAGCATTAGGCAGGGTAGGCCACCGTACCCCAACCCCTCTCTGTAGAAGTTGTAACTGGCTAGGCATGTAGGCAGCTACTATGCCAGCAACTCCAAGTCTGTACGTAGGTGACCGTGAACCGTATGAGTTGTTGATCCTAGGTTGTAGCTGTTACAACCCGAGTCGAAGCCTGTCGGTCAGATCCGAGCTCAAGCAGATCTTCCGCTTCCCAACAAGGCTAGTCGTAATATGGGTAGCTGGCCGATAGCCTGTACACCTTGCCGACCAAGACATTTGCAAAAAGGTAAGTGAAATTTAAGCCAAGGCTGCCACAGTCGGGTCCAAGGCTCCTGGCTGGTTTTAGCTGTAGCAGAGACAGTGTGGGAAATCGGACTGGCTAATCTGGCACAAGAGGACGGCCGCGGCTGATAACGATGCAAGAGGAATTTCTCTGAGGGAACTTTCTGTCCCGGACGGCCAAGGCTACAGCAGAGATCCCTAGGCTTGGCTCGCTGCGGAACTGTCCCCCAAGCTCAAGGCGACCGAAACATCATCTCCTGACTCATTATCGCTATCCAAGTCCCGTAGCCATTCATGCTCCCAAATATCGCGATCCTCTTCCTCTCCCTTTGAATAAGGCCCATTTGAAGATGTCTTGTGTCGCCATTCGAGAGACTTGTTCTGACAAGTTGGCCTGCGTAACACTTGTATCCGTGCGAAGAGATGGCAATAACGCTACTAACGGGTAAGAGACTCTACTAGGATGTACGAAAATGCCAATGTCTTCAAGAGACCTCCCACTCTTCAATCGCTAATTCTAATGGCTGTAACTTAAGTTGTGTCGACAAGCCTAACTCTCTGCATCCATCTTGGTGAGATAAAGAAGACGTAGTTCATCTTCACGGCGCATTATCTGTTGACCCTTATCGTTTAGTGTGATATGAATTTCGTTGTAAAGGTTTGGCGAGTCCATAAATGACTGTGGAGACTGCGTCCAGACTGCTGCTTCAGGAGAAGTTGGTGGTAGATAGTTAAGAAGTCTGATGATTTTTGGCAGTAGTCCAGTGATTGCTGAACCCAGCTATAAAGGCCCGAGGTTTGGCCTGCGGATTGCCATTATTTTAACAATAATTGTATTCATTGATTGAAGGGATAATATTGTTGATTATTGGGTGCAGCTACTCGCTAGCGACGTTACACTCCACGTCAGGTTCCCAAAATGTCCCACATAAAGCGGAAGATATTACATTAGGCATACAGCTTAACGCTATATAGTATGGCAGGTGCCCCTTACAGACAAGTGGCCTAGAGTCCTCCAATGCCAGTGCAAACTTGGGTAGAGTATTGCGCGCTTGCACGAATGCGATCTTCTCTTTCAGTGTGTTGGTTTTGGGCAATCATCTGTGTCTGCTATTAGCCATCACGAAGCTATTGGAGGCAAACCGATTGATATTATTGGTACGCGGGCGGTAGGATGCAGGCGATTTGGGTGGAAGTTGGTTGGGTAAGCGGATGGTTGATTGGGGTAGGCAGACAGTTGATTGAGGGGGGCAGGGAAACACGTACGGCGTTGGTACTGGGGGATGTTTTCCCCACGGTATTATGAGGTGGTTTCGTGTGGGAGAGGGTATTAGTGCAATGGAGTGAAGGAGCAGTTGTGCGGCTCGGCGCTTGCCAAGCCCTATTCTTTCTCCATGTGCTCAAATGTGGCGGTGCAACGCCACAAGCTGGACCGGGCACGTCCGCTGTCTGCGTTGCTCAGCAACCAAGGGCATCATCAATAATTATCCTTCGAAGTATGGGCGTTTCAACGCAACAACGCCTTCAAATCAACATCCATTCCCTCCACAATGACAAACGTCCTCCAGAAGCCACCGAATCCTAGCGATAGCCCTTTCATGCGACACTCCGCCGACCGTCCAACCAGCTCCGGCACCGACATCGCAGCCTGGGTACTCGGACTTAGTACATGCACCGAGCTGTCTGATCCAGATGAGCTTCCCACACCACAAAACCAACAACCTCCGCATTACGCTCGCCGATCTTCCCCTCGTGGCCGCATCACCGATACCGTGATGAAGCGTGCGCTCGCTAGCCTTGACCCAGATGAGCTTGCAGACGACAGCGTACATGTCTCCAAGCGCTGGAAGCCGCACAATACCGACGAGTGTGCATTCAAACGTCGCAGGTTGGATACGCCGCCACTTACACAAGAGACACTTGACAAGCTCCACTGTACCTCAGACTCGCTAGGGGAGTTGGAAGCTGGCTGCGCTCAGTCCATTCAGCAGTGGGCCGCTGAGTGTGAAAACGGCGAGCTCGAGATGCCTCTCTCACCAGCACCCAGCGTCACGCCCTCAAGGGATAGTCGACGAAGAATAGCAAAACAGGTTCAACGACAGCGCTCCTCGAGTCCGGTCAAAAAAGCAAACAGCCCGCAATACCGGGCGATGAACATGGCGGATGCGAACGTGTTCGTGGACCACTTCCCTGAAGCTCCTGCAAAGGTCGAGGAACAAATTGAACGCGTCTTTGGCGGGAACGCATGGGCAGCCAGCCAGCGGACGGCAATTGAAGAGCTGGCGAGGCATTATTGCCAGGAATCGAGAGTGTTGGCAAAGAAATGCGCCGGGGAGAATGAGTGGAGGAGTCACTTGTTTCTGGGCTTGCTACAGCCACTTAACAGACTTGAACCAGAGGTTCTGATGCTTAGTGCATCTGAGAAACGTGAGTCTGCGGCTTTAATTTTGCACGTATAGTTTGAGCGGATATTAACCGCGACTCGGATAGCATGGATACCGGAACTCAAACCAACAGCACCGTCACCTTATGATTTCATTCCTCGACATACACCCCTCATCCTTCAACAGGGCGTAGCGCAAATTTCAAACCATGCCGACACCAACTTAGCCACACCCCAGACTCAGCGGACCGGCTCAGTCCTCTCAAACACTCCCATATTCAGCATGCCCTCCACTGCTCCCAGCGATACCTCCGAGAGTCCGAACAGTCTCTCGACACCAAAACCAGATATTACTCTCGGCCTAGCGCACACATCCTTCACCCCTATGCAAAAAACCGTCTTGATGCTGCTGCAAGACGACTGCCGCGTCCTGAGCGAACCACACCAAGCACAAATCGGTCTGCGCTTCCCCTTCCTTGTTATTGAGAGTAAAGGCGGCGCAGCAGGCGGGAATCTGATTGGGGCGCAAAATCAAGCTGCGGTAGATGGAGCCTGTGCTCTTAGTATCCTTGAGGATTTGCGATGTGTTGTCGCACGGATAATGTCCCAGTCCGACTTTGTCCAGTACAACCAAGAAAACATAGCTATGAAACAAGCCGAAGAAGATAAGGTGCCGGTATTTCTGTTCTCCGTCACAACAGAGGGCCCCCTGCACGAAATATGGGTGCACTACCGGGTCGGTGAGGCATACCATATAACGTGTTGCCGCGCTTGGCGGACGACGCGATGGGAGGATGCAAGAGAGTTCGTGCAGACGTTGGCGAGGATTGTGGAATGGGGTAAGAGAGGGTTTAGGGAGGGTATTCTTAATATACTGGGACAGATTGAAGAGGCTGTGCTTGGAGGTGTTTTGACGAGGATGGATGAAAGTTTAGTAATGAGCTAGGATAAATATGTGTGATTCTTTAAACTTATATTAATCTCCGAAGTCATATTTTGTAATATCTAGTGACAGATACGCCTAGTAAACTATTAAATCAGCCTTACCTTTTAAAGATGTCCCCGAGCACGCTTTTAGGGCTTCTAAATTAAACGACCAGTGCACCGAGCAGAATCTCTGGAAAACAGCTGCTTTGCTGCGTGGCTCTGTGTAGTACGAGCTGGGCTTTTCGAGACTCCTCGATGCCCATCGGTGCAAACATCCGCCGATATCTGAGAGAAGTCAGGGTGGTGCTCTTGGTAGCTGTAGCCCGCGGAGCCAGGGATTGCATTTGTAGGCAGGACAATCTTTGGAGATTTGGAGTCACGAGTGAGCCCTGGGCCAGCGGCAAAACAGCCAAAGTGTTGTTAGCATGCGCTGCCTTTAATATATGTCTTAACCGGTTTGGAGGGTCTGACATCTCTCTCGTTGGGAGGTGTGTCAGGGTCTCGTTGGGAAGCCGGAATCTCGTTGGAAGAGTTAGCAATGGCCGTGTGGTTGGAGTTTTGCCCCCTTTTCGTTGGAAGCACTCGAGCTAAGAGAGAGCAGGCCATCATTAGGGCATTGCAACGGATCACAACATCTCCGAGGACTTGGAAGGCATGGTGATGGGTTGGGACGCTGCGTAGATTTAATTAATTAAGCATATATACATACGAACAAAATGCGGTCCTCCAACTTGATTAAATCATAGCATCTGAAATGCCTGAAACTCCCTCGACGCCAGCACAGCCGAGGCGGAGGGCCTTTCGCCCGGATTGACCACTAACATGAGACGAAGAAGGTCCCTCAACTGCTCTGGTATCTCCACCTTTTGGGTCTCCTTCTCGAAAGGCGAGATCGCTTGCGGGATTGGCTCCTCTTCACTGAAACGTATAGCAAATTCGACTGCGGATTTGAGGGTATGGCGCTCAACCTCGTCAGGAGTGGGAATATACCAGTTAGGAAAGAGCCGTTTGATCTTTGACATACACCAAGCCTCGTTGACGAAAGGATGTGGGCTGTCCCCCGCGCCTAAGACACCAGGCTTGATCCAGCAAAGCAGCATCGCGGCAACTGCCCAGATCTGCGATGGCTTAGTGCACGCCTGGCCTAGGAAGACTTCAGGGGCGCGCATGGCGTATGGCTGGGCGTTGAAAAAATGGCCGGCCGGAACAACTGTAAGCGTGTCAGTAAAAGCGTCTGTTTCGTCTAGCAATACTTGCTTACCGAGTCCTAAGTCTCCTACTTTAGCGATAACACGGCCAGCCTCAATGCCAGAAAGCAGGATATTGGCGGGTTTATAGTCCAGGCTAATTAGCGGATGCCAACTTTTTAAGATCAGATACTATACCTGTATTCACATATTGTTGGCCGTCTAGAATGTTGCAACTAGTCAACATTTCCTTTAGGACCGTCTTGATGAGGGCGTAGGTGTGCATGTTAGGCTGGTATTTCACATCTGCAAGAGTGGTGTCCAGCCATTCTAAAGCGATGGTGCGGTTGTCAATTACATCGTACATTTGCCGGAAGCACTTGGCCGAGGCGACACCGGGAAGGAGATAACTCTGACATTCACGGTCCAGGTTTTCCGTGGCAATTTCATCGTTAGGCGAAGCTTTTTTGATGATAGCCCTGGGTGGCTGAGTTAGTGTCAGAATTTGGACATAGTTAATGCAACACAACGAACCATTGGGGGGCATTGGGGGCATTCTCGCGTGGAACGACCTTGGCTTTGAAGACGGCGGATGCGTGTGTGTTATCTCCTTTAACAGTACCTACGATGCGGTAGTCCCAATGGGCGCCTTGAAGGTGTCCAGGAGCAAGAGACGACATGGTTCTTGATAAAGAGTTCCTTGCAGCAGGGAAATTCGGAAGGACGAGTGGGCGCATTGTGAGAATGTAAAAGGTGAAGAGGTTCAGCAGATGGCAGGTTTATTTATGTGGGTGTGGGTCCGCCGAGACCTGAACCCGGCCCCAACGCTCCAACCAGAATAGCCTAGAGCTATAGGCAATTACTAAGAGTCTATAATACTAACTTAGCTAGACGCCTTTGCTAACTGTATGATCCTGCTTGAGATACCCCAATTAGTATTTATCACTTCATGCCTAATCAACAAGCTCGTCGTCGGTCGCAGATTTCTTGACCTCGATCGGGATCCCCATCAGCCGTGGGATGCGGGCAGTGCAATGAAAAGGGGGAATGAGGAAGAGCTGGAGAAGAGAGTGGCGGTGGTTGGATGAGTCGACGTCGCGGATAGTGATGATGGAGTGTTCGTACAGCTTTGGAAATTTTGGAGTAGGATACCAGGGAGAGCATGAATAGGCGACTAGTCTGCGGCGATATATACACGTATTTCCAATGCGCCAGCGATGAACAGACATTAATAAGGCAGGAATAGGTAATTAGGTTTTATGTTAGGGGACTGATAATCTCACACCCCCTAATCCCTCCACGCACACCCCCTTTTTGCTATTCGCACACCCCCTCCCTCCCCCTATCGCTTCACCACCTTCTGATTGGCTCGGAGGGCTACTCCGGAGCCTCTAATTCGCTCGCTTAACTTGCTCTCTTATTCCGAAATGCTCTCTGCAAATGCGGCCATGTACACCACAAGCAATTACATAGCCATATAGCCTCACGTATAGCCTCACGTATAGCCTTATATACGAGCTCACGTACGGCTGTATATACAGCTGCACAAATCGGAAAGGTTGCGCTGTAAAACGGAGAGGCTATATAGCCATGCCGATTCATATAGCCGTACGTATAGCCTCACGTACAAGCTCACGTACGGTCTCGCGTATAGCATCACGTGCGGAGAGAGACGTGAAGATGAATGCCCGGAGGAAGCTTCCGGTCCCTCCGAGCCAATCAGAATATCAGATGAGAGGGGGGGTGTGTGGTTACTCAAAAGGTGACGGAGTACGTATTCCTAGCCAGCTAGCCTACGGAGTGTGGTACGGCTAGCGTCGGCTACCTTAATATAGAACACGGTTCCTATATTTAGCCCTCACAGTTCTACGGTACGGCTACGTAAGCCTCCACACACAGGAGTATATATACGGCGTACGTAGCCTAGATAGATGCTCATCCAATACATCACTTACCTCGTTCAATGCATTGTTTCACCTCCATCCTCAAAAGGGGGTGTGCGTTTACCTGTCCCCATTATATATATAGATAAAAAGTAGGTAATCGGGTCTCAGCCGCCAGAGCTCGTAATGCCGCCACTAGGAACCAAGACAACCGACACAATTTAGCTGCCCAGCCACTGCCCGATTCCGTCATTCCAAAGGGCGGAATAATACCAATCTCGAGTCCGCTGAGTATGTTAAGTGCTACAACATCTGCTCGTACCGCAACCAATGTACCAGCGATGCAGGCGCCGCAACCCGTCACAGCCACTTTTCTGGGCTCCAAGAGTATTCCAACTCAAAAGATGGATGGCATGCTCGATTCTACATTCACCTCTGCAATCATGACAGCACCTTCACCTCCTTTGCCAGTGCACAGTCACCATCTCTCTGGGAGCTCGAAGTGGGCCAACCCACACCCAAATACAATCTAGCTTCAGCCAGGTGTCTCTTCGTCCGCTTCCCCAAACATTTTCCGCCAGTGCACTGGTAAACAGAAAATTGGTGGGATTGGGGCCTCGAAATATGCCAGTTGAGGAGCATAGTAGGTAGCATGCTTTTTTCCGTTGATGGGAGGTAGCGAAGTGTCCTCACTCAAACGGTGACATTTGGATGCAAGATTCACGGGAATAATTCTTGCTGGTATTTGGGAGATAATCCTCTGGCTTCCCTTTGCTTATATCATGAGTGTGTGCTTTGGGTTGCGTTTCCTTTCTTTCTGATGTTTATTCCACTCTCCCGCTAGTGCATGCGGCGAAGTGTCTTCGACCTCACACGGGTAGGCACCCTACGTGGGCCTAGAGGGGGAAAAGGAGATTTGAGATCACCTGCAAGACATCCTGTACTTACAAAACCGTGTTTTGTTTCTGTCATGTTGAGGTCTTTCTATGGATACTCACAGTAATACAAATTTCACTTTAAACTTCATACCTTTGGCTCATGTGATAACCTGATTCTTGTGTACACAGTACTAGCAGTGTAAGCCAGAAGAACAGGCGCGCAGCTATAGCACTGATCGGTCTCTAATATTGTTCGTTCGACGCCGCTGTGCGGAGTATCCAGCGTGGTTAGTAAACGGGCGGCCGGCTTAACTAGATAGCAGATTGATTGGATTGTTATATATATAATTGAGTTTGATTGATTGGATTGATTAGATTTTGGTTTGAACTGGTTTGATCCAGATTGACAAATAAGTGAATTCGATCGCGCTTAGCCTAAACAGGTAAGGTATCAGATCCCCGGAGTTCTGCCGGCCTAGCCGGGAGAACACGTCTTGCCAGCCTCATTAACCACGGCCCCAGCGCCCCCTCCAGCACCTCCACAATGACGAGATGAGCTTAAACGGACGACGGGAATCGATTTATACAGGTCGAATTACGTCTTACGCGAATTACTGGGTCTACTAGGCTTCAAAAATGCGCCCCTTTGGTACTCCGCCCGACGTTCCCAAGGGAGATCCCAAACCCCCCCCTTCACCTAGAACTCACCACCATGGTACTCTCACGTCGCTCTTTACTCTGGGGCACTCTGTAGTCTCATCCATGGGTGTAGTTCGCGAGCCGTCTTATTATTAGGCTCATAGGAATTTATATGACGAAGTTATGTCTATAAAAATCCGGTCCAATTTGTATACATCCTTTCCGTTTTATACAACACCAATCGGATCAATCGGATCAATCTCCGTTTGAGGTTTGATTGGCTAGAGGAATGATTGATTGGATTAAATAGAAGTGATATTAGTAAACCGGCCGTCAATCCGATTGAAGATTGGCCGGTTTACTAACCACGCTGGGAGTATCCCAGCTAAGAGGAAGCCGGCCGGCTTAAAAATAGTCTGACTTTGAATGTAT